TCCACAGATGTTATTAGGTATTCAGCTGATGAGGTAATTTATACTGAAAGCTACTGTCATTACATGGATTATGTTTAACAGTGGAATTCAAAATATGAATTTTGTCTCGTTTGCCTGGACATCTTAGTGTTGATGTTTACAGTGAGACTGAAATCTAGTACCTATCCTTTGAAATGCAGATGTGTTATAAAATAAGCTACTGAGTTAAGATAACCACCAGCTTATTTAACGGATGTGATATTTAATATTCAGTGTTTATATTAGGTGAACGTTGATAAGCAAAAATGAATTTTGATCAGTCTTTATTTATTGGAGTAAATTCAATAAGAAATGCACTTGAAACTCACAAATACTTCTGTATTAAGTAGATGATTTAAAATTTTTTGTGGCATATGATTTTGCTCGTACACAAGATATACTAGAATGAATGTATTCCAAAATATCTCATTTATACAGAGTCGTTGATAGACACTCTATATCAAATTCACTCTTTCCCATTTCAGTAACAAGGTATTTAGGAATGGAAGCTTTCAGAAGAACTTTAATATCTGCAGAAAAGGTAATGAATTAAGTAAGGATCACAGCATAAATTATTAGTGTGGAGACAAAACAACTAATAGGAGTAGGTATTGACTGCTTACCACTGCCACTTTACAAGATCACAACATTAGCGAAACATAAAAGATCTAAATACCAATTGTAGTGTAGTAGCTCCAACAATTCATGGTAATTTCGATTCGGATCAGCCCCGATGATATTTTACTATTGAAACTATTACGGTGATAAATGAAAACAATTATCATGTTACTGGAGAAAACTTATCGAAACTATTGTACGATACTTTGTTTGAATGATATATTTGTTGAAATTACTTACACGAAGATAACAAATGTGTGTTGTCTGAAAATATGTAAACAAAAATCCAATCTAGAAACACTTCATTTCCGTTTTGTCCTAATGCGAGACTCCTCAGCTGTGCGTACCAATGGTGACCTAGCTAAGATTATTTTGTAATTTAAACTGTGAAAATTCTACAGTCTCTGCAAATCCTTCTATACTAAAAAAAATCTCACCATTAGTTTTGTCGATACTGATATTATAAACATATTATTTACCAAAATATTTAAGTTTTGATGATTCGTAAACTTTTTTGGTATGAATATAATTATGATTTCCGAAGCCGGATATATTTATATGCAAAAAACATTAAATTCTCTATTATCAGAAGGGGGTTTTGTGGAGATTTTAGTAATTTTTATGGTTGAAATCATGAGTCATTTGAAGCTAAACCACCATAGAAAACCTGGAAGCACTGGTTAAAGTCATTTTATATACGAAACTTTATCTCCGTATGCATAAGATCAAATCAACATGACTCGACAATGACATATATAAACAAACATTAGTGTAGAGGATAATTCCACAATTCCACAGAATAATCAGACAAATTCTAAGAGAGACTCGTACTCAATCCTCACGTTTGTTAATATTCATTCGTAAATAATTTCCACATCCCTAAAAAAGCATACTCCATTAAATATTTAGATTTGTATAATTTAGCAGTTCATTCAGGAACGTTATGAGGTAATTGATCAATTACACGAGTCTAATTTTGTGGAGTAACCAATGTTCCGTTTTTATTAATAGTCACCATAATATTGCAATAAGCAAAGATCATAAGTTCATGACTTTATACTGAATATATTTGATTACAACATAGTACACTGATAATTTACTTAACCTAGAAGTCACGATTCAAAACACGAATTTAGTCATTATAGAAGACTGAATACTATGACTACTTCTAACCTTCTAGTACTTACTTACTTACTTACGCCTGTTACCCCTTGTGGAGGAGCATAGGCCGCTCACCAGCATTCTCCATCCAACTCTGTCCTGAGCCTTCCTTTCCAGTTCTTTCCAATTGCTATTCATCCTTTTCATATCGGCTTCTATTTCCCGGCGTAGTGTGTTCTTTGGCCTTCCTCTTTTCCGCTTCCCTTCCGGATTCCAAGTTAGGGATTGAGTCGTGATGCACATTGGTGATTTCCATAATGTATGTCCGATCCACTTCCAACGTCTTTTCCTAATTTTCTCTTCAGCTGGAAGCTGGTTTGTTCTCCCCCATAAAACGCTGTTGCAGATAGTATCCGGCCAATGGATGTTGAGTATTATGCGTAGACAACTATTGATAAATACTTGTACCTTCCTGATGATGGTCGTAGTAGTTCACCACGTTTCAGCTCCATACAGTAGGACTGTCTTGACGTTCGTATTAAAGATTCTGACTTTGAAATTGGTTGAGAGTTGTTTTGAGTTCCATATGTTCTTCAATTGTAGAAATGCTGCCCTTGCTTTGCCAATCCTCGCCTTTACATCTGCATCAGATCCTCCTTGTTTATCAACGATGCTCCCCAGGTACTTGAATGTTTCCACCTCTTCCAGAGTTTCGCAATCAAGTGTGATTGGGTTGGTGTTCTCCGTGTTGCATTTGAGAATCTTGCTTTTTCCTTTGTGAATATGGAGGCCTATGGATGCGGAGGCTGCTGCTACATTTGCTGTCTTCATCTGCATTTGTTCGTGTGTATGAGAGAGGAGGGCCAGATCATCTGCGAAGTCCAAATCATCTAATTGATTCTGAGAAGTCCATTGTATTCCGTATTTCCCTTCAGATGTCGAATTCTTCATAATCCAATCAATCACTAGAAGGAAGAGGAATGGGGAGAGTAGACAGCCTTGTCTAACTCCGGTCCTTACTGGAAATACATCTGTCAGCTGTCCTCCATGCATGACTTTGCACTGTAGTCCATCGTATGAGTTTTGGATAATGTTGACAATCTTTTCAGGAACTCTATGGTGTCGAAGAAGTTTCCATAATGTTCTCCTGTCCACGCTGTCAAACGCCTTCTCATAGTCAATAAAGTTGACGTATAGTGATGAGTTCCACTCAACTGATTGTTCTACGATCATCCGTAGTGTCGCAATCTGGTCTGTGCACGACCGATCCTTACGGAATCCAGCCTGATGATCTCTAAGTTCGGCGTCTACTGCGTCTTTCATTCGATTCAGCAGCACTCTGTTGAAAACTTTTCCTGGTACTGATAACAAACTGATACCTCTGTAGTTCTCACATTGGCTCAGATCTCCTTTCTTTGGTATCTTGATGAGATATCCTTCTTTCCAGTCCGTTGGCGCTTGTTCCTCTTCCCAAATCTTCTTGAATAGAAGGTGAAGCATGTTTGCAGTTATTTCAATGTCTGACTTTAGTGCTTCAGCTGGTATATTGTCAGGTCCTGCCGCCTTCCCACTTTTGATTTGTCTGATGGCCATCTTGGCTTCTTCGATCGTTGGTGGAGTGACATCTATTGGAAGGTCAGTGTGTGTTGCTTCGATGTTCGGTGGATTCAATGGGACTGGTCTATTCGGCAGCTCCTCGAAGTATTCTGCCCATCTTTTCCTCTGTTCTTGAATCTCAGTGATTATCTTTACTTCTTTGTCCTTGACTGGTCTCTCTGGTTTGCTATATCTTCCTGCCAATTTCTTCGTTGTATCATATAGTTGTTTCATATTCCCTTCTCTTGCAGCTTTTTCCGCCGTCGTTGCTAGTTCTCCCATATATTTCTACTTGTCGGCTTTAATGCTTTTCTTCACTTCCGTGTTTGCTTCTGCGTAGTCTGCTTGTGCTTTGACTTTCTCTGCTCGTGTTCGGCTGTTGTTAATTGCTAGTCTCTTGTTCTTCCTTTCTTGAATTTTGTCCAGGGTTCCCATAGAGATCCACTCCTTGTGATGATGCTTCTTAGGACCAAGAACCTGCTGACACGTTGAAGTTAGTGCTTCTTTTATGCCTTTCCAGTTGTCCTCCAATGTAGTTTCTTGTTCTTTCAGTAGATCCTGTAGAGCTTGGAACCTGTTGTTGAGAGTTATCTTGAATTCATGGAGCTTGTCAGTATCTCGAAGGAAGGCTGTATTGAACCTTTGTAGTGCTGTTTGTCCAGTTGTCCAGTGTTTCTTTAGCTTCAGTCTCATCTTGGCCACAACCAGGTGGTGATCTGAAGCTATGTGAGCTCCTCTCCGGGTTCTCACATCTTCCATTGATCTTCGGAATTTTTGTTGATACAGATGTGATCTATCTAATTCTCTGTGGTTTGGTCCGGTGAGATCCATGTAGCTTTGTGTATGCGTTTGTGTGGAAATATTTTGCCGCCTATAACAAATTTGTTGAATGCGCATAGATTTGCAAGTCTCTCCCCATTTTCATTTCTCTCTCCTAGTTCATGTCGTCCAATTACATCTTCATATCCTGTGTTGTCCACTCCAACTTTAGCATTTAGATCTCCCATCAGGATGGTGAGGTCCTTTCGTGAACAGTTCTCTATAATTGATTGCAGACTTTTATAGAACTGATCTTTATCATCGTCGTTGCTATCATTGTTGGGTGCATAACATTGGATAACGTTCATTGTGATCCCTTGCTTCTTTGTTCTGAATGATGCTTTGATTATCCTGGGTCCATGAGATTCCCATCCACAAGTGCATTTCTTGCTTCTTTGGACAGCATTAGAGCAACTCCCTGAGTGTGTGTAGCATTTTCCTCTTCGTGACCGGAGTACAGCAGCATCTCTCCTGTACCTAGCCTTTGTTGTCCAGTTTGTGTCCAATGGGTTTCGCTGATTCCGAGTACTGCCAAGTTGTATCCCCTCATTTCGATTGCTATTTGGCTGGTCTTTCCTGTCTCCCACATTGTCCGGACGTTCCATGTACCTATAAAGAGTGTTGCTCTGGTTGTTAGAAGGTGCATCGGTCTCGTGACTTCCGAAGAATTTCGGCTTTCATCATGAGACGTCATAATTATTCCTTCAACTCCCAGGGCAGAGTTTAAATGGTTTGAATTATTTTTTCTGGTTAACGTTTTTTTAGCGAGTTAGCTTTTCTACGGGATGGGGTCGCTAATCCCATGCCCAACCCTCCTCCTTTACCCGGGCTTGGGACCGGCAGTAACTCTAGAAGAGCCNNATGGCTGTGCGTTTATTTGTTTCTAAGTTTTCAACTAATGCATAGTCTCCAAGAAAATTGCCTTCCGCCGCTGATAATCTGGCTAATAAACTATCTTCTAATTGTTTTAAGGTAATTTTAAATTGATTTTGTTGTCGTGTTAAATCAGCTTTTAACTGTTCCAAGTCTGGACGTTCTTTATTGACAACACTAGCTAATAATTGATCTTCTAAACCGTCACGTGTTACAGTAAAGTTAATTAGCGTAGTTTGTGCTTGCATTTCTGGTTTATAATGTGGATTAGCTAATTTCGTTTGTAAAATTAAACGAAATTCCGGACTATATTCAATTTCTTTATCACCAAGACGTATCGCTCTACCTTTTTTAATTGTTTTTCTGCCCAATAACGAATCTAACACAGGATCGACAGACTCTTCAATATTTTCTAACAAAACTGTATCACCAGACGATATAGCACGTTCAATTTGGTCTAAATAACCTTTTGAACCTAGGCGTATTACCTTTAAATCAGTCGCATAACGTGTTTTAATCCATTTTACACCTTGTAATTGTGGATCAACCATCAATGGCCAACGTTCAGCATTAGTTAAAATAGTAGCATTTTCAATAGACATTCTATCAGACGGTAGACCTTCATTATTCCATGCAGCTATAACTGCATCATCAATTAACATGTCTAGTGGATCTAAACCACCTGTAATCGGTATTGATGGATTAATTGATTTCAAAAATGGTATCCAATGTTGATCAAGTAGTTCAGTACGATAACGTTTCGTAAAACAGCCAACATAAGATAAAAATGCTGCAGTTAATAAAATATCACCAGGTAATGTAATAGCTTGTTCTTTATATTGTTTCACTTGTTGTGCCCAACGTATTTTTTCTGATGCTAAACCACCAACTAAACGATTAGCTAATTCAATTGTTTTATATGTTAATTCTGCTTCATCTTGACATTTTTGTTTTTCCATAGTAGCTGTTTCGAATTCATCTGTTAATTTTCTTAATTTTTCTTCTAAATCTTTAATCTTTTTCTGAATAGTTTCTAATTTTTCAGTTGCTTGACGTAATTCTTCATTAGCTGCATTTAATGCATCACGTTTTGGTTTCACATCACAATAAATATTATAAAATTGTACAATATTAATAACCCATGAACATAGACCAGCCGCTGCTGTTGATTTATTACGAATAAATTCTGGATCGAATTCAGGATCTTTTAAATATTCTTGTACAGCTTTTAAACAATTCTCATGAATATTCTCTTTGTCATAATTAATTAAATTATCTAAGAATAAATCAACTTTACTCATTATACCAGCTTTTGATGCTTTCCAACTACGATCTTTTGGTATTTTACCATCTGGTGCTAATAAAACCATAACAGCCGCTGTCACATTAACTACAGCCGCTGGTGGTGAACCAAATGATTTCATTTCAGTTAAATTATTTTTATTCAATGTGTTCAGTGCTTCTTGTGCTGCCATTAATGCTGGTTCAGCTTTAGCTAAATCAACTTCACAATCTTTTTGTTTTTTTGATACTTCAATTTTAATTTTAGCAACTTTTTCTTCTTCTTGATTTGCAAATAACTTTTCACCTTTAACTTTTTCAGTTTCTGCACCAACAATTGTTAATAATTTATTAGCATCTTCATTTTTCTGTGCTAATTCCACTTCCTGCGCTGCTAATTTTGCTTTTAAATCATCCACTTGTTGTGAAGTACTTTCTAATTTTTGTAAACCATTTTCCAAGCGTGTCATTTTATCAATTAAATCAGTATATTTTTGATTTAACATATTTTCATATAGTTGTATTTGTTCTAAGAATGATTTTGGTGTTGTATAATTATAACGACGTTCATTCTGTAAATAAGTAACACTTATATCATTAACTGACTGATGTGTAAATGACATGAATTCTGCAACAGATGGTCGAATACTTTCCGGTAGTAATTCTATACTACTTAAAAATCGTTTTGATACTGATAATAATGCTTCTTTTGGCCATTCATGAAACCAATCAATTGAAGTACAATTAACAATAGCTGGAAATTTTCTCGCTCTAACACGTAATGTTGAACCAACTGGTGAAAAGCACAACACCACTTTTAATAAACGACGTACTTTATCAATGAAATAACTCCAACAATTTTCACGTGTATCTTGTATACCTTGAGATTTAACTTCTCCACGCATCCCATTAATTACATTTTCGACTTCATCATCAGGCAATAATTCTGGTATATCACCGGATGCTAATAAATCATTGATAAGTACTAAAAATTTCTCTTCAATAATTTGACTATCGGTTAGTAAGAAAACGGTACCAGTATTTTTTAATCCAGCTTTTAAATAAAGATTAGCTAGATCAGCTTTCAAATCAGTAATTGCATAACCTTTACGTAATGTAATTTGAAATACTTCTAACGAACTAATAAATGCCGCTAATCTTGATAAAGATTGTTTACCGGAACCGCCGACACCAATTAATAACGCATTACCACGTGGTGATTCTAATATACGATTAATACGTAATATATGCGAAATAGCATCTTCAAATAAAACCAAATTCATTACAGCATTTAATTCATTATAATTATCCAATGCTTCATTTAGTAATTTATTTAAATCATTCATATTCGTTACCGGTAAATATTTTGGTTCACCAATACCTTGTGTGAAATGACAATACATATTTGGTTTACTAAATAATATACTTTCATCGATATCCTCAAAACATTTTTTAGTGATGTCTATTAAAATTTTCTGAAATGATTCAACATCTTCACGTTCAATTAGTTTGTCAGAGTAAACCCGTTCACATTCATGCATCCACAATCGTATTAGATCACTCGGTTGACGAATACATTCATTAGTTGAAAATAATAAGCCCTGTATAATATAACGAAAAGAAAGAATTAAACCATACAAGTAAAAAACCGAAGTGCATATTGTATAATGGTTTATTTTATAGAAGATGGTTGCACGATATTGTGGATCGACCAAAGTTAGACATGCACACTTATAGATTTCAGCTTGGTAGTGTAGATGTTAAATACTTAAGGAGACAGTGGAGGCCCTGGGTTAGATTACCGGTGAAATTGTGGGTGCACACTGCCGAGAAGTCCCATACTACGATGAAGCAGCTGTCTAATGCTTCCTGGTTTTCAGTAGTTCTTTAACTAGGACCAGTCTGTAATTCAATCTATAAAAATATACCTGAAGCAATCCCACTAAAAGCCAATGAGAGTGAGGAAACGGTTTTGTCCCGGTTTTGATACTCCATAGCAGTGTACACACGCAATAACGCGTGTCATCACATTAAAAGACCTTTATATTTTATTCGTACATGATATTTTTCACCAACTATCTACCATTTTACTACCGTATATATAGTTATCTTTTCTCAATTCACTTTCTATTTAATTTAAATGTCTTTCTAGTTTCACTAATTTCTACTTTTTGTGACATAATTTAACAAGAATTTTTGGAGTAATTTACTTTTTTGTAAAATTCTACACGGTTGTGTTTATCACCTGGATCATAGAAAGGATTTAAATTCAGAAGAAATCAGCAAATTTTTTCAGTGTATCTCATCTGCTGACAAAGACTGATCAATGTTCGGTCTTGAATATTAAAAATGGGGAAATAAAAATCTTTGCGATAAATGTTCGATTATCCCGGTTCATTTTAGTAAAGTTGGATTGTTGCTAGCAGTAAAATTCAGTACACGCGTTTCATTCTATTTGAGATTCATAAGCTGAATAAACCTGCATTCTAGGGTTAGGTTTTTCATTGAGACTCGACCCCAGTATCTATAACGTTTTCCAGAGAGCTGTTGTGTTCTAACTTGTTCAGCGAGTATGAACTTATTTGTAGGAGTTTGCATTTTTTCCCGTCATTGATATTCTATACTTCAATTGATCAGTTTGTATTGGCATGTGAGCACCCTGATAAAAATTACCTAGATAATGTCATTTAGTCAAAATATTTAGAAAAAGTTGGACCTTGTCGGTAGAAAAAATCCCCTTATTAAAAACTTACTTGAAATATATTGGATAAATCACGTAAATTAAATATATAATGAAATTTGATAGCAGTTGGTAAAAATACACTAGCCACTTTGGCATGTAATAATAATGCACAGTCAACAACATTTACGGCGAACTTTTGTAAAGCTGTTGAACAATTGATTAATCCTAAATGTTGTGTTAGTATTGATGAATAAATTATTTTCAATGCTTCTTGACCAGGAAAACTTAGTCCAAACACACAAAAATGCCTCTAAATAAGAGAAAATCAAGATACAAAAATATATTATACGAACAACTTTTGTTTTCTAGAAATAAACAGAATACTTATGATTTTCATGAGCAGAACTTATATGAAACAACTTCGACAATAACCACAAAGAATCCCAAAACTCAGCTGATATAACCATTTAGAGATGAGTTTTTTCAGTGATACTTCAGACAATATGAGTTTGTAATGACAGGAAGTCGAGAACCGAAGTAATCTCTATAAATCGCATTCTGTAATAACAGCAAAATAATGTATTTATTTCAAAATAAACCATTTGATCTATAATTCTCTAACTTGATAAACAGAAATGAATCTGGGAGTTAACAATAGTTAAATAATTTCGATATTCGTGTTCAATACGAAAATCAGAGTTGGATGAAAACCAGAGTCCCAATCGAACAAATTACAGTAGCTTTCAAGATTATCTTTTGTCTAATACGCTATCAGAGATATCAAAAAATGAGTGATTATCATTTCATAATGCATTGCAGTTATTCAATAGAGGTAGTGATTTTACAAGTATTATGTACTTAAAAAATATGGATGTAAGTCTGCTATATTGTTTAGTTTCGTTATCAAAATTTACAGAAAAATGATTCAATCAATACACTTTTCATTTCGAAAAGTTTTTATTGTATAACAATAAACTGAAGGCTTTCAGAGCATTAGTTCACGTAAATCTGGATAGAAAGTAGTTTGGAGGCACGATTTTAAGATTCATGAATGAGAAACTAAGTAGGATTACGCCGCTTTGCTTCAGTTGAATGTAGTTTTCATCATAAATTGATGTCAGTTGAAGGATTTTTGGAATCCAAGGGACGGTGGATACCGATCTGGTCTGATCTGGAAACTTTTCAATCTAGTATTCACTGATTCTTATCCTAGTTCGAACTTAAGACTTGCATCATTTAGGCAAATCTACCAACTTGAGTCGATTTCGTGTTATCAATAGGTATCTATCTTCACTACAGTAATGGATGGCTCGAAGACTTATGAATCTTCATATTATGACTGTATTATTTCACTAAATGATTAAAATTGAAATGTTTACTAGGTAACAAATGTCTTACAGAGCTAGATGATATTGAACTATAGCGGATAAAATAAATGATATACTTCTACAGACAGTGATGTACCACGTCCTCGGCTTTACTCATTAAACTTAAACATTAGTTTATTTCTTCAGATAAACTTAGAAATCGCAAATCTTAGTTACGTAACTCCTTACTCAGCGAGTCATTTTTACTTCTCACTTACTTTACAACTTCAATCTAAACTTATTCATCTTCAAAAATTTGGTTATTCAATGACGGTTAAACTTAACCTTTTACTGCAAGAAAGAAGAGCTATTTTAAGTTCTCGTAGTGTTAAAATAAGCGGATACAAAACAAATTATTTTTATCTTAATTTATTCCTATTTTAGTCAGTTAGTCGTAGGCAATGTAGGACCTGACAAGAATATGTATCGGTTCAAATTTCCACACGTTAATATATCATATGACTGTGTGATATTAACTCATTCAGCATTACATGCAACTGTATTGTAGTTACAAACAGATTTCAAGTGGGTAACTAAATTTACTTTTTCTCACCATAATCAACTGATAATATTAATAATGCATATGATGATTTAACTAGTTCAAGTTCCGAAGGCATCAACTGTCATAGTATCAAATGATATATTATGACAGTATCTATTTATAAACTTTCATATGTTTTCTTATCAATTTATAGGAGAATTCTTTGCTTGCCCCACAGTCTCTCAATTTTAATCTATTTTCAGAATACTTTACATTTGTTATTGAAAACCTTTAATGTAATTTTATTTTGCACATCTTTATGAATTCAATGGGAAGACTTTGTCTATAACTGCTACTTACTGCGCCGTGTGGCTAGATGTAGACTATCCGGTTTGGATCCGCTAGATAACCATGATCAGTGATTGGAGAATTCGGGTGACATGGATCAGGTGCATTGACCTTTTATTTTTCTCTTTAAATTGAATTCCAGCATTCCTTCATGAATATCTTCTTACCCAGTACTTAGAACCATATTCTCAATGTTAATTTTCTTGCATTATTATTGAAACCATATTATTTGAATCGTTCTATTAACCTTGTTATTTCCATCTTGTTGAGCTAATACAGTATGGCAACTTAGGCCAAAGCAAACGTGTGCTAGGTCCGACGTTGATGAAGACTGATTAATTGATTTACTGACGTTCAAGTGAATGCTATGAAAAATCTTTAAAACTATACGGAAAATAATCACTTAAACTTCTATGTGAGTCAGTCTATGACTATAAAATACACATGAGTCATTCATACCATAAAATTCTTCATTGTTCAACCAGTCGAAATCTAATTATGATTACACGATTTTGCTTTAGACTATAACACTGGTGACGGTAAATTTTTTTTCCAGAGATCAGTGAAAAATAGTGGTATACTTGAGATAAATATCACTTTTATATAGCATTTTGATTACAGATTCTGGTGTATTTCTGAAGAAGACTATGAGAGTTGAAACTCTCAATTGGTAAATTAGTAGATGAATTTACAGTCATCATAACAGAAAACTCAAAACCAATCAACAAGCTAACCATTGTTTCAAATTCACTATGAGTATCAACAGAATGCTTGGCACATTTGATGATTTTAGGCTCCAAAAACTTCAAAACTTTTCAACTCAATAGCTTACCAACTCTTTAATACCTACTTACTTGTAATCTTGGATCAATAGTAAAACTACCGGATGTTGGGTTCATGCACGCCACATATTGAGTATTATTGATTTCCTTCAATGTCAACTTTGTTCTGTCATACCAATGTGAATGATCAATATGTTGTCTTATTAAACAATGTGGTTGCACTGTAAAATAAGTATCAACTTCCGGCATATTTAAATCGTCAATAAAATAGATTAAACGTTTGTTACCAGGTGGACCATAATTTCGACCAGCTTTTTTCTCTAATGGTTTCTCTAAAACACGTTGAAGCATTTCACTTGTTGTATAAAAATTAAATGGTACATTTGTAATCATAATATCTTCGTTAAAACTGGAGAATGTATCCTGTACAAGTACTGTTTTACCAGTGCCTGCATTACCAACTAACATAACAGGACGTTTACGTTGTAGTAGTAAATCTAAAAAGTAACGTATACGAATTGTTTCCGTTGTCGGTACAAGCATGGCCTAGAAGTAAATAAAAGCATCAATAAATTTCATTGAATCCATCAGTTTGTTTGACATTATATGATGAAGATAAGATCTCATAACCAGTTAAAACGCTCAGTGGTCAGATTAAGTCAAATCTACTGAGCCTTTCCAGTAAACTCTCATCAGATTCTACAGATTCTACACTTAAAATAATAGTTTAAAGGAATAACCAACTTTAAAGTATGTAGATCGTCTGAAATTATGCCACAAACTCAGATTATAACTTTCCAACAAAGTTTTCCAAGGGGTTTATTCTGAAGAGGTTGCCCACTAATATCCGTCTTTTTATGTTCACTCGTTAATATTTAATATTTGTTTACTTGCATAGTCGATTGAACCAACTGAGAGAATTTTCAGTGATCAAATGGGTTTAAATTACAAAATTACAATTTGAACCATGCTTTCAGAACTATCTAAGCCCCATAGGATTAAACTAATTAGATTGGAAAAAAGGTAGGTAGGAGGCAAACAGTGAATATCTGATTAGCTTGGCTCGAGAAGAGAGAAAGTGAGACAAAGTTTGTACAAGAGAATCAGATTGGTACTTCTGAAAAGTCTAAAATGGAGGAAATTTACGTCAATCCACCACCACCACCCCTTTAGAAAGTATGTCAGACACAAATAACATTGCAAGATTAATAATCAGAATAAATATTAATAATCGAGTGAGAGAAATAATAATGTAACTATAAGTCAGCCCAAAACTCCGGTGGAAAGTTACATAGGGTAGAGAGTGACATGATTCCGGTGGGAAATAAAGAGGTGGGGAAGTGGCAACTGGATTATTCATGTGTTTGGAGGATTAATAAATGATAACATCACGGAGGTAATAGTAGTGACAATGACAGTAATGCTTGAGTAAGATTAATTTTAAGCTAGGAACATACAAGAGAAGGGGTTGTATCTACATTAGTCAAATGGGGTCATTCTATAGTTTAGATTACTAGTGATTTATAGGCCTTAAGGTTGGTTAAGGTAAGAGAAGAGGTTGAATATATTTCTTTTGAACACGGTTCCAGTTGTGATGACTAGTGATAGTAAGCGTAAAAACAGGCCACTAAAACAAACTCGGAAACATGAATAAAGTTAATAAATAAACCTATGCGATGTACTATAACTTACTTGTAGTGGAAGTTCTGGGTCTAATTCAAACACTGGCAGTTTCTTCGACCATAATTCGAATTTTTTACTCACAGGATCAATGAAATAATCAAATATAATACCATTTGTTGGAAATTTGACACTTTTAAATTCAGTTACCCACCATTTACTAAATTCAACACGATGATCAACTAACTGATCTTGAAATAGTGATCCACCGAATGCCCAAACAGCACAGAATACAAAGTATAGTTCATATAATTCCTTCGGACAATCTGGTGGTGCAGTTTCTGGTGTTAAATGACAATCAAGTAAGTAGCACAACATTTGTACATGAGCAATTTCAGTAATTGGTGTAATCTTTTTAAAACGTGAACGTAACACTTCTAAACATGGTGGGACATATTTATCAAAAAGAATTTGTAAATTAGCCTGTTCCGATTGTAGTTCACGTGCAGCTAACCAACTGGATATAAATGGAGTTGTACCAAGATCCTATAAATCAACAGCAAAAAACAGTAAAGAATTAAACTTATTATTGAAGAATATTTTCTTCAGATAATTGTTGGGTCACCAGCTGTTCGATATTGGATAGTGATGATGATTATGCCTAAGTCTCATAACCCGTCAAAATTATCAGAAGTTGTCATCTCAAACCTATCGAGCTTCGCTTCTCTTATTGTCATCCAAAACTTTAAATCAAATATATATTAAAAAGCATACCACTTTCAATCATTCATTACTTTTGTGATTTCAGTGTTCAATGGTTTTACTAGGTTAATATTTCATTTCTTGAGATTATTTTTATTATTCTCTTGACAATATTTAGTTTTTCGTTCTTACTTAAGGTTCATTTACTGTTACTTTTCTGCTTAATTTAAAATAGTCTATGAAATTAATTTCCCAATTATACTTACTCATTCTCTTTGTGTGCTTTGTCTCTGTAGAATATTTACTCACTTCCCAAATGCAATGAAATTTAATAATTTTTTTGGCACCGTTGATTATTCAACATTTATATTTAGAAGGGGATTTGTGGAGATTTCAGTATTTTTCAAAGTTGAAATCATGAGTCCATTGAAGCTAGACCACCATGGAAAACCTGGAAGCACTGGACGGCCGTTTCGTCCCACTGTGAGACTCCTCAGCAGTGCGCATCCACGAACCCACTCTCGCGGGACTCGAACCCAGGACCTACCAGTTTCGAGCCGAAGCCCTTAGCCGATAGACCACTGAGCTGGCATCCAACGGTGTTAATGTCTAACTTCAACACTTATGTTATTGTCTATCTTGATTTGTACTTTTTCGAGAAAATGTAATCAAATTTTCGGTATATTTTTTTTCGAATTAACCAACATTAATGCCTTAGGTTGTTAACATTTAAGGAGAATCTATGATATTGACAACAGATTCTACTATAATTGTAACTGTCATTGTTGTTTCAACAGTAAGAAGTTGTTGTGTTTCTTTTGGTAGGTCAAGTATCAAAAGAATCCATGTAGAGAAATTTTAAGTAGAAATTAAAAATTAAAAATGACTAATATACATCACTTGGAAGCTGTCAAAAAAAGTTATTACAGTCCAATAGATAAAATGTTTGTGAATAGATAAAAACAATTAAATAATAACATTAATTTAAAAATTACTTGTGGATTGATGTATAAAATTCCAGCTCGTGAAACAGTAGCTGGTGTAGCTGTTTTCAAATGACTTATTTCAAATAACAGACGCATTGTAGGCGTTAAGGGAATACGTTCATTACTCGATAATGTTAAAACTTTGTTATCATCCATCACTGTATTTAATGATTCAATCCACATTGGGTCGATATCACCATCGAGTACAATCCATTTAGGTCCATCATGTGTTAAATTAGCTAAATCTCTCATAATAACAGAGAATAAACCATCTTTCCATTCACGTGTAGCCGGATTGATAATACCGAATAGTTCATCATTTGTAACAGCTTTTGGATCTAAATCAACAGCGACTGGTTTCTTTTTCATGTTCAAATTTGTACGATATAATGTTTTCCACACCATGGATTTACCTGTACCAGCATTGCCTAATACAAATACTGAATGTCTTACAGCGAATAACTCTTGCAGTTGTATAGCTTTTAATATAAAGTTATCTTCAGCTTGTAGTTTCAAATCAATCGCAGCTTGTTTAACTTCTTTTTCAAGTTCTAAATCACGTTTTCTAGGTACATCTAATGCTGGGAATAAATCACCAATTAAACCCATAAACACAGGTAAATCATCAGTAACAATTTTAGGTATATTAAAATCACGTAATGCACGCATAAGTACTTGATCTTCTGGTCGACCTGGATCACTACGTTTCAATGCACCAGCCACGACTAATACAGATTTAATAGCTCTTAAACCCCAATCATAATGGTCTTGTTTCGACAATAATTCTTTGCATAATTTATATAAGGTTAGAAATTTTCTAGCCAACAATCTAGCATCAGTAAAACCTTCAGCAACTAACATAATTTCACAAATTAATTCAAAATCTGGCACAACCATAGCACATGGACGAAATAAAGCTTTTAAATTTTCCGGTAATTCAGCACGTCCAGCGTAACCAGGATTCATCGTGATAAATAAACCAACTGTTGGATCTAAACTAATCTCTTCACCAAGAAAATTAAATCGTTTCTTTTTATCTCTTATTGCATCTTGTATACATTTCACTTGTACGGCGACAACAGATAAAACTTCAACTGAAATACGATTGAATTCATCAAAACAACCCCATGCACCAGATTGAGCTAAGCCTTTATAAATATTACCAATTGACTTATAATCCATCTGTTCTGAACAATTAAATACATATACCATAATACCTAATGCACGACCTAAGTCTTTTGTTGTTTCTGTTTTACCTGTGCCAGCTGGACCAGCTGGTGCACCACTCATTGTCAAATGCAATGATTGTGTCAATGTAATATAACAACGATCTGTTAATGGTGTTATTACTAATCTTGGTGTATTGCCTAAATATTCATGAGCATAACGAAATTGTGCATCACAAATATTAATGAAACAATCTTGTTGTTTTTCATCCCAACGATGTCTTAATTGACTAATCCATGTAAATGATAATGCATTATCAATTTTTTGACTAATTAATTTGCTAACTACATCACGATTATGTACATCAATGGTACAGATAGTCATAACTTTTTGACGATCTTGTGAGTTCAGTTCACCGATTAATAATGTGATTAATGCATTTAGTTGTTGTATTTGTTTTTTATTATAATCTTTCAGTGCATTTTCATAGCCTTCTTCTAATCTAGCAAAATTTATATTAACTTCTGTTGTCCAACCAATTTGTGAACCTGCTAATGATACTTGAGCTGGATAGTCAAACAACCACTGATCACGGGATTTTTCTTCATATGTTGATACAGCTTCTGATAAATAATAACGTATTGTAGCACGCATTTCATCTAGTAATTTATTTAACCATACTTCAACTTGTCCATCTAAATTTACATCTTTTGATAATTTAACTTGTTCACCGTCTTTAGCGCCCATATGATATGCAATTTTTGAGTTTCCTTTGTTACCATCTGGACGAAATTTCAATGAAGCCAATGAATCAAATAGTTTAGTTAAATGTTTAGTAACTTGTTCTGGTATATTACCATTAGATAAGATATCTAATAAATCAGTTGGGGATACAAAGTAAAATCGTGGAAATGCTAAACGTTTAGTTTCTAAATACTCGGCCAATGCTTTTTCACACAAAGTTAAATCTTTTTGTATTAACTCTAAACGTTCATATAAACGTGGTCGACTTGTTGCTTTAATCACATTGCGATCATCACCGATTTCATGAATTAATTGACGAAAATCACGATCAATTCCATCAAATCTTAAAGAATCTTGTGGTAGTTGTTTACGTATGTCTTCAGAACCAATAAATATCGATTCTAAATGTGACCATGTACGTTGTACTTCAAACCAAATAGTAATCACTTGGTCAGCTGTAGATAATCTTTTTTGCCATAATGATACATCATCAAGAAAATAAGCAATATATTTGGATGTCATCATATTTTGTAATTGTACTTGATTTTCTTCAAGTGTCTCAATTAATTCTTCAGTTGCTTTCAATAAAATTAAATTTGTACGTGAATGTGTTTCTTGCTCAAATGTCATTTGTGTCCAAGTTGCATTGATTTCTTTTAATACTTTCTCCATACTCATTTCTTTTACAGATTTATCAACTAAATTACGTACTTCATCTTCATATTCGTGTAAATTTAATGATAATAAGTCCATTAGTGTTGTACTTTCAGTCATTTGGAATTTCACACCAGTAGCTTTCATTAATTGTATCCAATGTCGATCACGTATTGCTGGATTTTGTAATTCACTTACTGCTCTTAATGATGTTAACATATTTTTAACTTTTTCTTCGATACCAATATATGCATCCCATGCACGCATTTCTTTATCTAAACCGCGTAAATCTTTGGCAAATTTTTTACAATCTAAATCTAATTGTTCAACATTTATTGTGCGCCATGGACTCAATGTCCAATTATGTATACTTGTCTGGATTAAATGAATATAATCCCATAATATTTTCAATAGTTTTAATTCTTTACGACATTGTTTAATTTGTTTAAATTCGGGAACATTCACTTCAAATAAACTAGCTGACGTAAGAAGATTTGACATTTCGTTTTCCAATAATAATAAACTTTGATGATTCTAGTATATAAATAAAACAATGAACAAAATACAGATCAAAATAACAAACAAGTTATTGAAAACTAGTTGAACACTGAACAGTTTGAAATAATGCAGCAATAAAGAGATAGACTTCATGGTCAGTAATAAAGAATATTCCCATTTTTATGCGAGAAATTTACTTACGCTGGGTATTCCAGATTTAGAAAAATAACGGTGGATCAACCCCAAGGATTGGGTTGAAAATTTGAAACATTAGAGATTGTGTTTGCCCTGAGACTTGAAGAACATGAGTTCTATCCTGCGTAATAATTTTGAGCGAGAATTGTCGGTGAGTTCAAAATTAGACTATCTAGTAATTCCTGGTTCCTATGATTCCGTAGTAGATGATCGTATATGATGAAAATTATCTTCAAGCTTAGTTTAAGTATTGTAATTCATGCTGATTTCTAACCAGAAACCTTTCAAGCAAAAATGGATGGTGGCTAGCAGTAGAATACAGAATGCGCGTTTCGTCTCGTTTAGTACTCATCAGCTGGATGTACCCGCATCTCAGGGTTAATGTTCACTCCAGGACTCCAACCTAGTACCGTTAGCTTCAAAGCCATTGCGTTATCCACTTAGCTACTGAGTCCTGATAGCCACCTGACTGTGCAATGGGGTAAAGATTAAATTCATTCGCAGGTACATCCAACTGACGAGTTCCAAATAGAACAAGATGCGCGTTCTGGATTTCACTGTTAGCCACCATCTATCTTTACTTATAATACTTGTGATTTAAGGCAATATCGAGGCAATCCGCACAAGTTGCATGCATGCCAATTGCGATCGTAATAATTAATGGGAAGATTTAAACAAACAATACTAAATGAACAGATACCTTTTAGTTATAAATTAGTCCTTACATACGATTTGATAACGAAGGTGATAGTAGTTTGGTAAAGCAGTGGAGAAGAATAATATATGGTCCTTTTTTATTCAAGAACTTAGTTTCACAATCATAGAGTGGAGGTTTTAATTTTTTTAGTTCTATAAATGAGTGGATAGATTAATAAGTAAGTAGTTTATTTTGCCATCTACTCATAGAGGCCTACTTGAACATCTGAGTTACCTGTTCCTGTCATCTAGACATTACAATAACGTATCTAATTTTGTTTGTTTCAATGCATCTTTATGTCAGTTAATCGCATAACCTATTCAGGTGTGTTCCTGAAAAGTGTACATCTTTTCGTTGTACAAGTTAAAAAAGGCCCAATCAGAGATATCGTGGTTGCTAGCAATATACAAAAAAAGAATGTGCATTATTTATATGTCGATTGACTGGACTGTTCACTTCTAACTGAAGATCACTCAATAGTTGTCGTCAGAATCGATCAAGAAGTAAGAAGCCGAAACTTGCTGAAATACCTTGTGCTGAGAATTCTATATTATACTAAAAATATAATATTGAATAAAACCAATGATAATAAACATTCACTGATGTAGTAGAAGTTTGACAAAAAGATTTGAATCCTTATATTTCGATACTATAACAGAGGTTACAATTTTAGACCGATCAAACATTATTAGAAGGTTTTCGCGCCATCGTAAACTTTTAACTCTACATGATTCACTGCCCGAGTACATATGTAAACAGACAAACAGGAATCACATTATAGAATTCCCAACAAAATTATAATGTTTAAAATTTTGCATGATAAGATTCAGAAAAAGTCTTAATTCTCCGTCATCAGCTGAGAATTCAGTGTTCCATATAACGTTTTGGTAAAACCATAAATACATATCATCTACGAGAAGTTTCAGGACCTTAAACAATCAGTGAGAATAAATATCTTTATGTGTGTTTTTGTACAAATATAGGTGAAAAATTACACTCTAGTTAGAAAATGGATGATATTCAGATTTTCTAGAGATTCTTTCCATTTGAAATCAAACCAACTCATGCACAAATTCTCCCATAGACCTTAAATATTTTCAATTATTTTTTGATTTCCCAATTAGTCTACGAACCACCATTCACGGGCACTGGTCTTAATCCAAGTAACCTGTATAATCATATAAATGATCAAGTAAACTGTTAACAAACAATTACTTTTACTTTTATTGATCAGTATGAGGATCATTAGAAGACGATACATTCCTATGATCACATGAATTATTTTTAATTTCTTGAACTACGTTGTTTTTGACAACCTTTAATATCTTGTGATAAACGTTAATTAATGAACGATTCAACAAATTAAGAAAGAAATGTTGGCAGTACGTGAAACAAATGCTTAGATTGTTTTCGAAGATTTTTAAAACAAAAGATCTAATCAGCAGTTCACAATTCACATCCAATCACAAAGTCATAAGTCTGAAACATTTTTGACTCAAAAACATTATCAGTAAATGTCATCAACTTCAAATCATAAATTAGATTTCTAGTTCAGTACATAAAGGATACTAAGATATTGAGTATATATATAATATTATTACTGTCGACGGGAATTAACAGAATATAACAAAACGGTTATTCACTGTTTTACTGTTTAAAACACGACGATTTGTATAATATTACGATATGAAAATTATATGAAAACGCAATAATTAATTACCTTGTCTATAATTTCGTAAGGATTCTGACAATTATAATTAAATGGTGACATTTTACGGAATTCCTCACGATACATATGTTGTTTCACATCGAAATGTGCACATTTACGACGTATATTAGCAACTTCATTATTTTGTAAAGGTGCAACTGTTTGTTTCATTAATATAGCTTGTTTTTTGACATTGTTCCATTTTTCAGGTAATGACTAAATATAGAAATATTCGGAGAAAAAGTAAAAAACAAACAGATATATGCGAATGCTAATTGATTTCTAAAACTATTTCCTATATATGCGACTGTAAAGCTTGATAATAAATTAATTGAAAATCGATCCCTTTGTTGAACTTTGTGTTTTTAACTAAATCGTATTTAATTAAATTTGGAGTCTTTGGATATCCTTACATGTTACCAAGTCTTTTCTAATCGAAGAGAGTTTCAGTTGAAAAGTACTTCTACCAAATTTAGATTGCAATAATCATTCGATGGCAAATTCTTAAGTAAGAGACTTGAGCGTTACCAATTCTCTTTTGCATGCAAACAGTCTAATGATTATTCTTTGAATAATTTTAATTTATGATAGAAAATACTTGATGGTAAATCAATATGTCTCGAAACCGTTAACCTTGTTATTAGTTACATTTTTGAAGAGATTAGAGTTAGTGCTGAAGGAAAATAGACAGTTTAACTGTACACGAAGTAATACTTAAGATAATAAGAACTTAATAAAAAAAAACTATTGGTTCGTTGTTTTTAAATATATTTTCCGCTTACTTCTCTATGTTGGATTGACTAGATTTTAGTTCGATTATTAGATAATTAACACTCATTGACAATATAAGGTGACCCTTCCTGAATGAGCTCTTCAAAGAATTAATTAGTTATCATTCTATGATTAGACGAAAGATGAATCTTATACCAGTTATTGATTATCATGAAGTAAATGGCATTACTCAATCTCTTTGTCAGATAGATACCTATAGTTGTTTTTATCCAAGTCTGCGGTAGGATTTACTAATTATCTATGCATCATGAAACAGGATAGACTTGCTTTTTTATTACGAGGATCTGTAATTACTCAAACGCTGCGTAAAATGTTGCTGTTTGGTGTGCAATAAAACTATTCACCCTTATGACATCAACAAGGACAACTAACACAAAAGTAAACATTCTCATTTCATAGAAAAGTAATTATTATAAAAATCAAAACTACAATAACATTATGCATTGGCTTACTTCTAATAACTGATGTACTTCATCAGGCATTTCTTGATTATATGTTTTCAATAGTTCTATTGTTTGTTTCAATGGCTCGAACATTTCATCTGTGGCTATTTGACGATCTTTTACTTGCCCTAGGTGTTTCATGACAGAAATTAAAGCTTCATAATTTCCATCTTGAAGATCTACACTTAAACCCTTAGTGGAAACCTTAAAGTAGGGGAAAATGAAATTTAAAAAAAAAACAACCACAGAAGATATAGGTTATAGACGTTTTATTATTAGCGATCTAATAAAAACAAATGTAATACCATCTGGAAACTAAACACCGAAAACCATAAAATTACAACAAAGTCTGTTTACTATCGTCTAAACGAGTATTAGTTATCGGGTTGATGTGTTAACATGTATTCTCTCATATCAAACAATATAGATAGGTTACTATGGGTATGAATTCTAGAGGAACCCTTTGAAGATTGATACTAAAATCAGTTAGTAATCTGTAATGATTTAAATAGAAACCTGACCTGTTAGGTAAATACTAACAAGGGTGAATATCAACAAAATAAAGTATTTATTTGAAGTTATTACTATTCCATAGCCACGACTATCGAACTGTCATGAATTTTACATTCTTAATTCGTTATTTTTCATTGGCTACTTTCATTGTGAAATGTAAGCGCATCATATGCGTGGATTTCGAACAGTAAGTCAACAAATGAACATTTTATTACTATTATACTGACATATAAATAAGCTTAAAGTGAATTATTAGAATTTACCTGAATGAAATTATTTAAATCTTCTAAACTGGTTGTAACATGATCAATTAAATGTTGTTTAAACATTAGACTCCATCGTTTAATGACATTTATGAGCGCTTGTTTAAATTTACGAGCATCTACACGGAACCAAGAATCAAATTTAGTAGATCCATCCACTTTACCAACCTTTTGTTTTTAAAAAAAAATTCAGATTTATTTGACAAAAACTATTGTAACACAAAAAAGTGAGTGAATTACATAAAAACTCAATAAGTGATTGAAGTTGTTTATTGTTCGTATATAAAATAGTGTAAACTAAGAATAATCAGAGTAAAAATAGTTAATGATGATTTTAATAATTCATTCTTAACAAGAATATCTGTACATCAAAAAGGTAACATTATTATTCGTCTTAAAAGGGGAACTAGAATTAATTTTGATATCAGTCGCTCACTTTTTGCTGTATCGTGAATGATGTCATACAAACAAATCATGAATGAAATAACTGATTATTTCTCATTTTTCAACTGAGAAATTGGTTTGTTCTTTAGGAAAGCATGTATAAATGTGCACTGTAAATGTGAACATTCTTTAGAGCTAAAACAGATAGCTTACTGTGTATATGTTTTTGTGTGTTGTTTGTTAACGGTCTGTTTATATTCTGTTTATACAATTGGAGTAACGGTAATTTAATAGGATAGTTGAAATATTTGCACAGGAGTAAACTGGGGCTTGGACATAACATATTTATAAATTTTATGTTTCAGTTAAAAAGTAATGGAAGTATAGAGGAGATTTACTGTGTTGAACAGCCAATGTTAGTTAAGATGAGTGGTTACTGACAAAAAGTTGTTTCAAATTCGGTTCAACTTCAGGGGATACTGAAACAAAAGAAGTTCACCTGTTTAAAATCGAAATATTTTAAGTGTTTTTCCTACCGAGAACTACCACTAGTTAGAGATTCTTTGAACAAACAGAAGTATATTTTCATGAAGATATCCAAACGACGGTGAAACAACTAATTCTTCAGTGCTCTCTTGTTTTAATGAACTTACAGACACTATAACTTTTAGAAGGTTGAGATTATTTTCAATATTTTCGATGTTTATTGAATGTGTCATACCAAGCACTTAAGGTTGTTTTTCTACTAATTTAGCAGGTGAATGCTTCATGTTAAGGTATATCTTTCATTAAAGATTTCAAGCCATAAATATTTATGTTTTTAATCGGGATTTCGGGATGTGGCACACTGAAATGTTGATGACCGATAGTTGTGGATAACTGTAAGCACTTTAAATGAAACCTTTTATGAAAACTACCCTCTAATAAGCAGCAATAATCCACTAAATGACCAAAAAAAATGTTTGAAAATTCTGAGTATAACATACTTAGCGGACACTGAAAACATTTCAGATAAACTTCAGGCCTCGTAAAAACCATTATCTTCAAATGTCAAATACAATTAATACATTTTAATTTGAACAAACGAAACTGAGAAAAACTTATATTACCTCTTCATAGATTTTTTCATAATAATCGATTTGCTCTTTAAACTGTTCCAATGTTGGTGGTTTTAATACTGGTAAATTACTGGAATTATCATCTAATTCATTAGTCCTTTGTATACCGCCAGTATTGATTAAATCAAGATCTTCTTGACTGACAGCTTGTCCATAAAGTAAAAACTGCTGCATAAAATCATTCCGATCATCAATCCATAAATAAGAATATGCATCAAACGTGGCACGATAAATTAATGCCTTTTTCATCACAATTTCTACACGGTCTAATAGTTGTTTACGTTTTTTTGATAAATTTTCATTTTGATTCATTTTGGTCTAGAAATTATTTGTTTTAATTAGATAACACACAATACCAGAGAGAATTAAGAGAACAGGAATTGAAAGTAACTTTAAACAAATAAAAACTGGATTTTTTTTGTTAATTTCAATGATGATAATTAACAGACTCTTACATGAAGTAATTTGTGTCATGAAGATTTACTGTTTGGTCTGTTAACTTGAAAATGAGCATAACTGAGCATCGGTTAAGGGACTTTGCAACAATATGTGAACAAAAAGTTTCCAGTGTATAGTTATCACTGGTTTTAATAAACCAAAGAGGATATGTCACTTCATATACTAGATAATTGCAAATCATAAAGCTCTTCTGTCCAATATCTGGTGATGATAAGATGTTTGAATATCTAATTCCTATTGATCTACTGGTCTTGATTTGCACACATCTTCAACAGTATCCCTTAAATGACCTAGGAATAACTAATAATAAACAACGAACAAGTTTTCGTTTACCTGAATAACTGAATTGAGATACATGAGAAAGTGGATGAGACTTAAAAGGATGATTAAAAGAAGTAAACTGATAAACATATGACCCTTGAAACAAATCTGTGTGGGATTCAAGTTACCACATTTTATATTTCAGTGAAGCAAGGGAAAATCATCAAGGGGAATAGTAATGGTAAATTATAATATTGACAAAAGTGAGAAACTAAAAATATGAGAAGATATAGTGAAAAGGAACGAATAAAATCCTCTAGTGAACTATTTAAATCATGGATAATTATTGTACTAGTCAGAGTAAGCCTAATATTTAAGATTTATGCTAATTTGCTAATCGTTTACCAGATTTTTTGTTTATTATTAGATATATACATAATAACTTATTATTATGTCCATTTATTTGTTTACTAGCAAGTTTTCTGTTCCTTGAACAGCAGTTATGATGAACTAAATTTTGTCATTTTGACCTGACGATAGTTGTAGTTATGATTGGTCACTGGATTGGTGATTAATTCTCAACTCTCAGTTACCATTCATTTTTATTCAGTTTTGGTTTTAAACGTAGTGTATTTTTGATGGTTTGCTTAGATCATCGGATAGCTGTTTTATCACAGCTTGGAAATTCTAATAAACGGGATCGAATCAAGAACCCTCAAGTTCCAAAGTGATTATGAAACAATTCATGCACTGATTTAAAACCTGCCCGATTGCCTACACTTGTCAACTTCGGTTTATTCACCACATATTAATAACAATAATACTACAAACCAATTTATTCTAATTTCCAATTCTATCTATCTAGTTTATGGATCTACAAATGTTACAAAAACTATTTTTAACAAATAAAATGGTTTGAAGAACAGAGAAAAATAAAAAGTGTACTGCCACTAACCATATAGCTTTCTTTCATACTCAAATTGGTTATATAGGGAATAAATGTGGCTTGTTTATAAATATCCTCAATAATATGATCAACAAGTGAATACAGCCCATTCTTCGATTCAACATCCATAGATGGTTGAAATGATATATCTGGAGCCTAAATGTAATACAAGAAAAGAACCTCAGTAACAATAGCTAACAAAAACTTATGTGCTTAACCCTTCAGTCAAAGATTATTACAAAAACTAGTAAAATAGGTTTCAAATAGAATTAATGTAAGAAGCTTAATATCGTATCATTAATGGTATGTTGTGAATTTTAAATGATGTCACTGTAAAAATATCCGGTAGGGTGAGGAATTATTGGGCCGTCACTTTCTTATTCTATTCGGTAAAGGTGAGTTGGTCTAAGGAGAACAAAAGAACTATTCATACATCACAACTGTTTGTCAGGAAAGACTGAACTAATGTATTGGAATAAATGATAATGTTTTTAACTTCCCGAGGAATCGCCCAATCCAAATTGTGATTTTTAATTGGCTAGGAGTAGGTTAGAGAAGTTAAGGACAATCAGGTTAAAACATGAAACTAAACTATGAAATCAGTGGATATTGTTGTGAAAACTGTCGAAATGACAACTAAAGCATTGGTGTTATCGAGATGTTGGAAATCAGTAATTGAAGATCCTATGTGGCATACCCTTCTAATCATGAAAATATTAATACACTACCATAATCTGTCACTCTACTCATGATATTTAGTGTAAGGCTCAGTGTTGTTGTGTTTGCCTGTCTACACATAATGCATCACTAGAAGGTTGGGTAAAGAGATGCATTTTTCCAGGTGTTTGTCACCACAGAGTGAAGAAACTCATTTGAGCTCCCTTGATATCAACACTTAGTCAGTTGATTTAACTAAGTGGATGAATAAATTGTTTACTTTGTCGGGTTATCGCTATTTCTACGCTGATTTTTCTTGAAGAACTTAGTTTAAACAGGCATTAACACATCAGTTTAAATTAGTATTTGCGAAATGCATCAACAGAATTCATTGTTCAGCTTATCACATTTAGAAAGTTGTATTTTGTATAACTCGTATTTTGTGATATAGTACAGTTTTTTTTACTAACCCAAAATTTTTTTCTCTGTGAACCCGAAGTTTACTGATACAACAATAAACTGGTTTAAACCTGTGATTAAAAAAATTGTGTATTTTAAAATTAAGGGTTACTTGTAGTTCCATTTGAGATTCTAACAAAGCAGCTGTTATTGGTGCATCTTCAGTTTCGGTAAGTAAATAATTTAAACTACATTCAATTGTTTGAACAAGACCATTTTCTACAATACTATCAATATATTCAATGTATTTTGTCCAAGCAGGATCACTTTCATTAGCTTTAAGTAATTCACGATTTGTCTAGAAATCAAACGATTAAATAAATAATAGTAAAATAAATGTGTTATTTATTTGAATAAATTTAATCGGTAAGTTAACTTCTATGACTTTTAGTATTATTTAATCTAACAAGTGTTATATTAATGAGTGATAAAGATAAATTTCATAAAAAAATAACTTGGTCATTGTTATTCACCTAGTACCAAAGATGGACGATGTGAGTTCAGTAGACCGATTAACTTAGTGAAATACATTTGGTTACAACAACGATTAGAATAACATTCTTAACAATCACCACAGTGAGTGAAAACTTCTTATTAAGGATACAAATTTGATATTGCGACTAATCACCTTTAAATAAAAAATTAAGGTGTTAAGATAGTGTTTGATGAAAATAAGACAGGCCAAATCAAAATTCGAAGAATAAGGTACAATTTATAAAATCCTTTTACCCTGTGAAGTATTAATATGGGTTTGTAAAAACACTTGACCACAGAATCGGAAAATTATGCTCACAAGAAAAGTATTCAGTAATAGATAATTGTCTTGGAAAAAGTGGCTTCCCCAAGGCATTTATAAAGGAACATAGAATTGAGTACCATTTAAAGATGGAATTTTGTTAAAAACTGAGAGAAAATGTGTTTCATTCAATAAATGTCTAAAGGTGATCAGATCGCGAATAAAACTAACCAACGTCGAAAGGAAATATTAAGAACGACATTAATTGCAGCAAATTAATTCCATTGTACACAATGAGATGCACAACAACACAAGCATATATCAATTCAAATGTACATGCTTTCGCATGCACACTGGAAGAACAAAAAGACGAACATCTACGTGTTTTGTCGAGCAAATTTCCAAGCACCTGTACTTCCGAGGACATAACAATCCTCGTAGTCTCATTGCATGCCACTTCTTAAATACGGGACGCAAGGTAGATACGACGAATCCATTCACTGTAGTCAACAAACAATCTAATTATGCCTTATTAAAATCAGAGGAGGTCATGGTTATCAGAAGACGAACGTGATCTTTAGATTCAAAAACAATCGGTGATTGATCTTTCGTATTACTTATTTAACTCCTAATTACTGTCAATTAGTCATAAAGTTGTTGTTAAGATTTGTATCACAAATATACTAGTCACATATACATTGAAATTTATTATTTATGGTGCCACATGATTTTCTATGTTATATCTATGATCGTGAATATAAATTGAAAAATAATACTTAGGTCGTCTTCCAAGGGTTCTGGTTGGTAGTTTAGAAGAGGTGGTACAGGTAAGAGTTATAAATGAGCAAACAACCGTTATGAAATATGCGGAAAACAGTGTTAGCAAATATTGACAAACAAATTCACAATAGGTTGAAAATTAGACATTCTATATCTTTAAGTTGAGGAATTTAAGGAGAACCACATAAGATCTAGACGTGAGGACAGAAACGAATGTGACCTAATCATTCCGCAATAAATGATTACGGAAAATAAAGGAACCAACAATATGGTACTGACATAATGAAGTAGAAATCAAATTTGAATACTCAATGTCTATCACAGAAATGTACCAGATCATATGAAAACTGAAATAAAAGTTAGTATGCTCACAAGAGGGAACATTTAAAGTTATGTAAAACACATTTTTGTTCCATGGTATATTGAAGTACTTGGTTGGAAATGTGTAGACAAAAAGCTTGACCCCAGTTAAAATAGTGGTGATTCAAGAGAAAGAAAGCAGAACGACCTATGTTAAACCAGCCATAAAATAAGAGGTGACCAATGTGTGACAACGTGGGGATAAATAATGAGATGATAAGCAATTTAAATAGTGGAAGGATAAATCAAAGATAAAGTTGCAGGCAGTGAGAGCAGGATGTTTAAACGAACTAAATAGTGACAAAGCTAATCTCTCTTGTAAGTAGACAAAGTTGAAAAAAACAGTAAATGTTGATGCAGAATGATTGCTTATGGAAGAAAAGTATTAAAGGAACTCGGAAAATATATTCCTCAGAGTTTTTGAAACGACACCACAGATTAATCGAATACCAAGCCTATAATTGAAAACGCGAACATAAATTTTACGAGATCGAAGACTCAAACACGACATTGAGAATAATTATCAATCAGTCTACAGAAGAAGACCCTCGCTATGTACATCAGCTTAATGAACTTAATGAAAACATCTAAATCAAGAAAACAGGTAGGAGACTTCTACCTGAAGTTTGTTCTGATAATGTTGTTCAGAAGAACAATGAGAGCTCCACGACCAAACCAACCATATTAGAGAACAGAACCCCACCTAGATCATCCACCTGAGTTTCAAATTGTCTCCACCATCACAGAAAAAAAGGACCTATTTTGTTGAAATTCAAGAAAAGTTTGAAAGTCAGAACATTATTTCCACGATTTTAAGCGGTTAGTAACAGCAATCCATTACACAAGCAAGGAGCAGAATCTACAAGATATCCTGGGTATGATCTGGTAATTTCACTATTATACATTACCTAGATTTTAGAAAGGAGTAAAACATAGCACACATTACTGACGAATATACAACAACTTCGGAAAATGCTATTCGGAGAATACATTTCTTGATTGAATTAATTAAGATAATAGATTTAAAATATTACAATGTCAGAAAAATAGATATCTGCCATTCCACAACTTATTACAAGTGGTTTGTTTACAGGACCATTCGTAAATTTAGACCTTACCGTATCAAGTAGGTTGATTGTAGAACGGTCAGATTAAGAGCAGAAACCAAAAGTGGAATCATGCTGTTGACTTTTACGAGTTATGATGGCAGCAGGGTTTTTCTTTCAAACAAACAGTATCTCTAGTGATCCTGACATTTCACAACAAAAGGAGTGGGTTAGAAAAGATTGGCCTTAAGAATAACACGCTTTACTTTACCACACAGATTTCCTTAACCAGGTGTAAGGCCCTTAAAATATGAAGCCTCAAAAAGAAGTATTGGTCGGTTTTTTCTAATTTAAGTTACTTGTGGTGTAGGCGAGATGTAAGTCCGTCAACCAAAGGACGTATATACTACTTAAGAGACAGTCTTTTACAATTATATGGTTATAAAATGCAGTCTGTGAATGTAAACGATATTCGTAGGGTGTAGGTATCCAATAATCGGTGTACTTGAACACATTGCTCTTGCATTGTGGAACGAACAATCGAACAGTGCTGAGGTTAGGCATCGATTACTAGGTAAAGATGAAGTACAGTTTGATGAGGTTGTGAATCTTCATCGACTGAGGAAGTTAGGACATGTACTAAGTATGCATTAAAACCACCTACCTCGACGAGCACTGTTGGCTTGTGTAAGAATAAGTTGGAAAGAAGATAGGGGCAGTCAAACCAATGCTTGATAAGAGCCCATAAAGTTGTCAACGGTGATCATGGGTTGGAGATTATGTCACATGAGTCAGAATCTGTTATAATGGCCCAGGTTCACTCGCTCATTACGTTGCCTTCGATCTTTAATTTCAATATTCCTCCATACACTCTTTTATATTCTTGCTTTACAAACCATATTCTCAGTGTTTAGTCTTTCTCATTACCCTCATTATCATTACTTCGACTCTTTTGCTACTCATCTTTTTAGATTCTTTCACCTCGTTAACGTTGTATAATAACTTCAACCAACCTACGTACGTGCCGGGGTTCTGTACCGATCATGGCTGACGGAGTAACTAGCACCTAAACAACTAAAGTATTGCAGTGTCTAGTACCACATCAAGCCCACATGGGTTATTCTGGCTTCCGGACAGACCACTCAATTTATACCTTTTGAATCTCATTATGACCTCGTCAATTATTCACTGATAACCTTGACTGTTTTTATATGAGCGTGTGTGTGTCTACCGTTCACCTCATTCATCACATGTCTTCAGTTGACTTTCGTCTAGCTATAGATAATGAGTCACGGGTTAGCAAAAGGAGTTAGTACACTTGCCTTCAACGCTTCGACTTTCCACTTCTCATCATTAATGTCTGTCTAAGTTGACATGTGGGTAAAATGAGTTCATCCAACTCAATCCGGATTCGGCTACTTATTGCCGTCGTCGCAAGTGGGGGTTAGTCCAGGTTTAATATGCGAAGTTAAATTAAAGATTTTTATACATGGCATATTCATACGTTAACTCAAATAGGAGTCAGATCAACGGGCCACTGAAGTGTATATCAGAGAAGTGTATATAAAACTGTACTTCATAAGTGACTTAAGAAGAGAAGTGGGGAGAATAAATGAAAAAAGAAGTTTTATTTTCATGTTTGAAACTTCTTAGTAGGGTTGAATACCTGGCATCGTTTATTCTACTAACAGGTAATGTCATTTTGTGTTATACAGTTTGTATAAAAGCAAGAGGTTAATGAATTTGAATTTATTGGTTAGGTTTTATGATGTAAATAGGCTTGTAAAATAGTGCTTAGAAAGTTATTTGCATTGCAACATTATTGCAATCGATACTAGGTTTTAAGTTACTTGAAAACAAACGAAGTGAATACTTTTTATGTATTCAGTTGATCTCCCTGTCAAAAATTTACTTGTCTAATTTAATTTAATGTTTTCAAAGTTTTTTTGGATTTAAAGAGATAGTTTTCACCAAGAATTGACTTGAGTTGAATAATTTTTAGAAATTAGAATACATTAAACATCTTTTTCATTTTAGTCTGAAACAGATTAGTGACAGAAATCCACGACTGCATGTAGTATTTGACCAAAAATCTTCAAAATTTATGACGAACGCGATATTATTCACTCGTAAAATTAGGATTCATCTATATTTTACAAATTCAGTCTATTTGTGCAGACTACACGGTTGAAGTCCTCGCGATTATCGTAACCAGTGTCTGGGGGAATTGAGTGACATAACTTTAAATCGGTAGTGCAATCGCGCATATACATCCATTTTTTATCTTTCAGTAAATCATAAATTTCAAGATTATTTATTACTTTTCATTTCTTGAACTCCTTCCTTCTTCTCGAATCTTATATTTTATGTTAAACGTTATTTTTATTATTACAGATACAACAAATACTGTTAGTGCCTTAGTAATCATCATAATAATTCCATCTCACATGATCTGATATTGTATGCAACTTGGATTGATACACATTTGTTACAAGCTCCACGTTGTTAATGACTGACATACTAGCTTCTTCCCAGAATAAATGACATTTTTTAAGTTAAAGCACGGAGAAAATTCGACAAACGATTTAGTAAGAACAAATAATTCTGATCACGCCAGTTTTGTCATCCTGGTCAGTGATCCTACATGAGACATGTTTTAATATTCCTTTTTTACTTACTTGCAGAAGACTAAGTATTTGTTTCCCGGCATCTGCAATTTCTGTATAACGTTTAGAACACCTATCCTCTCGATCATCCAATCCTAATAACGTATCTTTTTTACCATCTTTGCGTTCAAACAATGGTATTTTAGACCAAGTGGTCATGATTAAACGAATTTGTTGTACATTTTCTTGAGTTTGTACGACGCGATGTTTTAAATCGTCGATCTGGTTTCGTGTTTTTTGTATATAATCCCATGCGTCTGAAAAAAATATTGATAAACAATTTACGATTAACATATGCAGGACTTATAAGAAGTGATATTTTGCATGCTAATAAAATCATGTGTTGGTCGTAGTCTTTATGAATCATATTTAGTATATCCGATTGAAGGTTTGAACAACAATGATTTGAAGTGTAAAAAATGTAGAGCTACATATAAGTACTGGAAATGAAGTTTTGCTAAAAACCATATTTATTCGATTCAAGGATCTGAGGAATGTTCACCTATGACTCCACGTAGGATCGAACTTAAACCTTTCCCGTCTCTTTATAAGCCATCAAGTTAGGGTCCAGAGTCTTATGGTTTAAACTCCAGTCAATTTGAGATACGGATATAATGTGATAATGATTTAATGTCATCGGAGAGTTACTATTCAGCTTTCGACTGAATTAACTCTATATATCATGGGTTATAATTGATTTGAACATTCTGTATAGGTGCCCCAACAATAGCTATATAGAAAATGAAGGTACATGCAGGTACATCCAGCTGACGAGTTCTGAATGGGATGAAACGTGTGTCCTGGATTCCACTTCAATCCACCATCCATCCCTGCTCATATAGACAATGGTTGTTTTTAGAAATATATCTTCGTATTTAAAGAAAATGAAAGCTTTATATATAGTCAGTTATAACTATCTCAGACATTAATTTCCAACGTAGAACCTAGCCCGAATGTATATCAATCTAAGTTCGTATAGATGACATTAGCAATCAATCCAAATCACTTTAAATTGCCGAATAACTCTGATGGATAGCTTTTATTTAGTACTGCAACTATAAATTTGGAAAATATTTCCATATATAAATGGCTTATGAAATAGTAATCATGGTTATTCTATAATATTCAGTAGAGACGAAAACCTGCGAGTTGAGTTGTTAAGTTATAGCACCATACAAAATGAAATCAATACAGTGTAAACTCTCTGTGATGTTTGGTGGTGGGGTGCCACTATGTCTAGTGAAGGGCACCATAAATATTTTCATAAAACATGAAAGAAACTAAAGTAAATTTAATGTCTTACACCTGGATTTAACGTTATCATAGTTCATCAATGTACAATAGTTATAATCCTTTTAATGTATTATTAGGGGACTCATTTTTTAAGACTTTTCACTGACTGCTTTTCATCACTTAATATCTATTTTTTTGTATAAACATGAAATATATAATCAGTAATAACTGAGTAAATTAAGAAAAAGTCACCTACCACTAGTTTTCCAACTCAATGAGGTTTCAGCTTCTTTCGCTTGGTTATCAAATAAACCCATTTCGTTGTTTATTAATTCTGTTTCAACAGATATAAGTTGATTAGATAAATAACTATATGCTTGAACAATCATATCTAAACTAATATGAAAATTGCGCAATTTCTCATTTTGTTCATATAATTTAGTTGCTGAATCAGGAATTATTTCTTCTGTATATAAGCCTAAATATTTAACCTCACGAAGAATAGCTACAAGCTAGTGAAATAAAAGTAAATTAAATATGATCAACAGTTGAATTTTAATTGATTACTAACTTTTGGATAATGCATTAAACACATAATTTTCAAAGTGTAAATTGATTTCGTCAAGGACTGTCACCAACCGGATGGCCACTAAAAATCAAGGAGCGCTAAAAAGAGTTGAATTTGATTGACAAACAATTTCAGGTTCATCTATATTTAGTTTGGATGACTTTGCGGGGGTTCTTATATAGTTTGAAAAGGACTTTCGTAGCAAACTTACATTGGCTGGAAAACCCAAGAGTACTGAATAACTGCTGTAAATGTTGATCATAGGACTTTTACATAATGGTTTAGAAGTATTTTGTTTATTGCGAGAACTGAAGGCTTCGATTTTGATTTAGTGTCATGTTGTGTATACTCCTAACGAATTTTGAAGTGGGATAAAGTATATATCACGTCCTTCTTGGTTTGTGATGAAAGGTATCTATGAAATATATTTATTTTGCAGAAACCACTGTCTTATACTTATGAATAGTCTTAAAACAAGACAACATGCATGGTAAGTGTAGTTGTGATTTCCAATGAATGGTTGATTGGCTCTAGCATCCAATGTATTTGATTCATAAGAGTTGAGGCAAAATATCAAATGAAACGTTTGGTTTCATATGTTTTATTTATTCAGTATATCTTTGTGAAGGATCATAACAGACCATAACTTTGTCATAGTACCGTAATAAAGTAGCTGTAGGAAGCGGAATTTTTTGTTGATTTTGACAGCTACATTTTGATAGTATTTTTCAAAGAAAATAGATCTGAGTATCTTCTTTTAAATGAATTTTTAACGCATGATGAAGACGTTGTTTATGTAATATTACTGATACAATGGATGGTTTAAAATATCTTTCCCACTCTCAAGTATACTACGATAATACTCTAGTACGATAATGAGACTACTCATGTAGTATCAGATCCAGGATTTACGACCCAGAATAAATAACCACAATAACACTATATAATACTTCATTCAACACAGTTACAAACAGTCACATTTAGCGAGTCCAGAGTAGAAATCAATAACAGGAAGAGAAATCATACTCAGTAGTTGGTAGACTGCGTGACTGTTTGTCCACGCTCAGTGATCAATCATACTTTACTTTCACCACCACATATCAAATACTAGCAACTAACGCTAGAACATTCAGTAAGATACGTCAGCTAGTGAATGTTGTTGTGTATTTGTCCCTTATACCAGACCATTATCCATTTCAATATGAACAACTTACTGGAATGAGGTAAACCACAAGGTAGCTGGGACAGTAAGCATAAACAGTCATTGCAAACAGTGACTATAAAATGTCAGAGGTGATTTTTAAAACAAGTAACAAACAGTTTTTTGACTGTAAAACTCATGTTTGTCTCAACCAGTTGTGTAGGATTTGATTATTTCATTAGTCATCATCGTTCTAAGTTTCGAAAAAATCGACGGTCAGATGAACGTTGTATTCAGTAGTTAATAGTTAAATTACAAATTTATTAGTTGACATAAGAATATTTCACTGGTTGTTCAAAAAAGTTGAATATCATTTATCACACGGTGATTTTTGTATATTTTTTAAAATAAGAAATTTCCCATCCCATTTAAAAAGTTTTTCATCCGGTTTCGTCCAATTAAAAAATTGGTTTTAAAATGGTAATAATTGCTTAGTTATTTCTGAAAATTGGTATAAAAGGTAAATATTTCTCGACTGATCACCTTTTCTCCAAATTATGGACGTAAATAACGTACAAACTACAAGCTCTATTGTTTCGAACATTGTCACGGACACGGATAAAGTATTCTTGAGTACGTTGTATCTGGTAGCGTTCCAATCGTCGTCTGAATATAATGTGTAATAAGAGGGTGTTATCAAGGTAATTGCGATAAAAAAGAATGTGGATTAGGAAAGATGAATGTGTAGATTAAGAAAGGTATAAACACAAAAGGAATTGATAGGGAGTATGGGGGTTTATAATATCCAGCTTCGGCATCCGGTGATACAGTAATGGGCCAAGGGAAACATAGAGGCTGAATATACCTCTTCTCGACACATAAGATTCTGTGGAAATTCATATAAAACAGAGAAGGCTTCGTCGATTTAAATATGATGTTCGTTATCTACCAAGTGAGAAAAAATTGTACTGTTAATTGATCTAGTCATTGCTTTCCCCAATCATGCTGGTACACACAAGGATAAAGCCCTCTGAGTACTGCCTATGTAACTAGCTCCATAGGAGTAGTTGAAGTTGTATACACATATCTATAGCCTATCCTTGATTTTTTGTGTAAGTACTGATCTTGTTGAGAAAACTATATGTAACTTGGCGGTGTGAAACTTCCTTTCAACAAATCTTTAGAGTCGACATGTTACAATGTCACCCGCTATGTCCTCTTTGAAGTGAAATTTCAAATACAGGTTTTTTTTCACTGATCGAGTCACAGTTTCTTTTTTAAATACCTCCTAATAGGAATTTTTTGATGAAATTATCTGGATAACTGTTATTTCGTAATGCGTTCTTTAGTGTATCTATTCCGCTATCTACACTATCTTCAGAACATAATAGTTCGGTTCTGTGACTGAGATATTTACGTAAAACTATTTGGTATTGAAAAGGTGTAAACCTATGGAAATGGGTATACTAACCAGTTCATGTATTATTTCTAAATATATATCTTTTTGTGGAACCGTCTATCCTTCTAGAGAGTAGGAGTTCAAGGAAAACTTTACTATTGTCGTTCTCCTCTTAACTGGTGAATTCGATATATGGGTGGACCTTATTGAAACAGTAAGAAAGTGTAAACGCTTATTCATTCAACAATCCTTGACGTTTAGAGTTATTAATATACACCCTATTCATTATTTTATCACAATAATTTATTCAATTATTTACATACATATAACAATTATTACAAGATTGAACTATGTGTCCAAATAACTCTCGAAAATGCTGCAATGAAAATCAGTTTTCTACTTAAACATTTTATTAGTTTTCAAGTTCAGTAACCACTATTATCAATTATTAAAGACAGTTATTAGTTTTTTCCCAGTTTACTTTTAATGACGTGCATAGTATTTCTTTTATCACGATACCTAACGACTTCAGTCCCATTTCTATGTGATCAGAAAGAAATTTCAATAAACTTCTTATTTCAATATCTATTCACAGACAGGAGTATAGCAGAGCAATCTAATAGCATTGATGTCTATTTCTTTTAGGAGTTACAAATTTTTATCAAAACGCAGGTGGAACAGTTGGAGAGAATTTTTTTTTAGAAATAAAATTCAAATGTAAAAATGCAGTTTTCACATCCAATCAAACCAGTTTATGCTACTTTGATTTGAACTAATCAGATCAAGAAGATGCACAGTTTACAGACAATTAAAAAATTATTAGAGGCAACAAAATGCTTGTTCATTATCATATGAGCACGCACTTCCTAAAAAAATTTAACCAATCACCTGTTGCCAAATATTTTTTTAAAACATCAAGAAAATTTCCATAATTGGGGTTCAGGGATCACAATCACCGCGCAATAATAGTCAACCTCAAAAGTTCTTCTCTTTGATTGTGTTGTGATATATTATTTTCATTCTGTCAGTCATGAATAAGGTAGAACGTTGCACAAAAACATAGTAAGGTAATTGAAATAGTAATACTAATGGTAGTCAAACCGTAACACAGAGTTTAGTGAGAAAAGAAGGAATAAATTCGTTGAATTAAAATTTTGATATAACCTTGAAACCTTAGATTTAAGGGATGATAGAGAATGAAAACACTTGTGTTATTACCAATAAACTACGGCACTATAGGTGTCCTTTCAGGTATTACGATTGTCTTGAATAATTAAGCTAAGAAGCCTACATGTTCAGTTACTTTTCAGTCTGATATTGTATGACCTAATAGACCAATGTTGTTATTCGGTTTAGTAGGTCCCAAAATTATTTCAGATCATCTATGTTATGCCAGTACAGCATGCTGAATCATGTGTAGTTTATGACCCAGTCATCATGGACGATGAGGTTTCAACTATGAACATTTCCAGAATAATTTATATGAATATGTATAGTTTAAAACTCACTTTTGCGTCAAAATTTACACTTAGCATTTTCGTATTTAAATCACGTACAAGTAATGGTTGAGATAAATTAAATGAACATATTTCATCTACACTTTTAGACCATTCATCAAAGGCACGTTTTTCATAGCTAAAATATAATAACATATAAACGTGTATATCTATTAATGAGTAAAGAAAATAATTCTTAAGTGATATGTATGGATTTTCCTAAATGCATTAAAAGTAAGTGATAACATTTATGATTATTATATTGAGGATAAATTATTTAAACCAATGTGGTTATTCTGTGTAGTAAAATGACTGCAGTTATTCTTGGAAACTGATGGTGATTGATTGGTTGGTTGTTTAATAGGAAAAGCTTAGTTTCAAAGTCCCGCCATATATATATCGCCACAAAGCATGAACTGTTGAAGACTTCGAAATTGGGGTGAAACAACTATCCAGAGAGTACTAGTCGCAATAGCCCATAGATTACTGTTGCCCAATGGTAGACAAAAATTGAAATTTAAAAAAATACTATTTAGCATTAACAAACAACTCACATTTCTCGCTAATTCCTATAAACAGGTGCAATCTCTAAATAGTTATTGATCAAATAACAAATTGGATGTCTAGACAACAAATTGCATACGAACTAATCAGATTTAAGATAGCACCTCTTGGATTTTTGTGTGAATCTCATTTCTCCATACGTCTAAATAGAATTCTGTATTTATAATTGGTGTCAGACAGATAGTCAAGGTAGATTGGTCTCAACACTGTAGAAATTTTGGAGATGATTATAGGTTCAAGTTAAGCAATTCACAACAGCACAAAAGTAGGACACGAAAGAAAGAGGGAGATTCTTAGAATGACTAATAAGAGTAGACTTTGAAAGTGCAGAATAAAAATTAGTTGCAGTGTTTAGTATTTAACAGAAGATAATGGGCAAATGGGTCTTATAATTTTGAGTGATATTTAATTTTACAATATTAAATTGTTTAAACGTTGTGAATAAAGCCTACGCTTTTATCGATATACAATTTAGAACAACAGTCGGTGTCTTAATAAGTCACAAAGAGCACGAAACCATTATCATTCTCAAAAGAAATCAGGCTTACTCATGAAGGAGATTCAGTATTTGATCATATTTCTTTTGAATTAATTCACCTTCTTTGGTGTGAAATATTCTAAAACGAAAGTATAGAGAAATAGAAAATCTAACGAGGTTAACAGTTGTTTACTAGACCAGGTAACATTGATAATCTTCTGCGATTCAACTGCTTGAGTAATTTGAATAACATAGTACATGAGGAAAACTATGCTAGATCAGTGTTGTGTTTAAAACAGATTCATTTGAAGGTCATAGCTTGCATGGAACTAGGTCAGTCGGTCACATGCAACGTAGAACCTAGTACATGAGTGCACCGGTTAAAGTTGTCATACTACACATTAGCACAACGAAATGAATTTATCAAGAGAGATTTGACAGAAGTTGAAGTAATAACAATATCAGCAGTTGTAGGAAAGTTTAGTCATAGAAGGCCTAACTCGAGGATAAAATATAGGTTCATGCAGTAAAAAAATTATAAGATAATCTATAGACATAAGATCCAAGGGAAGATAAAGAGTCGATGCATCTGTACCATTGCGAATAATTCTGAGTCATGTCACAGAAAGTTTCTCAACATTGGTTACGACAATCGCTTGGACTCCAATCAGGTAGTCTGCACCTTCATAAATGAGTCAGTTGGATTGTCAGTAAATTTATGGACAAATGCCACATCCTGATTTGGTTACCCTTAGATGTATTGCAATCTACTTTTACACCAGAAAACATAGTCGGTTGAGGTAGTTGGTGTCTGGTCATACGTAATACATGTCCCAACCACATCAGTAGATGAGGATTCATTGTCTCGTCAGAACATTGAGTAACTAATCTAATCCGGTACTCTAAGTTGGTGGTTGAAGGTAGTCGACAGGGAACACAGGACCAAGGTTTCGCACTATTTGTCACTGTTCATTTCGGTGTGCTTGTAATCTTTGGGGAACTAATGCTTCCTGACGGATTTGATCCCGTGTCACCCACCTTCACAGTCAGAGATGTTACCACTGAGCTATCCGGGGATGCGACTGACCTCCTGTAGCAATGAGATGTAGTACACATCCCAGAGTGAACATCATATATTGGACATGATGCCGAGTCACACGACCAGTTGTCGCACTGCAACATGGTTGATAGTATTCTAATTGGATTAAGAAGGACCTGATGCAAATGACATTGGCCACTACCAAGTGATCAATCAATTGTAAATCTTATACTCAGTTAATGAATTACGAAAGGTTTTCAAGCCTAAAATAATATGAATAGTTCAAACCAATTTATTGTGATCAAAGCAAAGTGTCATGAGATTTAATTAAATTTATTTTCTACGTAGTTCGCGAATTAAATACTCCTTTGGAAACAGTTATGTTACATTCAATCATTTAATATAATGTTTTACTATTCAAAAATAAATTCTCTTAATCTTCACATTTTAACATCTATAAAAAGTGGTTCTTGTTCGCAAAATGTGAATTTTATGGGGGGGGGGAAAGATAGGTTGGGAAAATAATATCTTTTGAAAAGATTTCATTTGAGATGGCCGTGGATGTTCACTGATGAGGATTCCACATAAGGACGAAAGGGCAGTCCAGCGCTCCAAGGTTTTTAATGGTGCTCTAGCTTACATCGACTAATGAATTCAACTATTAAAATTACTACAATCTCCACAAATCCCCACTCCGAGAAAATCTTTGTCAATAATAAACACCTTACTAAAGGTTATTTTCAATGGTGTCGAATAAACGAAATTGAATGTATTAAGCTTATCATAACAAATGACGTCACCGTTTGCAACAGTCTCCTTTACTTTTATCTTTTTTACGCTGCACAGAACAGCGTTATTCAGCCTTATTCATGGTTTGCCCAAGCTTTTTACTGAAGTAAGTTGTAAAGAGTTTTAGAATGATGTAGTTTTTATGCACAACTACTAGCATTCAAAAATTAGAAACTAATAACTTAACTGTTTGCAATGGCGTTGGTTGGCAAAGCGAATTTTAGTAACCATGAATGAGTACCGAAGTTGAAAGAAAACCTTACTATTTTATCAACCGAAATACAAGATCTGACCACCAACCACGTTTTGATTTTACTACCCTTGAAGTACTGGTTGTTACTTTTAGGTGAATGAGAGATGCGCAACAAATCCAATGATAAATGAAATTGCTTATTAGCTGACTGCATTAACGACTTGAACCCATGAACTATTATTCTAAATGTTTTTTAATCCTCTTACACTTATATAAATATAGTATATTGACTCAGCAGTGTTTGATTATTCATTCACATTTACCCTTTCCTCTAAAATGATTCATCATTGCCTTAAACTCTGCCTTTAGCTCTTCTAGGGTTACTGCCGGTCACAAGCCCACACAAAGGAGGAGGATTAGGTGTGGGGTTAGCAACCCCATCCCATAGAAAACAATCTTGCTAAAAAAACACTGACCAGAATAAACAAATTAAACCGTTTAAATTCTGCCCTCCGAGTTTAAGGAAAAATTATAACGCCTCATGATGAAAACCGAGATTCTTCGGATGTCAGTAGGCCGATGCTCCTTCTAACAACCAGAACAACAATTTTTATAGGTATATGGAAAGTGCGGACAGGGTAGGAGACAGGGAGTACCAGTCAAATAACAAAGGAAATGAGGAGATACAACCTGGTGGTTCATGGAATAAGTGAAGCCCATTGGACCCAAGCTGAACAGAAAAAGATAGATTCGGGACAGATAATGCTGCTTTACTCAGGTCACGAAGAAGAAAACGCTCCATATACTCAGGGAGTTGATCTGGTGCTGTCCAAAGAGGCACGTAAAGCACTTACAGGATGGGGGATCTCATGAACTCAGAATCATCAAAGCACCATTCAAAACAAAGAAGAAGGCAATCACAATGAATGTTATCCAGTGTTATGCACCCACCAATGACAACAACGACGATAAAGGTCAGTTTTACGAGAGGCTACAATCAATCATAATGAAGTGCTCAGGAAAAGATCTTGCCATTCTGATGGGAGACCTAAACTCCAAAGTCGGATATGAAGATATCATGGGATGACTGGGTGAGAGAAATGAAAATGGTGATAGATTTGCAAACTTATATGCATTCAACGAAATTGTTATAGACGGGACATTATTTCCACACAAACGCATACACAAAGCTACATGGGTCTCACCAGATCACACCACGTAGAACCAGACCAATCATATATGTATCACTGAAAAATTCACAAGGTCAGTGGAAGACGTGAGAACCAGGAGAGAAGCTGACATAGCTTTAGCTCATCATCAACTAGTGGTTGCCAAGATCAAACTGAAGATAGAGAAGCACTGGACAACTGGACAAGCAGCATTATAAGAGTTCAATGCAGTTTTCATTCAAGATACCGACAAACTCAACGACTTCAAGATATCTCTCAACAACAGGTTCCAAGCCTTACAAGATCTACTGAAAGAAGAAGAAACTGCTATGGAGGACAACTGGTAAGGGGTCAGAGAAGCACTAATTTCAACGTGCCAGGAAGTTGTGAGCCGCAAAAACCCTGGAAAAGATTCGAGAAAGGAAAAACAAGAAGTCAGAAATTAACAACAGTCCAACAATCACAGAGAAAGTGAAGGCACAAACTGAATACACAGAAGCAAACAAGCAAGTGAAGAAGAGTATTACAGCTGACAACCAGAAATACGTGGAAGAGTTAGCAACGATAGTGGAAAAAGCTACCACAGAAGGTATTATGAAACAACTATATGAAACGATGAAGAAACTGACAGGGTAATATAGTAAACTAGAGAAGCCGGTCAGGGACGAAGGAAAGCCAATCACTGAAACTCAGGGACAGAGGAACAGGAACACTTTGAAGAACTGTTGAATAGATCTGCCTTACTGAACCCACCGGACATCGGAGTTGCACACACAGACCTTCCTATAGATATCACTTCACCAATAATCGAAGAAATCAGCATGGCCATCAGACAAATCAAGAGTGGAAAAGCAACAGCACCTGACAATATACCAGCTGTAGCACTAAACTCAGACATAGAAGTAACTAGAAACATGCTCCTTGTTCTATTCGGAAAGATTTGGGAGGAAGAACAAGTGCCACTGACAGAGTGGAAAGAAGGATATCTCATCAAGATACCAGAGAAAGATATGAGCGATCGTGAGAACTACAGAGGCATCACACTACTGTCAGTACCAGAAAAAGTTATCGACAGTGTTGCTGGACCGCATTGAAGAATAAGGAGGATCCGATGCAGACGTATATGAGAGGATTGGCAAAGCAAGGACAGCATTCCTACACTTGAAGAACATGTGGAACTCAAAACAACTGTCATCCAACATCAAAGTGAGAATCTTCAATATGAACGTCAAGACAGTTCTACTGTATTGAACTGAAACTTGGAGAACTACCACAACCATCACCAGAAAGGTACAAGTATTTATAAACAATTGTTTACGTAGAATACTCAATGTCCGTTGACCGGATACCATCAGCAATAGCCTACTGTGAGAGAGAACAAACCAGCTTCGATCTGAGGAGGAAATTGGGAAAAGACGTTGACAGTATATAGGACATATATTGCGGAAATCATCAAACTGCACCAGGAAGCAAGCCCTAACATAGAATCCTGAAGGCAAACGGAAAAGAGGAAGGTCAAAGAACACGCTGTGCAGAGAATCGGAAGCATGCATGAAAAGGATGAACGTCAACTGGAAACGGCCGAGAAGGATTTCCCGGAACAGAGTTGGATGGAGAATGCTGGCGAGTGGTCTATGCTCCTCCAGGCGTAAGTGAGTATCACTGCCTTAATAAAAATATTTATTAAGTCGGCCACAATAATACAACTTAAGTAATGAAGAATATGGTTTCATGTCATCCTACGGAAGTCTGGTTAGAAGAAAACCGATAGACAGAAGTACACAGTAAAATAACTAATTCTTGCTCAACTTTACAAATCAGATCACACTTACGGTAAGTCTAATTGATTAATCATTTCCATGGGTTGTGTAATGCGGCTTTTTAAATCACTTGCCCATTTTAAATTTCCTGATAATCTAGGCATATTTTTATGAATTTCTGAATAATAAGATGGTTGTTTCTTGTTAAGACCAGGTTTTACATCATGCTTCTCTTCTGGTGATTTATCACCTGTTTGTGGCTTGTTATTTGCAGATGATGTTGAGTTCAATGACAGAACTGATAATGGAGGAAAACAAAACTATTCATTTATCTTTTATATATTAAGAAATACAAATCAGATTCAGAGTAAATATAATAAAAAGTGGAATATGAAACAACATCAGAATTTTTTGAACTCTAGTATTTTGTAGTTCTGTCTGCAGTTCATTAATGGTTAGTGCCGGTCCCTAGGTCGGATAGAGGAGGAGTTTTGGGCAAGGAGTTAGCAACCCTATTCCATGTAAGAAATCAGGGGGATGAGTCATAATTTACAGAAATCATTGAATCGCATCACAAAGCAAGCTCTAACTTAGAATCCTTAAAGAAAAAGGTAAAGAGCCAGACCGGAGAACACGAGGGATCAGAAATTAGAGGTAGACATTGAAAGGATGAATAGCGTTTGGCAACAACTGGAAAGGAGAGCCCAGAACAGAGTTAGTTGGAGATCTATGGTGTACAGCTTATGCCTCACAAGGGTTAACAGGCGTAAGTAATATTTTATAAACAACTAGAAAATTGTGTTAAATAATTTACTTGTAAAACTAAAATGAGATGTTGGTAGCTATTAGTAATGGATCGATTTCAGAAATTTTAAAACAATGTGTTTACAACAGTGATTAACGGTTATTTGTCTTCTGGCCACAAACTTGTTTTATTGTAATTCCACTTTCAATATTCTACTTCAGTGTGTAGTATTGTACAGAGATTCATAATATAGTTTATATGAATAGATTATTATATACTTGCGTCTGTTGGTGGAAAAATGAAGTGGCAGAAAACACAATATTCATAGTAATGTTTCTTTTTGAGCTTTAGAGCGTTTCAGATGACATTATGCTACATACTTTTCGTTAAAGCTCGTGAGTAAATATTACAGTTAAAATACATTACTAGTTATTTAAAACCAATTTAAGAAAGTCATTGAAATATTTTAAACGATTGGGAAACAAATAAGTCGTAGATTTTTTTTTGAAAATTCAGCGTTTAACCAACTACTCACTTTCTTGTCTAGATTTTTCACCAGCTACATGATAGTCATAGATATTTTTCACTGTATCCATTTCTTCATTTAACATTTGAGTTAATAATTTATATTTAGGTTGAAAGCTCTCCTTGATTATGGGTCTGTCCAGTAATGTATGTAGAATACTGATAAGCTGCAATACAATTTAGTTATAAATTTAAATTCGTAATTAGATGTATGAGATAGGTTTGTGATATGTGGATAAGAATTGATGCCTGAAGAACTCGGATCATGGTGGGATTTGGGAAAATAATTTCTGTCTTCCTAATATCCGTCTTAGTCACGAGTATCAAATACCAATCAGTTTCACTTGAGTTAACAAATATTACCCTATCGTATGGTGTGCTAAGATGGTCAGGATACAAACGGAATACATCTATCATTTGAAGTTAATGTTATTACCAGCATAGTACGAAGTTAAATATATTATAACGATCAGGGTTCGAATCCTGAAGGTAGCACCAGTCTGAAAAGACTGAGATATGTCCTGCTAACGAGTATCAACTATCGCATAGCACAGTTTCATAGATTCCTTCTGGTTGTCTCCCAATACCTAATATTAAAACAACCCAACTGACTGATTTAATACCTGTTATGACTAAGGTATCCGGATTAATAACTTTCATTCTATTCAAGCCAATAACGATTGAACCAAGTCTAAGATACAGATACATTGGCCATCTAGCAGCAATAACATTCGACAATTGAAGGCAAATGAGCTGTGGTGGTGGTAATCCCTATGAAGTAAAAATGTTTGTAGCATACACACAGGCGAAGTTTAAGGATAGTTTTGCCAAGATAGAATATTATCCATTTTTGATGAGAATTGACAGTCCATCCAGAACGATGTATTGCCAACAGGAGAAAAGCAAAGTATAATAATTTTGATTATCGATCTACCAACAAACAAAATATATTATCAGTCTAATTTAGTTATTTGACTAGTTGAGTAATGAAAGGTAATGAACAGGACAGGTTGTTGATACTTTAAGTGATTAAACTATTTGATAGTTGGACGTTGTAGATCAGAAAGTCAAGCACTGAACTGGCTGTTTGATTACTCCTACTTCAAGTTCTGCGATGACCGAAGTTTACTTTGAGTCAGCATGTATTGTTACTCTTTGTGATAAAAAGAATTTTTTAATAATTAATTGACAGATTGTATGTTACTGATTATCATTTGAGTAAGCTAAAATTAATTTCAAAATTTGTGAAGTACCTTGAGAAAATGTTCTAAAGCAGGGCAGTCGTCTACGGCATGTTCAATCACATTAGACAGTCGATGTTCTAAATCTTGAACATTTTTGTTAAAATCTGAGAAATCCTTACAAAATTCTTCATTCATAGGATCCAGAACATCATATGTTCTGTCATTGAACATCTAAAGGAATACAGAATAGTTGTATAGGATAATTCACAGTGACATTATAAAAGACAAATAATTAGAAATAATAAATACAGCATTTGAATACTAGACAAACAAAGAAAATTTCTAACCAGTTGACTTCTTATAATAATACAATAAATGAGAGTGACTGGTTTATGACAACTTCGTCACAGAATCAAAGCTGAGGAATGACCTCGGAGAAGATCACGAATATAACAAACACATATTTACCGTTCAATCATAAATGGAACATTTAAATACGTCAAATACTTCAGTTTCAAAGATTGATTTGACCTAATTTTCTCAGGAGATTTTTGATCAGTGTTAAGAATCGATATAATATTTCTTAATGTTCTACATTTAAGCTATGGTTACCAATTTACAAATCTAGGATGAACCACCAACTGAACTTGACACAAGAAATAACATTTAAAGTCCCTGTTAAAGCTTTAAGCTCGTGTACTTTTCGTGGGATCTTATTCTCTTTATGAGTTTATAGGTGTCTATTATCTTATAGTGAAACCATATAAATAACTTGAGGCATTTATCAAGGATATCCCTATCAAGGAAAACACTGATATTAGTCTAAAGCCATCAAATAAAAACCTGACTACATTTAGTTTGACTAAAGATTATAGAATGGCTGAGAGTTTTAGCCCTTTCGTTTGTTCAGATAGTTTCGGTATCCATGGGTAAATAGTTAAATTTTAGTCAGCTTTTGCCATTACTGATTTAGTTAGTCTATTTATCTATGTACTTCTTACCCAATTTTTCTCTGTCTTCACTTTTAGTTTTAATGAATGTAACGACACGGATCAGAGCACTCATATATTATCTTCATAGTTAATTCTATCATTTAATTAAAAAATTATAATTTTTATGAATAAGTGATGGTGAAGATAGTTATATTGCATTGTTAGATGCTTAAGATCTTGCAAAAAACAAACAGCAGAAGTTTTGAGATCACATATTTTTACGTTTTTATCAATGTTAAATGTCATAGCAACAAAACTAATTTTTTCTCAGATCAGCAATTAAGTTTAATCAGTTACGTATTTAAGGTTTAAAGTAGTAACATAAAACCGTATTTATTGTTTTCATAAATAAAAGATTTAGTTTCTTAGTTTAATCTAAGGTCACATTAGCAAAGCAATGAACGATATATATTGTTGAATATGTTGGATAGGGGGTTAAAATGCCACGTTAAAAAATAGGTAAACAAAATAATATCTTCGTAGAGGCTAATGGATATAGCATGGATAAATTCAATTTCCGTAATCAGTAATCAGTCGTGAAAGCACTTCAATAATCATCAGGGGTTTTGTGGAGATTTAGTATTTTTCATAGTAGAAAGCATGAGTCAATTGAAGCTAGACCACCATGGAAAACCTGGAAACACTGGACGGCCGTTTCGTCCTATTGTGGGACTCCTCAGCAGTGCGTATCCACGAACCCGCTCTCGCAAGACTCGAACCCAGGACCTACCACTCTCGAGCCAGAGCCCTTAACCGATAGACCACTGAGCTGGCATCCAACGGTGTTAATGTCTAACTTCAACTGATCCACGAAGTTGAGCAACCATTCACCAATTGTCTTCAGTGAGTTCCTATCTCACGACAGACGTGGTTTGCACTCCACTAGACATTAACACCGTTGGATGCCAGCTCAGTGGTCTATCGGTTAAGGGCTCTGGCTCGAGAGTGGTAGGTCCTGGGTTCGAGTCTTGCGAGAGCGGGTACGTGGATGCGCACTGCTGAGGAGTCCCACAATAGGACGAAACGGCCGTCCAGTGTTTCCAGGTTTTCCATGGTGGTCTAGCTTCAATTGACTCATGCTTTCAACTATGAAACTTCAATAATCGTTTTTATTCAGTTATTTTTTAAATAAGTTCATTTAGTCATACAATCAAAATTCTTTTTTACTGGAGATCAAAGATTTAAAGTCTGGCAGTTAAAAGAAATTATTAGTAATATATAGTTTGTATAAAGATTATTTTAATTTGAGCGTAGGTTCCCTCACTGGCTGATATCATTTAAAAAGCCTTCGTAAATCATTCAGTGATGGACATCTATTTATGACTAGCTTGAGATTTTTAAGCAATGACTACAACGATCCAGTATCTTCAGTACTTGTGGAAAGTACTTTGCCTTTAGACTACAGTTTCAGACTTCAATCATTAGCATTTTCAACTTCATTCGATTTGGTACACAACGTCACAATCATTCAATTATGTCGGTAGATAACTGTCACACACTTGACATGATTAAACTTTACCAGTAATGAGTTGTTGCTAGAATTTCAAGAACGTGTCCTGAATTCAGTCAATATTGTGTGTCACATAGTGGCTACGCATTCGTTACGAGACAGGAATTTTCTTCGTTCCATCCAACGTGGATTCATTATTGAGTACTGTTGAAGTTTCTTAACCTAGGATTAAGCTGACTGGTTTTATGGTTTTTCATCGAATCCCAGTCTGTGAGTGACGTTAATTATCGTCTATTTATTAGTGAGTTTACTTGATCAAGATTTCATATTTATTAGTAATGCATATTTGAAACCTAAAGTAATCAGTCAGTTTTTTAGAGCGGATTTGGATTTCATCATTTAAATCAGGGACTGACCCTAGTTAGATAACTAGGAAGCACTAGACAACAGTTTCGAGCTAATGCGGGAATTATCAGCAGTCTCCATATATAACCTCGCTGAGGATCAGACTCAGGATCTTCAGGCCACACGGCCACCTAGCGAAGAATCAGCTGAAATTCAATGGTCTTCATGTCAAACTTTAATTTATCCTATACAATAAGTAACCATCTTCCGATACCAATGGCATGTACTGCCTTACACATGGCATGGTTGAACTCCACTGGTCACGGGTTCTGCCTAATAAGAAACAATCAAATACTTTGAAATGGAGCAGTTTCAGGTTTTCCTTTTAGTGGTGAAATGATTTGAGTTGGTCTTAGTCTCATGTTTATCATGATGAATCATTTTTGACATTCGTTTCCGAATAAATAGTTGTTTTTTTACAAGCTAAAATGGATAAAATAGAATGAAGTGATCTAATATATTGCATAAATATTTCTTAATATATTAGCTTTTCAAATTGTTTAAGAGGATTTGATCAAAAGTTGGCAGGATGTGTGGTAATTTTTTAACTTCATTGGTTTCTCAAACTATGATTCAGTATAAGAGTTATCAGTAAACAATATCACATGTTTAATTTTAACAATCAGACTTATGGAGTATACAAACTATGTTTATTGCCATTCAGTTCTCTGATATGGATGAACGTTAAAAATCATCTGTTTAAGATGATGTTTTCGCGATATTGACTCAATAATTTTTAAATGAAATTAATCAACTTAGTAGATTCTGTAAAAGATTGAAAAATCAAAACATTTTAAAGGACAAATCATACCTATTTCAACCCTTCACATAAATATAAAGATAAACAGTTTAAAGGTGAATGATTCTCTATGTAGAGTAAAAGCGATGAAGAAATTAAGAATGAGGACGGTAAGATTTTCAAAACAAAAAACTAAAGTCTGCAAATAATAATGGAACACTTTAAGTTCTACTACCATTCTGCTTACCTTGTATGTATTACAAAACGATTCATAAATTTCTGTGACACGTTGATTTAATGAACCGCCTTCAATTCCACCAAATACTAACTTTTCTAATTTTAAAAATTCAATAGCTGTTGACACTAAATGCTATACAGGAAAAAAAATTAAATATATGAAAAATATGAATAAAAACTCAAGTGTGATGTTCGATAGAAATTCTTTCTTATATTTTGCTACAGTTTTAAGGATATCAAAAGTCATTTGGTAGTGATAAAAAATCATGGATAGGTTTATTCATTGCTTTTTTCCACACTTAGCATTTATATATTAATAATATAGTTTTATTCTCTATTGTTCATATTATTCTTCCTATTTATTTACAAACACTTTTATATATTACTATGATCTAATTTTTCATACTTCTTTCTAAAAGAATTTCAAATATTCCAAACTGCTTTTTAATCATTGTCGCTAGGTCGGGCGACCTCGACCAACACTAGGGACCTAAACAGTATGGTTTTACTTGCCGATAAAAATGTTCACTTGGTATGAAAACATCTCAAGTCTAAAGGAGGTCAATCTCAGTCCGAATGACTCATCAGTGACTGTAACACCAAATGATATTAGTTCGAATCCCATAGATCATATCACTTTCTTAAGGATTTAAAATATACCCAGCTGATAAGTCCTGAGCATTCCGAAACCTCGGTCCAGAGATCTCCCCCACGATTAAATCTAAGCAATTAACATCAAACTCTCGGATACTGTTTTAGCCTACATTCATCAATCAATTGAAAGGAAATTCTTGTATAAAATTAAGTGTAAGAATAAGAAATTTATGATATCAAAGTTACTTACATGTACTGATTTAACACGTTCAACAAATGAATCATATCGACTAAATGCTAGTTCATTTTTGAATTCCCACAAAGTAATTTCATCTGAAATATTTAGTTTTTTAGAAACTGTTTCAAAATATTTGGGTAAGTTTTCACGATGTTGATGATATATATTTTTAAATTTATGTAATAACTTCAAAGTATATTCAATTTTAGGTTGAATCTCTTCAGCTTCACCTTTTAATATATCATAGGGATCTAAATTTGTTCGACACTAAATAAAATAAACAGTTGGAGAAACGATGAAAAATGACAATTTAACCGGTTTATACAAGCAGGATACTGTCTGAATAATTTATAAATGTTTCAGAAGCTAATTTATTAATGATGTATTGTCAATAGAATCAGTTTATATTTTTATTATGAGTAGAGACTTGAGTGTAACAATTTGAAATTCATTTTTAGAGCAGTCTCACGAAGAAGCTACAGAATAGTAATATTTGGGTTTTGCTTCTATGCAGAGCCAAGTTAAATATATGTGTCTTAGTAGGGCGTGGTAAGCCTTCTAAAAAATATAAGGAAAATGACTGTCAGCTAGATAGTGTTCGAAATCTTTTGAATGGAATGACCAATATCAGAAAGACATTTCTCACCAACACGAAATTACCCTAGATACCAACTAAAGTTCACTTTACTATTTGTGGGCCAAAAAGTAAAAACCGGTTTAGAAATAATCCTAGTAACCATCAAAGTATCAGAAAGTACTGCATAATGTTTTACTAAAAGTCCACAAAAGAATAAAGGGAACATTGAAAAAAGAATAGGTTATATACAAGAAAGAAAGAGTCGCCAGAGGATATATTAGATAATGACTAAAATACGTAACATGCTTAAATAAAAAATAGGAGGAAAAACGATTTCTATTTTAACAAACACGTAAAAACCAGCTACACAGGTTAAGAGTTCGACATTTATAGGGTTTGAGTTAGATTTATGCAACGTTCGTGAATAACCAGTTAATTGGAAGCTATCTGAGCTAGCATACTTAATGTACGACCATCCACATGATTAACATACGTAGATTAATTGCACAGTAAGTTAAAAGGGGAAAGACTAGCCCCTTAGTTCATATCAATTTTAATGCATAAAAAACGAAACACTTTCCTTTTTAAACAATATATTTCACTATTTCAGGAGAATAAGAATATAACTATCCATTAGTTCAGGATTGAGTATTTATCAGAGACACTTTTTGTGAAATAGATCTTAGGACAGAATTCAAATCAGACTTGTGGTCTAGAAAAGTGCATCGAACATAATTAACAATTTTTCTGAACTCAATGTCGAATTATAAAATGTAATGATAGAGGAATCAGAATTACTTCCCGAGTGTTCTTATATGAAGAAACATTGATCGGAATGATCATCCGATGGTTAATATGTTATAAGCATTTTGATAAGAAATAAGACGGGTAATTTACTTGATCTGAACAACTTACCTTAAAATCATAAGCACAGTCTTTAGCTGTGTCTTGTTAAGTAGCTATGAAGTTATTATAATGTTAAATTTGTCGTATTTTCAGGTCGAGTAAACGGTGATCTTTAATTCACTCTGTACCTAATCACTTATTTAAATTTAGAGCGCAGCTTGAAAATCTGTCTTGTAAGAAGTTTTTATCTATATATGTTTGGACATATGTTAGTCTATAAATTTCAAATGCATCAACTTATCTTGCAATATCAGGTTGGTAAATATTGTAGAATATCTCAACTTAGAAAAAACAACTGTCAACAAAATAATGAATGATGAGAAAGAAAAAATGTGTAGAGTTGACCCATAGAATATACGTAACCAGATAGTTGTAATTTTGGGGTAGATTTTAACAAATACATGAATCGCGTTCTAAATACTTACATTCAAACTACCAACAAATAGTCATTCAAAATTATTTAAATAATTATCTCACTTGATTAATCATTAAATTACATAATTCCTGCAGGAGAACTAGTATTCTTGATGGTTGTCGGTAACCTTTAGAACTAGCCCATACTAAACAGATTAGATCAAAAACAGGCTCAATATGTTGTGATAACTGGTCGAATTCAGCTTGCTCCATATCTTCTAATCTTGTACGCATCATACTTAAGTGCATGTCAATATCTTGTGCTTCACGTAAAGCTATAATAGAATGATATTAAATTTAAGGTTATTAAAATAACTACCGCCAGTGAAAAAAATCGGAAACTGTTGTTATAACTGAATTGACCTGATAAGTATATACTGGTTAGTCGAGTATTCTCGATATAAAAATATTATGTGAAGGACTGATGGTGTTCATAAAATATTTACTATCATAGAGTAATACATGCTATAATCATGGTGCTTAATAGCGAAAAATTGCAAAACAGTTGTAGCAAAGGACAGTTTTATGGGAATCGTCCACTTTGAAATGTGTATGGAACTATCAGTGTCTGTAATAAAGACGTTCAAAATGGCTCATAAAGTAAGACTCCATTTTGAGATGGTGAAGAATAGCTGTGGTTCAGAAATGGGGATTTAGGAAGTATTTTTCCTACTAAACTAAATGGTTTTATCGCTAATCTGTAATCGCCTTTTTTGGAAGACATCAGCTTATGCTTCAATAAATGACCTACTAGAATTCCTCCGTAATTAACTAATCTCCGTACCTGAAATTCTGTTGGTTGTTATCCAGAATTGTATGACCATTATTTGCACATTTATTTTAGTTGTTTTGTTCCCTAACCTGATTTTGATCTTGTAGTTGTTAATACTTTTTTATCTTGGCTGATAGACTAAGTCGACTTCCATGTCTATTGATTAATACTTGACCGGGGTTTCAGACTTCTAAAAACTCTCTAGTTTACTTTGTTCTTCCCTCATCTAATACGTTTACGTCTTCCTGGTCGAACCCATTCCCATAAATTTCCACAGGCGTTGATATGAGCAAAGGATTTTAGCGTCATTTAATAGCTAGATGGCGTTTGTATAAATGTAGCAGGTGAGAACAATCACTTTGTTCTATGTTGGGATTTTATGTAGTTTTTACGGTTTATCTCGTAAATTGTATTTGGTTTGTTTTCGTTTGCCGCTGTATTTCTTGACTTGAGTTGTATGGACTGTATCGACTTAGTCGGCTTTTAAGCTATAACTAATCCTAGCATCGCTATTAACACGTTTGGGGTCTGGAAGATGTGCTTTGTTTTCTGACTTTGATTTTTATTTTGTACTTGGTGATCGGTTTTAAAAACTTTCTTGATGAAGTTTTGTGGGTAATCGGTTCTCAAAATACATCTGTTAGTTACCTCATTTCACTTCTCTGTGTACTGAGGGTGCTGCAATTGCAGTGTACGAAAACTTAGGTACGGTAAATCAAGATATTATATTATGAAACATCACACAGTGCCTTTGCAAAATATGAAAATCATCCATTAGATACATAATTTGTATATTTTTCCTTAGTTATCCTTTACATAATCAATCCTTCTTCTAATTCTTTTGTTAATTTAATCACTTTCTGTTTCCCTTCCTCTTATCTTTACTTCAATTATCTGCTGGTAAGTGTTTCACTTCAAATCCCCAATACATACTTCTTACGTCTGTCCTCATATGCAGCGCACGCCACACAATGTGTTCCCCTGTTTTGAATTGAGTTCGTATACAGTTTTCCATATTGTAGAAGTTATCAGAATCAATATTAGAAAACGTGAAACTCAATTATATCTCAGTTCAACACATGCTGATCAAATATTCAATTATAATTATAACAACCTAATGGCTCACAAACAAAACTGCGTACGAACTCTATTCAGAACCTCTAGCGCACGGAGAACACAACAAGTCCAAAACTACATTACTTGCAGTTCCGCCCCCAACATTGTTAGGAGGATAAAACTCTGCACTAAAATACGTCGTTTTGTTGAACACATCAACTTAACAAATTTTACTGTGTCACACTAAATTTACTGACATAGCTTTACTGGGGAAACATCAATTTATTGGCATAGTGACAGTAAATTTTATTATAGAAACATGGACTAACCTGTTACAATAGATTTAAACATTTCTTTAAATGGAACAAAGTAGCTACTATTAGCCTGCTCTAAAATTTGCGCCATTTGTTTGACTTTTGGTGTACATAACTGAGAATATATATTTTCAAGATTTGCTACTTTTGCCTTCCAAAAATCCAGTTCTACCAATGGAGTGGGATGTGATCCACTTAATAATGATTGAGATGAGTCTCTTAGTAATACTTTATGGATTTGGTGTGACCAGTCAATGACAAGTGATTCAATAGCATATATAAAGCTTCGATTCACCTTACTAGAGGGTGAACAGTTAAAAAAGAAACAGTAATTGATGAGTTCTTATTAAACACATGAATTGATTTTTAACTGTAAGAATCAGTAGTTGAGGTAAATAACTATTTGAGTTAGCCACTAATAAGTTAATGGTAACTGAATATTTAAGAAAATAGTTTATTTAGTTTAGAAGGATTTATTATAACGAATAAACTTGTGAGGCATCTATGTAATAAAATGGAAGTTCGGCCTTAATACAAAAGTTCTGTAAGATTTTAATAGATGGTAATCCAAACACAAAAAACTTATTTATACGCTGTAGGACCCTCCTCAGTTCCATCTCCCTTAATTATTTAATGTTATTCCAAATTTTATCATTACCTACTTTTAAGAATAGAAGTGTTCAACAAAATGAAAAACATAGTGTATAAGTGCATGCAACATAGTGTGTTAGCGTTCTAAAGTGGAGGCCTTATATTAACGATTTGTAAGCGGAAGACAACAGTTTGCGCCTCAGTTCCGATGATTATCTGGAGCCTTGTGAAACAGAAAGTCCTAATGAATGTACAACTTGTAATGTTTGTAAATCTCCAGGTCCCAGTGGCCATTTACCTACTATTTTACATAAAAGACAAAGAGCAAACTTCTGCGCGTACTTCATGACTTGCACTAGTGAATAACATGACACTTCTTTAGCAAAGTTGTGATATTGACAAGTGACGTTTAATTGCCAATTATACGACGCGTACTTAATCTGCTTGGCGTTATGAAACAAATATTGTGTATGCAATGAAAGAACACAACGATAAAAGCCCCAAAGCTTCTAAGAGGCTTTTGTGAGACATCTGAATATAAAAAAAGGAATTTGTGGTGTATATCAGGCAAAAACGGTGACTGGAGCGAAATATTTTTCCGTAAATTGCTGTCAGCTGTCAGTATCGATTCGAAGATTATTCAGCTCTAAAAAATCTGGAACCTTATGAACATTAAAAAAAGTAAGCATACTTACATACAACTTAATTGAGCAATATGCCGAGTCAATAAATGAGTACTGTACCACAACTAATCTCGATTATTAAATGCGGATTTAACAGCCAAAACATAGAAACTAGGTTTTTATACGCAGATCAAAACAAGAAGATTTAATGAATAAATATTTACCCTTCTTTAACATGCTCCTTTAATCGCTCTTGTTCAATTGGTAGAGGTAAAAATGTCTTCCCTTTTGCCTGCCCAACGACAATATCGGTCTGCCTCTTCAGACCGTGTGCATATTTTATGACGTCCTCATAAACAACAGATGGCCAAGAACTGTAGTTTTTCTTGTTAGACAAAACAGGGACAAGAACCTAAGAGAAAAATGTGAACAGTCACGATAGTTTATTTACTTCGTCAACGAATACGGAAAAATGATCCAAAGGACTGTATGAAAGATCACCATAGAAGATATATTTCGTTATGACACCGTCTTTAGGGATTGCCTCCTTTGACTTCTTCATAAAAAAGCTAGCTTTGGACTTGGAACCAACAGGAAATTCATTTTCTGCAGTTAAAAAGCCACTTGGCATCAAAAGAATGAAAAGTTGTGTAATATCAGGCTTGTCAAAAAAATTGGTAATTTTTTGTTTAATATCATCGGTATTCCACAATTTCATCCACTTATCATTTTTAAGTTTATGTGAGGTCAGAATATACTCAGCTATAAATTCTGCCCTTTCATCACCCAATGCGAGTTCAGACATAGTCATGTATTGATGATTCAAAAGCTGAAATGCATAATGAAGATACGAACTGCAATTTGCAAAACCGACTATTTTTAAAAATTAGAATCGTTGCTATAGCATCACTGATTATTGTCGACTGATAAAAACAAAGTCGCTGTATTAGTATTTTTATATTATTTCTTCAATTTATTGAAAACAAAATAAATTCCTTGATTTTAATGTGAAGATGTAGTTATATCTTTTCCATGCATTGGATACCATAGTAACCCAGTGTATTTCATGTTGTAAATGTGACACATTCGAATTTCTCCTTTGCTTCCAGTTTCGATTTCTAGGTTTGTTAGTCTAACTGGGATGCTATTGCGTAATCATATCACTGTCTTTCACCATAAATATAATATAGTTGGGTTCCATGTATACTGTTAGTAGTTGGTTCAAATTTCGTTTGGCTGTTCCATATAGTCCTACTCATTCTGATTTCCACACTACATTACAAAACTTAACTTTCGGCCAGACACAACTCAACCCTATCCTGAACGTTTATAAAAATATGACATTACATCGCTCTCTTGTTCTTATTCTGTAGAACATATGCTTGTCCTGTTTATTTGTCCACATGTGAGTTTCTTCGAGAAAAAACAACTTTTCTGACGTGAAAGGATCATGGGAACCGTCTTTAACCAAAAGTTGATAATTTTATTGTAAAATGCGTAAAGCTGGTGTTGATCAGTGTCTGTAAATTTGAGTCTATGGTCATTTGTCTGTTATCGTTTCACTAAGTTTGTTAACACTTTTAGGTTGTCTTAAAAATCTATCCGTGATGCAGTGGAGGAACAATGGATTGAATGGGATGAAGTTCAGCATACACTGCTTTAACTAACAGTAGAGAAGTGCTGAAAAAAGTTGGTCGGACTATATTGTTCACCTAAATATCTTGTAGTAGCCTATTTTATATATCGTCTGCGTGGTTTTATCTTACTTTTAGGCAAATGAGTTATTCTAATCTTTTTAATCAACTCGTCACTCACATGTCAAAGATTATTGACATGTAGAACCGGTCGTTTTTGTACATGTGTGCATGGTAGTAAATATTTGCTTACGCACTTCTTGTATTTCTTAAATAGTTTATAAAAAGTGAGCTACATTATTATTCACTAAGTTGGTGTGCCACCAAAATCTAATGTTTTATACACTCGGCACTCTTCTAATGGCTTATTTGTTGTTCCGCATTAACATCGTCGTATGATCCGAGTGGAGTAAATAATGGCAACTAAATGCTGCTTTATCGAATCATTAGTAGGTTTTTAGGGTATCATTAGCAATATGTCATGAAAAAAATTGTGTCAGTGTATCAATAACAACAACTTGCAATTAGTTATACATGTCAATACTCAAACTATTTCTAGTATTTCTTAAAAACCTCGACTTATATACTAATTAAAGTAGCGAAGCGATATTTGTTTTATGACTTGAAGGGTATTTATAAAGATCAAATTCACTAACTCATCATTTAGGTTGCACGTTTTTCGACTGAACACAAGAGGGGCTGAATGATGATCTTAGTCTTTTCTTAATAAATTGCTGTCCGTATCTAGTATTTAGAATGATTGAACAATAGTATTTTTTCTGGTATTAGGTTTTAGGTGCTTGTGATTTGTGGAAAAACCTGTACTTTGCTAAGATGGGGTTTATCGCTTGCTAGTAAGCGTAGCCACTGTATTTTCTGGGTTATTCTAACCTGATTAGAATAAAAAAGGAATGTGTCATGTTCAAAGTCATCCTTCACTATTTTATACGTTCCGATTATATCCTAAGTTAACCTATGCATCTCTAGAATTTTACGTTTAGGCTATTTAAACTGTTTATAGCAGATTTTACTCGATTCTCAGAAATGAATATACAGTACATATTTAGCTTTTTTATTTAGACCACACTGTTCATGTAAATAAGAGTGTACGTGCTCTTGTCTAACTTCCAAATACTTCGTAACTATCAGTGTTCTGAAACTGAAATCCAATATGCAATTCTTTTCCAGATATGGCTTACTATGACCAGGTTGCATTTCTTTATTTTTTGTCTTCTCTGTCTTAGCAGTAAGTAGGTAACTTTTTGAAATGACGTTGTGAACCGTCTAAAAGGAAGACGTTCGTAATTATGACACTTTCCAACAATTTCTTTCGAAATCGGTTCATAGCTTGATGCCATCTAGATTACTTTATATGGATCGGGATGAATTTGGTATCTGTTCACTTCATGATTAAACTATGTCTGGTCATTACATGCGCTTTATTACTACTAGGCAGCATCTGTATATATGTCAAGCTATGTAACCAACCTAGGGTGCAGCCTATCTGATTCTATTAACTTTCAGTACATCAACTCGGTTAGGATTTATAGAGAGAAGTCTGTTTCGTAAACTGGTCTTACAGTTAATTCTCTTTACCTAGCGAGTAAAGGTTTTTTTCAGAATATCTTACCATATTCTCTTATTTATACAGTTCATCCGTTACTTGAAACTGGTTCTCTTCTTTTGAAGTGCGTTGATAGGTTTTTTGCTCTCAACTTGTACAAAACAAAGTCAACTAATGTTGGGCATCGAATCATTATGCCAAATCAAACCTTTTGGGCTTAAAAATAGTAAGCAAAGATGGATAGTGGCTAGCAGTGGAATCCAGGTCGCATGTTTCGTCCTATTTAGGACTCGTCAGATGGATGTACCTGCAACGCGCGTCCTGGATTCCACTGCTAGCCACTATCAATCTCTGCTTACAATGCTTTTGAATTAAGGCTATATCAAAGCAATACGCACAGTATGCACATATGCCAATTAGAGACTGACCAGTTGCAGTTCTAACACATCGATGGGAAGATTCAAACAAACAATACTAAATAAATTTAAAAATAGTACTTTTGAGTCGGAAATTTCAGACTAAACATCTTTGTTTTAAGGGAATTACATAAAAGATTAAGTAAATTCTTATGAATATTTTTTAAATAGTTTGAATTCTGTTTGTTTAAGTTTTACAGAGGAATAGATTCTTTTATAATTGACGACAGTAATTATGAGCAGCATGCAACATGATCTATCCATTTAGTGTTTACATTTTGAATTGAAACTCACAGAGTTTCTAACGAACAGAAATATTACTAGTGAAGCCACTTAGTTTGTGTCAGTCAAGGGTCTAATCGATTATAGTAATCGTATTGATGAGTACCATTAAGTTAACCAGATGGTCTGTTAAGAAACAATTAACTGAGTACAAAACAAAAATAAGTATTGACTCGATGTTATGCTTTATGGTGAATTTACACTAATTTTATGTGAATGCTCTAACCGCTTGACATTCTAAAACCATTAGCATAAATTATTCATCCAAGTTTTTATCTCCATTCAGCGTATAAGCCGGTGAAAAAGAAAGGCAAAACAACTTGTAACAGTTCGCGGGACTAAAAAAACTTATTGAAATTAACAGATTGAGTGGTTTTTCTCAAATGGTATATATGCGTGAAAATATAGCTTCGGTTCTTTAGTTACTGAAATTCACTCTATCATATGCAAGTTGACACCATTGAGAAATTTATCGTAGAGAATTGACTATGTATATTTTGTTTTTGATAATCACTTTGGACAATGTCAAAAAATGAGCTTGAAAAGCAACTAAAAATCTATACAACCATTACAACTGTATTTGATGTCTGTCTTAAAATAATCATAACATGCTTTTCATCTGATCCTATTCCCAATATCCAAGAAATTCGGATTGTTAATTGGTCGATAGGTTTTGTGCTTATTTCACAGTAACCACTGGTATATGTATTTTAGGTTTTTAATATCACAACGTGGAGTGATGAATTTTACTCTAATTGTATTATTTCATTTGCTTACTGATAATTAACTTGAAGTGGTTTGCAAGAACATTTTATTCAATCTACACAAAGCAGTTTTAAATTCATCAAGATTTCGAACCTTGTGAGAACTTTTTGATATGTATAATTCTCTTTGTTTTTGTATCAGGTGTTAAATTACACCATGAGAGGAGAAACAACTAGCACTAGGTATGTTGTAGTTGTTGGTTATTGCCAAAGTGTTCCCAGTCTGTGTTTAGATAACTGTCCGATCTCTGATGATGAACCATTGTATACTGTTGCCAAAGGAGGGGAATATTCCGCCCGCTCAGATTCAACAATCAGCTGGGGAACAGAATCGTCGGAAAACTCAAGTCGGAATTTGTCTATACGTCCAGCTGTGTATCCACCTTGGGCAACACATCTGCCATTAGTAAGATATCATTTCGGATGTTCACTTTTCAGACTTCTTTCAACAACGCAGAACACGGAGAATTAATACGCAATTCTCAGGTAGGTTATCATTTCGTGTTTAAGACATTAAAGAAAGGATAATGATGAAGATTTATCTTCGTCATATGGCGATATCACTCAGCGCATATGTTCTGATCTCGAAAAACTATGGCGAAAAGAATCAGCTTGTAAAGCCTCCGAATATGAGGTAGACGACATTACATTTTTCGATAACTCTCAATCGTAGAATATCACTCCAAGAAATCAAACATCACATAGTTTCAGTAGTATGGTTACACCTAAGCAGTTGATTGATTACTCAATCCGTCAAGCACCAGGTCTTTCAAGGTATTAATTTATTCTTTTATCTCCTAGTTACCTTTATTTTTTGAAATTTCATTTTACCCATGTAAAATAGAAATTAAGTCACGCCAGTTCTAGGGAATACCGATAAAAGTAAGCATTTATCTGAGAAAGGATAGTTTCAGAAAGTTATTCAATGTTATTATCACTCAAGATGAATGTATAAAACTGGGAGTCATGGAAAAATGCGGCGAAATTAGAATTAACTAACCTGTATGACTGTTTTTTACTCCGTTTGTTGGTAAGGATCTTTATATCTAGAGTGACATGTGGGAATAAGTAATTTCTTTAGCAATATACGTAGTAATATATTTGGATTTACAATGTTTCTGTCTCAGAAATCGACTAGAACTTTCGTGTACAAGTGGTTCTATGATAGGACTGAGGATTTACAAAAATAATTTTGCAATGTAACTTTGTGTTATTTGAATGCTAGTCATAAGAATACGCAAAAATAATCACCCAATTTGTTAACTACTCATTAAGTTCATGGTCAGAGCGTTTTATAAACAACATTAATATTTAGTTTTGAAATTTCTTTGTATCTTACGGCAGTAATAAAGAGTTAGTTAGGGTCTATTGTATTTATATAAATATTGAACAAAATTTTAAATTCTGTTACTCTTCCTACATATATGTCTTTTCAAACAGTCCTCAAAATTTATTCTTCCTTCCTATCGTTTTTACTACATTGTCTCTATTCCTTCTGTTTGTTTCATCTCGTTGTGCTAATGTAGTATGTCAACTTTGACCAATATGCATCTTTTCCAAGCTCTATGTTGATTCTATCTACACGTATTACTTACATGGTTTACTGTAACTACTCAATAGCTGTTTTCTCCGGTTTTGGAATCCATGGCTCTACATATGATAGAATTCAAAAATCTCTGATCTCACGGTTAATGTCTGGTCATTGAATTAGGTTTTTTTATGCGGGACAAACCGCTAATTTATAGATGAGCCCAATGATTTAATGTGGCTGAGTAATAGGTACTCACGAGATCGTTTTAGAAACTTGAGCTTCTGAATGATTAGCAATCAAATACAAGACCGCTAGCCAGGTGAATATGTTTTTTATGTAATGAAATATCACGTTTGTACACATGATACGAACATGAATATGATGTAATATCATAGGCGATTGTCAGAAATAGTTTATAGGCTACTAACTCTTCAATCAATTAAAACCTGGCTGTCGGGTCTAATTTTTGGGTATCGTATCAAGATCCAATAGTACACATTACAACTTCAGTCAATTTACAATATTGTGTGATTATCACTTTTTCTATCGGTGGTGTGTTTCATTCCTGACGTGGTTGGCAAGTATCGTACCACACGATCCGAGGGTCACGAGTTCACACTCCTGTAAGGTTATGCTTACACACCACTACTAAGTCCTATATTACAGCTAAACAGCTTACCAGTGTTCATTGGTTTTTAGCTGAAGTCACTCTATGGTGGAAACAATCTTCACTTAAAGGTTATCAGTTTTTCAACTATCGGTGGTGTGTTTCATTCCTGACGTGGTTAGCAAGTATCGTACCACACGATCCGAGGGTCACGAGTTCACACTCCTGTAAGGTTATGCTTACACACCACTACTAAGTCCTATATTACAGCTAAACAGCTTACCAGTGTTCATTGGTTTTTAGCTGAAGTCACTCTATGGTGGAAACAATCTTCACTTAAAGGTTATCAGTTTTTCAACTATTTATAGTCAATCTAATCTAATATCAGCTTTTTTTAGTAAACTAACAATTGATAAATTCTACATAACGTTTCCTGATGAGATTGTTGTTTGTAAGTTGCATCATTACAATCAGTAAATTTAATCATAACTTTGAAAGTCATGCCAACTTCGGATTTAAATCGAAAACATATGCTATGTAAACGTTTTCGTGTCATGTCACTACCGAGAAAAATATACCTATTTTAATCGAACTTAATATCAAGTTTACAAAAATAATATCAGTTCTATATTATTTTTCAGTCTACAAGACTATAAGCAGTTTAACCTTTATTCTGTCGTTAGCTTCGTATAGTTATTCAGAAAATCAAAGTTCTTACAGTTTGTTTTTATGATATCAATCCTTTTCAAGCGGTTTTCCCAAAGTAATTACATGTGGTCATTTCTTTTAGTGAAAACTACCAATACATTAAGTACAGCTTCAATAATTGAGAATTAACAACATCAGGTCTTTTTAAAAATGAGAGATATCTCGCCCAACCTTATAATAAGTGAGAACTGGCCAACCGTTATATACATTCATTTATCATTATATTGAAATCAAAAAAGTAGAATTTTAGTTCATTTTAATTCCTTTATTTTATTTTTTTCCATACACAGACCAAGCAATCAACATTTAGATCATTTAAAAATTATTAATGATGTTCAAACTAATTTCAGAAATAGAATTTGGTTTACTGCACGTCTACTTGTGTTTAATACGGATGATATATCTAGTGAAAAACAATTTCGACAGACAAGCGATATGGATTGGACCAATTCAATATCTTCATTTGCTTTACGTAAATTCATTGGAATAGCCTTTCCAAATGATTCTACGTGGGCATTATATGAAGATCATAAAGTAGGAGTTAGGTTAGCTATCTCTTTGAAATATTATCTCCATTATTATTTAGGATTTTAAAAAAGTATTTTTTTTGTTTAATCCATTGGGAGAGATTTTTATGTGGTGTACATAGTATAGCTTGTAGATCTATATTATTAATCCCACTGACAGCATAGATTAAAAATTAATTTGAATCTTTCGATTTTCAATAGGACTATGTAATGTATGTATGTGATTCATCTTTTTCATCCTCACTTTTAACTGTGAATCTTGACAATTTTTGTTCTATATTAGTGCATCATAAGTCTGTTGAAAAACTGACCATGTTTTTATGAGTTCAATAGATAGTGCACTCTAGCTTTAATAAGTTAAAACATATCATCGATGGATATGACCCATAATGTGCGAAATCTTTATCAGGATAGCGAGTATCAGTGATTTAAAGATACCTAATTTTTGGGAGTGCAAAATCATAGGTGAGGACATTAATTATTTCCTTTTTCACTGAATGAGTACCCGAAACGTTAATAAGGTTATGATGCATTGCCATTTGATATAAAGCAAAAATAATTATTGATATGTCAATTCAATGTGTCAGGAAGCGGGTTTGAAATTTGTCTTTTTAAACGATTCAGCTATAAATATGAGGTACTCACATAAATACGAAATATTAATGAATGATAAAAAGTAGAATAATGTGGTAATTGATTTGCAAAAGTAAATAGATAACGTATTTGCTTCTTTTAATGTTTTCTCTGTCTGGTATATGAGTAATTATGCTGGTACACAGAAATTCATGCTTACTCAGTACGAATCCATTAAAGATTAGTTTTGAGTTCCACTAAAGGTTTCATTAGCAAACAAATAACATGTCTTTTGAATATCTGATCACATTTTAAATTAATAGTTGGTTGTAGAGTTTAAATAAACACTAACAATAAAGAATTACTGAAAATAATGTCGGAAACTGTTCAGCATTTAAGTTATAGTTTATAACCACATGACGTTATATACATTTGATTTTATATGGTTTGTAACTTTGACCATCTCATGATTCCGGTAAGACCGTATTCCTCCGCAAAGGTGACTTAGCTATCAGGCACAGGTTTTATGGATTCAGCTTTAAATAACACGTTTCTTGTAAGCGCTATTCAACAGTTCTAAATGATGTAGATAAGAAGGGCTCACACTTGCTACCAATACTCTTAAGGTCTGAATTTTTGACCGTTAAGCTATCATCTCATTCGTTTTCAGTTACTTCTTCTAAAAATAGTGTTCATGTCATCTCTATCGGTTTACTCTAAGCTTAAATTATTTAAATTGTTCCACTGGAATTTCATTATTATTCACCACGGTGTTTTTTCACTGTTTTGTTCATAACATTACATTAGTTCCAAACCATTACCATTTCTACGTCGATCATTGTATCACTGTGTATGGGGAGCAAGAAATGGGCAGGTGTATTTACCAGAAATTGATTTTTTCCCTGGAGCAATATTATTTGTTCGCTATTCAGATAATCATAATCCACCCAATCCATTAAAACAATTTTTGCACCACACTGGAAATGTACTTCGTATTCTTATCACTGGAGTAGATCGATTAAGTAAACGTAATGCAATGTAAGTTTGATGTATTGAAAAAAAATTGGCACCGAGTCTATAAATTTCATTTAATGTTTTTTAAATAAGGTCAGTTTTAAAAATTAAACAATTAACCGAGATGCTCACTGCAATCTATAGACGAGGGGTAACCAACGTTATATCTAGCTCTCAATAACGGTTGAATTCTGTTGATTTAATTGCGGTAAGATCATAAAGTTAAGTTATTCGACATTGCAGTTCACTTTGATTGACAAAGTTCAGTCATTAAGGTATTTACAAGGTGACATTTGTTTGGTTGGCGAAAATACGACTAAGAAGCTACTAATGTAATATCTCCCAATATTTCATTAAAATCTGGTCGATGAAGAATGCAAAACAGGTTTAGAAGGGATGATGTATTTGTTCGAAAACGAAAGTGGGCGAACGGTAGATTTGTTTGGGTATTCGAGATCTTGTAAGATCAGTGTATGACGAGATGCTAAATTGGGTTCTTTACTGGATACCTTTAACTAATTTCCAATAAAACTAACAAGGTCATCACCAGATGCTGAACTTCTATTGGATTATTTGTTTTATCATTTAATTAATGTAATAATGAAGTATCTTAAAAACATTAATACTAAACTCAGAAATATTACAATCCTTTATTCTTTGTAGCCAATAATCCTACTAGGCAGCAACTGCTTCAAGTAATTTTGTTTCGAGAAGTATAGTACCGAGAATACGTATAAGATGACGAAAAAGCAGATATTTATGATCAAATATTAAGTACTATAACATTTAAAAAGTTTTACTTTTTCAAAATAATCGTTTTGTAAAAGGGAATCTTACTTAGAATTCACTTAGTATTGTTTGTTTGGATCTTCCCATCGATGTGTTTAGGACTGCAACTGGTCAGTCTCTAATTGGCATATGTGCATACTGTGCGTATTGCCTCGATATACCTTAATTCACAAGCATGGTAAGCAGAGATGGATAGTGGCTAGCAGTGGAATCCAGGACGCGCGTTTCGTCCTATTTGGGACTCGTCAGCTGGATGTACCTGCATCTCAGAGTTGATGTTCACTCTGGGACTCGAACCCAGTACCCTCGCTTCAAACGCCATCGCGTTATCCACTCGGCCACTGAGTCCTGAGCCCTGAGTCCCAAATAGGACGAAACGCGCGTCCTGGATTCCACTGCTAGCCACTATCCATCTCTGCTTACCATGCTTGGGAATCTTACTTAGTTTTCCTTCATTAAAATTGACCAGTGAAATACACTTATAGCAGTTTAGAAGAATTTGTGTATTGAATCCCACTTAATAAAGTTCACTAATCATTACACTTGAAAAACGAGGGTTTATTTTTCTAGGCATCGTTTATTTTTCAGGTGTTGACATAGTTTGATGATAAATATCTGTGGGCACAATCGTTTTCACCTATGATTTTCAGACAATTAAAACCAAACGCAGGATGTAATGGTTATTTATTGTTTTGTATAATTGTCATGTTATACCCTATGGTCTACAAACTTCAAGGAGCATTAAAGACTAAAACACCAACATGATAACTATCTAACAGTTCGTTCATGTAATTGCTTTTTACATTTTTAAAAATGTTTTGTGTCATAGTGAATCAGAGTTATCACGCCAGAAGGTGCCCAAAGAACAGTGGTTTTCTGTAATGGCAAAACTTCATGTCGCACGTTTATTAATCAGGCCGAGATATATGATGGAGTTGTTTAAACTACAATGTGAGTATTTTGAATTGTAAGAGCAAATGATTTTGTGACCTATAATTTAACAGATAAAACAAATATATCCATCACCATTATTCGCATAACCGCTTTTGCTGACATTGTTGCTAGCTACTTTATTGTAAGTATAAGAATGCAATTTTCAGGAAATATAACTGAAAGCTTCAACGTACAGCAAATACTAAATTGCTTTCTACCAAATGACCAATCAGTTGTTCACTTAACTATTGAAAATAGTCAGGTTAGATCATTTGAATCAATACATGTGTCAAGTTTTAAGGTGAATGCGATGAAAACTTGGAAAGATTTATCTTGGTGAAGAATGGTTTGTTAAAAACTAAGGTCTAGTCAGCGTGAGATATCACTGTCGAATATAGATGACATAATACCTCACAGATATATTTTACTCCTATTGCTTTTAATCTACATAACTCATTAACATATCCACTGATCACTAAATACTCTAGTACTTGAAACACAGAGCCTACATAGATTGATCTCTGAATAGCAATCAACGACATATTTGTCTAGTCCATTAGTCGCAATCAAATCTTATTGATTAAGTTGAAATGTGGTATTGATCCAAGTGACTTGAAATCGCGTACACCACATTTTTATGTTGCGGCGTTGGAGGTAGTCAGAAGGAAACCTTCCTTTAACCGCCTAACGTAAATCCATAAGGCCTACATTTAGTCTGTAACACTGTTTAAGCTGTTAGAATAATAATAATAAGCAATCCACTTTTCATTTTAAAGTTTATTATTTCATTTGATTTAGCTTAGAAGCCATACATATAACCAAGAACTTCAGAAGACTTTCCTCAACCCTAAACAATATAACGGTTTATGTAAACATTCATGTAATGTCAAGTTGGGGTTCCATATTTAATTAAGTATTTTCATATAATGTAACATAAATTTTGTATATTTCAGTTCAGAATTTTAAGCGATATATTTTACTAGATAATTTCATTTTTGTTTCTTCATCCTTGATCAAGTTGAAGTTACTATTCTTTTTGTCTTCCTAATCCTTTCTTTAAGTACTTTGTTAGTATTTGGTGTTTATTTCACATTTATAGGTTTATGGCGTCAAGATTTAAGGAAACGTAATAGTCCAATTGAAGCCTACTTAAATCTACATTTATACTACCGAAATTCTATAAAAAGTAACAAACAACTGATGGGCGGTGCTACAACTAAAAATAACAATAATCTTTCAAAAGAAGACGAATTGAATATAAAGAAACAGTTAACACGTAAAATATTCGAGGATGGCTTAATATGGTTTAGACTTCCAGAACTAGACAAAGTTAGTTGTAATTGTTTAATTTTGTTCGTCCTTGAAGAAATTAGTTTATTTTGACCAAACGTTTTACTGAAAAAGTTTGCCAAAGAGACGCTTTTCTAAAATACAGTTTACACAAATTAGAATAATTCGATACGTTTGCATATGTTCTTCAGTATATGATTTCTTCTCTCTCTTCATCATCGTGTTTATATATGTATATCGGGTCGGTATCCTATTGTTATATCAATACCATATTAAAGCATAACGTATACTTCACAAAGCAATAGAAAGTGATAACACCAAAACTTTACCAAGCTCATCAGAAGTATGTAGGAGTTGGAAAATGAATGTTAGACGGACAAGAATATAATGATTAGGAAATGGGAACCCTATTTGTATGTATGCTTATTACAAAACACCATGTTGGTATATATTCATTCTAAATGAAAACGTTCTTGGAATATATGCGTACACACAGACTAAATAAAAGAACCGCCAAATATCAACCACGAAAGAATTCATTTAATACTTCTCAGTGGGAGTAAAAATTCACGCTATAAGATCATTTTCTTTTCTTCGGTTTATTTGATTGAGTTAGATTGATAAGATGCATTAAATTCATTAGGTGTTTGTGTTATGCTTGTAGTCGAGTGGATGACTAGTTGATGTGTGACGCGATAAGACCGCCAAACAGGGAGCAGCGAATCATTGATTGGAACAGTGACACACGAAACCGTACGAGCAGACTAGAGTGCTAACCGGTCCTGCGATCTGCCTAGCCCAGTCAATTAAGTCCAAAACACCAATAACAGCCTCAGTGGTATGAATCATTATTTACAAACACACTGGGTTTTTATACAAACCAAAGTAATCAACAAACTGAGTATAACTCAAGAATCGTATGATAATAAATCAAAGATCAAAATAAAGCTCATGATAAGAGAAACACGAATATGAATAGTTGGTTACGTAACAATTGTACAATAAGAAATAGGCATAATACATTGGTCGATTAATAGACCTAAAAGTTAACATTCGTAATTCACCGGGGGATATAACAGTTTGATAAATTCGGATACCGCTTCATATCAATAAGTCAGCTATGTGACCGACCTTGATTAGTTTGTCAATTAGTTAGAAAACAGAGCTTATTTGAGAACCTACTTATGATAAAATTGTAATGTACACGTTTTCGTATGATCGATCAATCTTTTCACGTGAATTATTTCTTAGGGTAGAAGAAAGGAAGTCGGGGTTAGGGAATATTTATGAAGTAGGATAATGATTTGTATTTATAACGATGAATATTTTTGCAGGTTATATGGATTTAAAAAGGTGTGAGGTTGCTTCATAAAATTTATCAATCCTGTTAAATGTTATGTATTTTCAATCCATTTATTTTCCACCATTTTCCGCCGAAAAGAATTAATTTCCATTCTAAGGATCACTCAAGTTTGCGCCTATTCTTTAGCCTTGTCATATTTATTAATTTTCAGCATCTAAATAGCGATATATTCTTAACTTTTAATGAGTTCTTACATAGCTCTTAACAAGTTACGAAACATTCTCCAGTGACTTTGGAATCCGATAGCTGCTATCTTACCACCAAGTCAAAGCTTATAATTTAAGATCAAATAAACAATATTTTGCCTGTTCGTTTAACAGTCAATACCTTAATGATAACAATTTTCGAAATAATTTCGAAATGATTAAAAACAAATCTTGGTTACTGAGTCAAAATAAAAGAGAACCATGTTAATAAAGTTCTTCTCATCATAATGCTTCATTTTTACTTATAATCTTATTAAATTATTGATAAAACTACTTCCAATAGTCAATTAATCAACAATATCCTCAAATTTTCTTTTAGACGGAGAACTTAGATTTACTATGGAATGCGTTAGAGGCTCATTCAGGTTATAATGGAATTATGAATTTCGCAGACTACATTTCACTTGTTTTCGGAGAATTACCTGAGTTTCATCGTACACTAGTTAAGAAAGTAAGCAGTTTCTGACACGTTTCTTAGTAAAGAATAATTAATTAAACTATCAAAGTATGAAGATTGGGGTTTAGTTCTCATTTATTTACATTTCACTGAATAATGGTCTCTGTTTAAACCAGGACTTTCGGTTATTGTGAAGATAGCTTCCACCTACAGAAAACCCAAGCCCACACAAGCTTGTTGAACTTGTTTATGGCTTAACTCTTACCTGAGTAAAAATCGTGTTTCTGTTAATCTTAATATCAATTTTGTACTTATTTTCATTGGCGTAGTCATTCATTCCCATAAATATAAGTTTCTTTATAACTGGTGTCTGTGTGCACGTCTACTATTCGCTTATTTCATCAATCGTTTTTGACATATTTAAACCAAGTCTATAGTAAATACATTGACCATTTCACCCGATCAGCCTGAATTCACGTGCTACTTGTTCACATTTGCATGCACGTTCAATTTCTTCACTTTTTGTTTGTCTAACGATGGAGATGCATGAAATAAACCATTCCTAACATAGATCGTACCAGAATTTTTAAAATCACGTCCAAAGCTATTGGTATGTGTTATAAACGTAGAGGATACTTGCTATAACGATAGGGGTTTCTTGTTATAACAGTCCTTTTACTTCTTACGCGTATGTGGAACGCTAATTTACCTTAGACGAATATCTACACTAGATTCCCACCCAGCGTCTATTCTACAGGACTTCAACACAACTCAGATCAAGAACACGAGATTAGCCTAACTACAACGCCAATATATCTCCACACCAAAATCCGACACAAGGAACAGTCAATCAATAACAGTCCATCAATAAGTGTCCATACGTAATAAGGATAGTGGAATATATATAACACATAACACCTGTCATCCTATCTAATGTCTGACTCATCAAGACAACCAATCATTGTCATTCTCGCCCACATATCAGTATGAAAATATATTCAAATTTAAACTGAGATATACTAATATTGGATATTTATTTATTTATCATAGTTGAAAGCGTGAGTCAATTGAAGCTAGACCACCATGGAAAACCTGGAAACACTGGACGGCCGTTTTGTTCCATTATGGGACTCCTCAGCAGCGCGCATCCACGAACCCGCTCTCGCGAGACTCGAACCCAGGACCTACCAGTCTCGAGCCAGAGCCCTTAACCGATAGACCACTGAGCTGGCATCCAACGGTGTTAATGTCTAACTTCAACTGATCCACGAAGTTGAGCAACCATTCGCCAATTGTCTTCAGTGAGATCCTATCTCACAACAGACGTGGTTTTGAACTCCACTGGTCACTGCTTCTCACTAGAGCTCCTAGATGTACTTCTCGAAGTCACTAGTGAGCATATGATTATATAAATTATCAGAAGGGGTTTTGTGGAGATTTAGTATTTATCATAGTTGAAAGCGTGAGTCAATTGAAGCTAGACCATCATGGAAAACCTGGAAAGATGGTTACAGCATGATCGCCACTGGCTTCTATTCCGAGACGTATCTAATAACATATCTAGCCACTGTGTTGCACCATCTCACGGATCTCAACCATGGAGTCTGAAAGGACCAACAGAAGCAAATCCTTTGCAGCTTTCTTTCATACCACGACACTGACCACCTCTCCGCTTTCTCCAACCAGTCCCAGCGTCGTGATGATGATGCATTACTAACATGGTGTTGCCACTGGATGTCAGCAATCCTTCGGAGACAACGATGATAGTACACAGAGAGTCGTCTAACATCCTCAAATCGAAGAGGCCAGGTTTCACAAGCATAGAGCAAAACTGCTCTCACCGACGCATTGTAGATCCGACCTTTTACAGTCAGACTAACATCACGAAGGCATTAAAGGTGGCCCAGATTGGCATAAGCTGCTCTAACTTTCACTATACGTAGGTTGATTTCATAAATCACGCCATTATCAGCACTTATGTAGCTACCTAGATACACGAACTTCCCAACTACTTCAATCTGCTCACCATCTAGGGTGAGTGCAGGATGAGAATCCTGCCAGTCTTCTAGGAGTACTTTGCACTTGTAGGGTAGGATGATTCAAATCACTAAGAATGCAAAAAGATCATAAGGAATATGAATCAAACAAATTACGAAAAGCTATTAAACAATGACAGAAAACAATAAGCTTTCCTAAAAGATAGTTTTAGAGCGCAGAACACAAATATCGGTACAGCTGGGCAACAAAATAAATGTGCACTAAACAATAGGGAAATGAAATTGTCATAAGGTAGGTGAGGTAGAGGAAGTACAATCGAAAATAAACAAATGAATAGGGATAATAATGAGTGGCCGAGAATAGTATATAATAGGAGATATAGTTCAGTTTTAAATACAACCAGCAACACATCTCTCAGTCAAGTCACGTCCTTTCATTTCTTGAAATGTAAAATGTAAGAGAAAGCTACTGCAGGATCTCCATTGGTTTCTGTTTCCACTCACATTTGGTAATGTCTCAAGCTACTAAGTTGTATAATCCCTAGGATCCCAACCAGGGAGCAGTGAGGGACCGAATTGTTCCAGTCTCGTACAGTTTTCTTTCATACTATGACACCGTATCATGAAAAAACCACTTCTCCCACTTTTGTACCTTGCCACAGAGTCCGAAAATAAAGCACAACGTGAAAGTCACTGAGATGATTTTCGCAACACATGTCAAGACCACCAAAGCCAGTGTTTCAACATGGTAACACTAACCAAATTGTCATCACTGATCCCGGATAAACACTGTCGAACCTCAGCGTTACTAACACAGTGTTGCCACTGAATGTCACCACTCATTCGAAGACATAGAAAATTGAACACAGAGAGTCACCAAACGTCTTCATCTAGGAAAGGCGAGGTTTTACAGTCACGGAGTAGGACCGCTCTCCTTGACGCACTGTAGACAGGATATTTCAGTCAGACTAACATCATGACGGCCTCAAAGATGGCTCAGTTTGGCATAAGCTGCTCTAACTTTCACTATACGTGCATCGATCTCATCACTCACGCCATTATCAGCACTTATGTAGCTACCTAGATACACGAACTTCTCAACTACTTCAATCTGCTCACCATCTAGGGTGAGTGCAGGATGAGAATCCTGCCAGTCTTGTAGGAGTACTTTGCACTTGTAGGGTGCAAAGCACATGCCGTACCTGCGGACACTGATTGCCAACTGATTAAGTGCGGATTGCATGCCTTGGGCATTATCGCACAGTAAGACAATATCATCCGCAGACTCAAGGCCGAGAAGTCTTTCTCCAGGCAGCATATCCCCACCACTATTACTTACACCCATCAGAGCTGTTTCCAGGATGTCGTCGATGGCAAAGTTGAAGAGGAATGGTAAGATTCGTCAACCCTGCCTAACCCACTGCTTGAATGGAACAAGGGAGAAAGGTGGTTGTATGCCCTCACTCTGCCTGAGGTGTTTGTATACAAGGGCTTTAAGAAGTTACTAAACTTCTCAGGCACACCCTTCTTCAATAGACAATCCCAGAGAGCAGTCCTGTCCAACCAATTGAAGGCAGTCCTGATATCAAGAAACACTATGATTATTGGCCTGTGATAAGTATGATGTTGTTCTAACATTTGGCGGAGGGTGAAGATATGGTCAATGCATCCTTGACCAGAACGAAAACTAGCCTGCTCCTCACGAGTCAATCCTTCCCGGGTTTTAAACAACCTACAAAGTATGACAGAAGTCAATAGTTTGGACGCAATTGGAAGTAGACATCCCCGATAGTTGTTACAGGAACAACGTGAACCCTTTCTAAAGATAGGGGCGACTATCGACTCATTCCATGACGTTGGAACACTTTCTAGCTCCCAAACCTTTGCAAACAACACAGTCGGTTTCTTAGCTAGAAAGTCACCACCATCCTTAAAAAAAGTAGGAGGTAAGTCATCTGGGTCCGGTGGTTTGTAACGTTTCAAGAGTTGGAGTTCCTTGTGGACTTCCGCCTCGTTTGGTGGATCAGTCGTCACCGGCCATGGGGGGCAGGAAAAACTGGTTGGTGCTGCCGGAGCAACAGGCCAGTTGAAGTAAGGTAAGATTGGCACAGACCAGGGAATGATCAGAGTCCAAATAAGTATTCCAAGAGGAGCGGCAGTCTTGTACACAACCACGCTAGATACAGCTGATAGCGATGTGACCAATCTGAGTCCAGGCTTGAGATGCAGATAGAGGACGCCAGGTGGCACATCGACGATGAGTGTACCGGAAGCTAGTGTCAGCCAGAAACAAGGTGTAGTCCGCGCACAGTTTCAGCAAACGGTCCCCGTTATCTGTCCTGCGACCAACAAGTCCCCATCGGCCACCTAAACGACTCTCTTCTGTGCTCAGACGCCCGACCTGTGCATTCAAGTCTCCGGCTAGTACTACAATATCCGTTGATCGCACTTTCTGGAGAAGAACAGTTAACTGGTGGTAGAACTCATCCTTGATTGCATCCGGGCTGCAATCTGTCAGGGCGTAGGCGGAGATTACGAATTGACGTCATTTCTTACGCCGATTTCTTCTCACTTTGATGAAATTTTCTAATCTAACAACACATAACCGACTGTTAATGGGGATCGATTAGTGTTGCCTCAGCAGGACCAGACGGAGATGCCACAGGGTCCCCGGATAAACGCATGTGAAACAAGCCTTTTGAAGTGACATACGGAGAGCGAATTTGTAGTACTTCACTAGAGTCTTGAATACGGGTCTCGGATAGACAACAAACACCAACATTAAGACTTTCTAAAGACAAAGCCAGCCCTATCTGTTGTCTGATATGCATTAGTGTGCGAACGTTGAAGGAAGCCAGCTTGAACGGCGTACGTGGTTTAAGAAAGACTGGTTCAGTATTTGTATTCGGTGAAAGCATTCACTTTCCACCAGACAGTGATTGGAGATCGTTTAGATAGAACAGAGTTTCCACCATGGGCGCTCTGCTACATAAGTTGTAAAATGGGAGTTCATGAAGCGGGAATAGAAGATAAGTGACGCAGTATATAAAAAAATGATAATACTAGTAATAATAATAAAAGTGAGTGTTATCAAGTGAATGAGAATTGTTTGCATTCTAATTGAGGCGAGCGTAGTATTTCGTGAAGTAACTGTCATCTCATCAAATTTGTGTGAGGGCTGTAGTACTGCTCGCGTACCCAAACTGAAGCAGGTGATTTTCTGAGGGGGTCACACCCCGAGCCTTTGACCTAAAGGTCTGATCCACAAGGCAGTGGCGCATCGTAAAGAGATGCAGTACCATGGTAGCCTGTTAGAAATAATTGGTTCATACGCCATTTGTTCCCTCACGACACTGGAGCCCGTGTGCACCATTGGTTTGGAATCAAGGTTTTCCAACTCCCCTAGGTGGACTTTCCGTGTCCACCAACCCGGTAAAAGCGCCTGACATTCGCTCTTCGTCCTCTTAATTTCGTAAACAACACCCCGGCCACGAGGAGGCAGTGAGTAGGACTTCCCTGGCAGAGGTTATATATTCGCGTGGCCATGTGAGAGCATTTCGAGTGGGAGGGTGGCCTCTTACCACAATCGGCCGTACCAGGGCATTTGGGGACAATATTGGATAAGCAGAACTTGGCAACAAAAAGTTGAGCTTGCACAACACAAAATCATTTCAAGAACAGAACCTTTGGAATCCAGGAAGTCCTATGCATTTTCTTTCATCTGCTTTTTCGATTCTCAGGATAAGATACACAAGTCATTCGGTTCTCATTCACATGGATATAATACTCCGCCTGTAGCTCTTCCGAGGGCCATCACCTGTTCTAAACCCGGATAAAAGAGGAGGGTTGGGCATTAGGTTAGCGATTTCATCCCGTAAAAAGCTAACTTGCTAAAAAAAACGCCAAACAGAAAAAGTAATTTAAACCATTTAAATTCTGCTCTGGGAGTTGAAGGAAGAATTATGACACCTCATAGTGAAAACCAAGTTATTTCGAAAGTCACGAAGTTGATGCCCCTTCTAACAACCAGAGCAACAGTTTTTATAGGTACATGGAAATTTCGGACAATGTGGGAGACCGGAAGAGTCTTCCAAATCGCTGCAGAAATGAGGAAATACAACCTGAAGGTGCTTGAAATCAGTGAAACACATTGGACGCAGGTTGGACAACAACGACTAGCTTCAGGAGAGCTTCTGTTATACTTCGGCCATGAGGAAGAAAATGCTCCACATACACAAGGAGTTGCAGTGATGCTGTCCAAACAACCACAAAATGCACTTATAGGATGGGAATTTCATGGACCAAGGATCATCAAAGCCTCCTTCAGAACGAACAAAGAGGGCATTACAATGAACCCCATCCAATGCTGCGCACCTACCAATGACTACAATGAAGACGTTAAAGATCAATTCTACGATAGGCTACAGTCGATCGTCGAGAAGTGCCCAACAAAGGATCTGACCATTCTGATGGGAGATTTAAATGCCAAGGTTGGAATGGATAACACTGGATACGACGACGTTATGGGATGACATGGACTGGGAGAAAGGAGCGAAAATGGTGAGAGATTTGCAAACCTATCTGCCTTCAATAAACTGATCATATGCGGCACTATATTCCCACATAAACGCATTCACAAAACCACATAAACTTCACCGGATCACACTACATAGAACCAAATCGACAATATCTGCATTAACAAAAGGTTCAAGAGGACGATGGAGGATGTGAGAACCAGGAGAGGAGCTCGTATAACATCAGATAGGAACAACATTATGGCGTACTGAAAAGATAGTCAATATCATACGGAATTCCTATGATGGATTAAACTGCAAGATCGTTCACGGAGGACAACTCACCGACTCATTCGAGGTAAAGACCGGTGTCAGGCAAGGTTGCTTACTCTCACCCTTTCTCTTTCTCCTGGTGATCGACTAGATCATAAAGGCGTCAACATCTGGAGGGAAGGACGGGATACAGTGGATGGCTAGGATGCAGCTGGATGATTTAGACTTCTCAGATGATCTGGTTCTTCTGTCACACACGCAACAACAAATGCAGGAGAAGACGACCAGTGTATCAGCAGCAGTAGGCCTTAATATAAACAAAGGGAAAAGCAAGACTCTCCGATACAATACAGCATGCACCAATCGAATTACACTTGACGGAGAAGCTTTGGAGGATGTGTAAACCTCTACATATCTGGGCAGCATCGTCGATGAACACGGTGGATCTGATGCAGATTTGAGGGTGCGGATCGGCAAAGCAAGAGCAGCGTACCTACAATTGAAGAACATCTGGAACTCAAAACAATTGTCAACCGACACCAAGATCACAATTTTCAATACAAATGTCAAGATAGTTCTACTGTATGAGGCGGAAATTTGGAGAACTACGAAAGCCATCATCCAGAAGATACAAGTATTTATTAACAATAGTCTACGCAAGATACTTCGGATCCGTTGGCCAGACACTATCAGCAACAACCCACTGTGGGAGTAAACAAACCAGATTCCAGTGGAGGAAGAAGTCAGAAATAAGAGCTGGAAGTGGATAGGACACACATTGAGGAAAGCAGCCAACTGCATCACAAGGCAAGCCCTTACATGGAATCCTGAAGGCCAAAGGAGAATATGAAGACCAAAGAACACATTAAGCAGAGAAATGGAAACAGGTACGAAAAGAATGAACAACAACTGGATAGTACTAGAAAGGAAGGCCTAGGACAGAGTGGGTTGGAGAATGCTGGTCAGCGGCCTATGTTACATCAGTGTGTTCACTACACTTTTATCTGTTTAGTACACTTGTAATATATATGTATTAAGAGATTTTGGAAATATTGACCATTATATTATGAGTCACTTCTTAAGAGTGCATTGTTTGGCATGAAATCTGTTGGTTATGGTTACGGTCCCATATGTTTTTCGTAAAGGTACATAATATTTTTTTATGAAAGTAAAATGTATATTGATATCTATCTACCCTTATGTTAAGCTCATCAATCTAACTGACACAGAAGTTAGTAACAATTATAGTTTTGTACATTTTTCAGCGTTCTGAATTATGTATACCTTGAAACATGATTTATGTATCATGAATGGATTAAGATTCTTCTCAGTTGTTTTAAGCTTCGGTTATATGTCAGGATAGTCAAATATCGTGTTTGTTTCAATGGATTATGCCCTAGAATACATCTACAGATGCAATCTATTCTTTGTTTAATAGCGTAAATCAACTAGCGTCTCATCTATTTCTAACAATTTAGACAATATTTTGACGTGGAAATACTTAATTATTTATACCATGTGTCCTTTTAAGCTGACCATGCAATAACCACTTTTTTTCGAATCCCTAGTTTTACAATAACAATTTACTCTTAAACACTGCATTATTTCTCACTTCAATCATGTAGGTATTTTTAAAAATGGATCCAAATCGACTTGGTCATATCCAATTACTGGATATTAAACGATTTTTCAATACTCCTAGATGGGCTGTGAATCAACTGGGTAGATTCTAAATTCTTTTTGGTTTTTCAAAAATGGTATGGTGTTTATCATTCTTGCTTATACATTAAATAAATCTTTTGATTAATGAGATAAACAAATAAACGGTTCTAAGAGTACGACTGCATTCATACTAATAAACTTTTAAGAATTTACACTAAAATAACCACTTTCAGCATAAATAAATACAAATGCATTGAATATGTTATGTTTCTGCAATTATATAAAGTGGGCGATCTAGTTCTGATGAAGAATACTGTATTGTTTCCTTTAAACTTCAGTTATAATTTGTTGTCATGGGGTGTTTTGATTTATATATGGTACAAATACCAAGATGGTTTTCTTTCTGTTACCATTTATATTGGTCTAACAAAGTTTTAGAAATTTGGACAAAACAATCAAGTAAAAATATCTGTCTACACAGGAATCTATACTAATGACGAAAGGTTCTATTACTAATATTCCGAGTAATGCGGAAGCAACATGAAGAGTATCAAGGATAAATCTGCCGCGCTCGGAATGATGTACACAGAGGTGTACAATTTGTCAATTGTAAAATCTTATGTGTACAACTTCTGAATTGCTCAGTTGTCCTAACTTTGTGTAGACCATTATTCACAGTTTACATATTGTTTGTTTCACCAAATATAGAAAATCCAAAATGCTCGTATTATTCGTTATCTTTACACTTTCTAAAGTCTCCTAAATTTCACATTACGACAGTTACTAAGTGCATTTACTTATTGAGAAGCGTCAATTGTATATAACAATAATGTTTCATTGCTATTAAATTTCCATCAATGTTCCCAGGTACTAATATAGCTCATTCACTACCGGATATTTTGAAAGTTTTCGAAAAATTCGTTCATGTTCAAAAACGCCTAGAGTATACAGAATTCGAAGTATATTATCAAGCTGTTTCGACTACTTTAGGAGAATGTCCTGTTGATCAGTTGAGATCAGATGCAGCATATATGGATTTATGTTCATTATTTCCATCAAGTGAGTGCGCTCAAAATTATTTTCTAGGTGAAAACATAAATGATTCCTGTGATACATTTATAAAATTAATACAAGATACATGGTGCATTTGATTGTCCATGTCCTGATAATGATGATCATGATAAACGTAAAGAATATATCAGACAAACTTGCCTCCACATTTTTTATATTTAAACATGCCAGTTGCCACCAACTGTTCGATATAATGTTGTGTTTTTATTCACATAATTTGTTTTTATATCTTTTTATAAAGTTATGATTTTGATATGTTCGTAATAAATTTGGGATTTTGGTTCCGTCTGTTTTTAAAATCGTCAGTTTTCAAAGGATATATTTTGTTAAGTACAAAAATATCGGTACAGCTGGGCAACAAAATAAATGTGCACTAAACAATAGGGAAATGAAATTGTCATAAGGTAGGTGAGGTAGAGGAAGTACAATCGAAAATAAACAAATGAATAGGGATAATAATGAGTGGCCGAGAATAGTATATAATAGGAGATATAGTTCAGTTTTAAATACAACCAGCAACACATCTCTCAGTCAAGTCACGTCCTTTCATTTCTTGAAATGTAAAATGTAAGAGAAAGCTACTGCAGGATCTCCATTGGTTTCTGTTTCCACTCACATTTGGTAATGTCTCAAGCTACTAAGTTGTATAATCCCTAGGATCCCAACCAGGGAGCAGTGAGGGACCGAATTGTTCCAGTCTCGTACAGTTTTCTTTCATACTATGACACCGTATCATGAAAAAACCACTTCTCCCACTTTTGTACCTTGCCACAGAGTCCGAAAATAAAGCACAACGTGAAAGTCACTGAGATGATTTTCGCAACACATGTCAAGACCACCAAAGCCAGTGTTTCAACATGGTAACACTAACCAAATTGTCATCACTGATCCCGGATAAACACTGTCGAACCTCAGCGTTACTAACACAGTGTTGCCACTGAATGTCACCACTCATTCGAAGACATAGAAAATTGAACACAGAGAGTCACCAAACGTCTTCATCTAGGAAAGGCGAGGTTTTACAGTCACGGAGTAGGACCGCTCTCCTTGACGCACTGTAGACAGGATATTTCAGTCAGACTAACATCATGACGACCTCAAAGATGGCTCAGTTTGGCATAAGCTGCTCTAGCTTTCACTATACGTAGGTTGATTTCATAAATCACGCCATCATCAGCACTCGCACAGGTACCCATATACATGAACATTTAGACTATTTATTACGGTTTGCAACTAAATGTGAGTGACAGCACAGATTCCTGACAGTCTTGTAGAAATATGGTGTATTCGGAACGTCCAAAATCTTATAGGTACTGACACGGATTTCCAGCGGAAGAAGTGAGAATTGGATAGCTCTTGTTTCAAAGCATGGTAAGAAAATGTAGTCTGGTTACCGAGACATTTTCCTCCAGGTAACAGATCTAGGTGTTAATAAAAATCACAGACACATCCTTTTTCAATAGAATATCGTGGAGTACAGTTCTTTATTGCCGCAAGTTGATGGAAACCCTAATATCAAAAACATAATGACTGTTGGTCTGCAATAATTATGGCGATGCTCCGACACTTAGTATAGTGTAAAGATATGATCAGTTCATCCAACACCAGGTCGAAGGCTAGTCCAATCTACATGAATCAGTCATTCACGGGTTTTGAATAATCTATGAAGTATGAAAGTAGCCATTAATTTGATACAATCGAAAATGGACCCACTCAGTCTACGATTTTTACATAGACGACAAACGTTTACTTTAATGTTGAAGAAGACCATTACTTTATCCTAGGATTTTCGGAACACTGTTTCGAAACCTTTCCAAACAACTCATTTAGTTTCATGATCAAAAGTTCGCCCTCACCTAACAAAGAATGGGAGAGTAGGCTGTTCGGGCCTAGTAAATTGTGGCGTTTTAAAATTTGAAGTACTTTGAGAACCTTTGATTCGTTAAGTTGATCAGTTGTTACCGGTCAGGGATGAAAAGACCTCCTAATTGACGGTTCTGTGAATAACAGACCAGCTGCGTTGTTTCTCGAAAAGCTCTGGTAACCGTTCAGGACCTTGGATATTACTAATCGGCTTTCCATAAACTTCCAAGATTGCTTCATAGATGTCACACCTCTGACTGCCAGTTGAAACAGCTTCCGGACTCAGGTATTGTTTTCAGCTCGTTAGCGCGTTCCAAACACTGTTTCACAATCCTTACAGGTTCCAGCATTTCTTGCGTAAGAGTCTACGTCTGACGTCAAACTCACGTTCCACTGCAGTAAACTAGCGTGCCTCAAGAAGTTGTAAGGAACCTTCAAAAACCTAATATTTGTAAGTGGTACACTGTGAAATCGAGGCATGTCCGTCATTTTCAAAGTGTCATACAAACTTAGTAATTAGCTGCATTTCTTTCTGATTGTTGTGTTTGTTTCAACTATAATTGGGCACAGATAGCGATTGTCAGCATAGAATAACTGTAAACCAGAATAAATCATTTAGCTTTAAGCTGTAATAAACAGCATGGTTTCTGAGAACAACCTAAACCGGTAACTTTTGGGTCTGCTGGATTAAAAGGTCAGAATAATAGATTAAAAGATAGCTGATGTCATGCTCGAAAATTCCCAATCTATTTGTTATAGATTAAAAGTTACATAGCAAAGTTTAATCATACGAAGTTATAAAGAGACTTTTTTAAACTACTTTGCCATAGGGTATCTGAACAAAAACTATGAAGGCCCCACCTCTCATGACATAAAAAATTGTGATTTGGATTGCCGAGAAATACGTTTTATTTACCAATAATTTAGTCCTTAAGGCCATATAACAAGCAAACTCATAAGTCTCAATGTTCATAAACAAAATATTTTTTTATAAAACAAATTAAATCGATTCGAGATACTGAGAGTAGGTTGCAAATTGTTCGATGCAACCATAATTTCTAAGCATAATCGCTCCCTGGAATCTAGAACTTCAAAATCTGGGGAAGCAATCTTAAATTTTCATAAAATTCGAATAATTAAATTTTCTTTACTTACCTTTAGAGATATACTTCCTAAATAAGTCTTGGTAATTGAGTCGTACAAACCCTCATCATGTATATAAGCTAGTAATAATTCTCGCAACTGATTTTTATTTAAAACTGAACAAATTGAAGGACATTTCGTGGATAGTAGCTAAAGTCATATGGTGTAAAACATAAGAATACCTACCACATTGGCGAAAGCAAGGAAAGATGATGAAAATTTTTCAGCATTATTTACTGAACCATCTATTTGTAAGTGTTCGAGAATAATATTACTCCATGGACTAGTCAATAAGAACGTGTCTGTGCATTATAAACAAGTATAGATAACTTACTGATAAATGATTGTTTTGTGGTAGTTGAACAGATATATTTAATCAGACAACCATACACTTCGATTGACAATTCTTGTGTAAATCTATGGGTTATGTCCATGATTTTAGTATTCAAGCACATGAAGAGCTGTGAGGAATATGATAGGAATTAATTAGACTAGGAACTATAAAAACACAGTACTATTCAAGAACACAAATATTAGGGTTACAAGTACTAATTGTTATTGATAAACAAAAAGATGATATACCCATAATCGGATGTGATCATTTCTTAATACGCTTGAAACCATGTTTAATCCCTTTAGTCTAATACAAGCTAATAGAATGAAGTGAAGCATTCAGCTTAACACCACAGAACGTTGAATACCGTCAGCACGAAACCTTATGATATCTCGGCATTCACCAGAAAAGAAGTCTGAAACCAAAAACAAATCATTCCTAAACTATGCCAGTTGCTCTTATTGTTAAATAAGTTACTACTATGCCGCTAGACCGGAGAATTTTCTACTAATATAACTAAGATCCTGAATGAACATCGTCAGCAGAAATACAATCTTAATTTTAAGGAATTGAAGTGTATTTCAATCATTATTGCGCCAAATAATCTTAAGTTGGTTGGCTCGTTTAGTAGAGGAATCGCGCAATTAACAACGATTTGTGGAAACTAATAATGCTTACTTCATAGTAGTAGTTTTCGCTCGAGTTTTCTGATATATCCGGCCATAAAAGATGAGACAGTGGTCCGTAAAATGATTCCAATAGACAAACAAGTGCACTGCTCTCGATGAAAGGAGATCCATTCGTTACTTGATTATGACTCAAAATTGCTAAAATCGTTTCTGGATTCATAAACAATAACTGCAAGAAAAGTGGTCAAAATTTTTGTATTCGTATGAAAACAAAATAAAAAGCGAAAACTGGTCTAAAAAAGCGATTAGTTCTTTGTTTGAATACTTCAGAAAGTTATTTTATACATCGACTTCTTATTGTCGCACATAGACAAAAAAAATGGTGACAGATCTGGAGTGTATATGTATTCAACCTTAACTAAGTTATATTTAGGCCGTTATAAACCAGTATAAATTCAAGATAAAGACCTATTACCCATTGAGCTTTGATGGATTTATCAATTCACTTTTATGGCAAAAAGTGCTAAAAGAAGCCCAAAATACTATCTGTTGGTGATTTTAAAAAATAATTTTGTCGTATGAATCTAGAATGAAAGCACTTTCTCTGTGATTCACGATGTACACTTGGTTTTCAAATAAAAGAATAGAAAAGATGAAGGACAAAGGTAATGTCACCGTACAATGACTAAACTAACTATTTGTATCAACGTATGAAAATTCGTTATCTCTTTATACTATTATTATTGTAACAACTGCTTTATCAAAGCCTCAAGAAAACAGTCACATCACATGATTCCTGAAAGCTTAAATAACTTTAGAAAATTTATATGTACAGAAAAAGTCCAAAACATGACTCTTTTTATTTCGGAACTCTGATTTATTTTATAAAATTGTCTGCTTGACTGTTGAACTTTGACTTCTTGAAACCATGTAGATGTCATAGTTTTGTAAATCCGAATTAAGAGTTTGCTAGAAATCATGGGTAGAAAATTAAATTGGAAACGTTTTCACCTCAACGGTGTTAAAACAAACGGTAAACGAAGATTCAACAAACACTAATTTATTAAAATAAAATAAGTGATTCAAATATATATTCACTCACGCTTCTAACAGAGTCAACAATATCATGATTGACCGATAAATGTTTTGTACAAATATTTATTGAGGCACCAATCCCTAAAATAGAGTCCCATTCCGCAGCTGTGATTTGAAACTTCTCAGTATGTATTTTCAAACGATTAGCTGCAGAACCTTCGGAAGTCTCTTTCGAAAAGCGGAAAATACAACTTTCCCAGGTTTGGATTTCTGAACATAGCAGTTTTACAACTAGATGGATAAACCAAATTCTTAATTTAACAAAAATCAGAGATAATCAAGATAGGACAAAATCGTGCGGGTTCTATCAAATTTTAATTTTGTATTTAACGAATTTCCAAATCATCCGTATTTTACGAGTTATCACTTAAACAGAATATTCGATTACTTCGTAGAGAAGACAGTTTTCACCAGGGCTTGATAAGGTCTCAATAACTGAAAGAATCAAGGGTCAATAGACAGCTCGTTCATAGTACTAACTCTGCAAGCTGTAATAAATATTTTGCTTATCTCAATTATACTTGATTAGGTAATGAAGTTCTTCATCAATAAGCAATGAATAAAATACACAACCGTGTATGAAGTCTATTTAGCTGTTAGGAAAATGTAAACGTTCTCATCAGTCCAGTAGTTTATGATTCAATACATTGTTAGCTTCAAAAGACAAATATTACTTTTTGATCCATTAGACTTGGACGTATAGTTATTATTTCTTATCCCACTAAAGACATTAGTTCGTTCTGAACAGGTGTGTGTGATGAGAAATGGGATATTATTGGTCAAAGCGTATAATTTATCTAATGTCATGCTTAATAAAAAAATTCAAAAGATGGTACGAGTTATAGCTTAAAATACAATTAAATTTTAGGTTAGACGGTTAAAAATTAGGGTTTTCAGGTTAGTGTAAGAAAATTGTGATTTGAGAGTTTAGGATTAAGGGGGTAGTAGTACTAGGTTTGATTTCGAGATAGTGATCATTGATAATTCAGGTGGATGATTTTGGAAGTGTTTCGGTCTCTGACTGAACCAACCATCTAGAAGAAAAGAGCCCTACTAAAACTACTTATGATATTATGCTCAGGAAGTAAAATTCAACTATTATTTTCATTAAGTTGTTATATCTTTAGTATGAGCGTTCACTAGCTCCTCATATTCCATAGAGTTTAACTAAACCTAATGTAAATTCAACAAAAACTCCAGAATTTATAGTCAACTAACTTTGTACTTGTGTATTACCATCAGAATTCATCAAAAGGTGTAATATGATTTTGAGAAGATCATTTCTAAGTGAAGAATTAGGATCGAAACGCTCATTCGCTAAAAGTCCAATAACTTCAATCATTTTGGTAGATAAACAAAAATAAAAACATACTTTGTTGTGCCACCATAATAACAAACTGAGAATAAAGGAAGACTTCGTGTAGAAACATGCAGGTTACTTTTAGCATTTTCACATACGCATATTTCAGCTCATCTGGGAATGAAAACAATTTATTGAATTTCAATTACGAAATAAATTAGTTTTCGTCAATAAATTTAAGATTATACAAATGTATTATGAAGATAATTCATTTCGAGATTAGAGACAAATGTGGCATAGTGGCTATTTATAGTAAACGTGACTACTGAATACTTACTATTCATAATATATAAGTTATTTATTCCTATAATATACCATCTGTAGTGCTTAGGATTGATTAAATATTTCAATCGTAAATGCTTGCCAGTGTGTTCACATTAATTATTTGGGAAAAAAGAGAATTCAAGGAAAACCAATAATATCGTGGGAGTTCATCCTTTGAATATACCCTGAAATCTTCACTGTACAACGAGCTGTATTTGGTATCTATAGTAAATTATTATTTATTGGTACAATGACCATATTTATTCCGTGCACACCTTTTAGTTTTAGCAACAGTCGAATGCTAAATTCATCGTGTCTGAAAACCAGTGTCATTGATAACTTAAATTTTCACAAGGATAATTAAGGTATTAAGGAATTAAGGTATATCGAGGCAATACGCACAGTATGCACATATGCCAATTAGAGACTGACCAGTTGCAGTTCTAACAAATCGATGGGAAGATTCAAACAAACAATACTAAGTTGAATTTAAACTTCACCCCATCGCACAAGCAAGTGGCTATCAGGACTCAGTGGCCGAGTGGATAACGCGATGGCGTTTGAAGCGAGGGTACTGGGTTCGAGTCCCAGAGTGAACATCAACTCTGAGATGCAGGTACATCCAGCTGACGAGTCCCAAATAGGACAAAACGCGCGTCCTGGATTCCACTGCTAGCCACTATCCATCTCTGCTATCCAAGGATAATACTGTTATCTTTTTGTGAAAATCAAATATCATGGCTTTGTATCATAAGTCGTAAATTGATCGAAATCTTGCAAAATTGAATGCTTTAACTTAATACTGATTTGGAAACTATGTCTTAGGCCTAATTAAATACAACTTCCACATACAGTATTATTCTAACTTATACAGGTAATTAAACAAAGTTGACTTCACTCCGGATTTGGTCACCTAGTTTACTATTCTATCTCACAAGCACGAAATTTGACTCAACTACGTAATTTGTAAAGGAACTCACTATACAACTGGAGCATCAAAATCACTAACTGGATTCTAACAGCCTAAAGATTAGAGTTACGGTTGCACTTATTATTAGTACAAAAATAAGGAAACTGAATGATAAGGCATTCCTCTTACAGATCACTTAAAGTAGAAGTTTATTTCATGAAAAGAAAATCTAAGGTAGATGTTTAAAATAAATTTCAAGAACTTAAGGATTTACTAAAGCGCTTTGTGATTACAGGTCATAAAAATAATAAAATGCTTCATTTATACATTGCTCCTATTGTAGTACCAGTTCATATGTTAGGCCCATATACTTTATTCTAGTTACTGGCCAAGCCAATTCACCTGTACATTGAGTCATCTTTTGATCTTGTTAATCATTTGCTTATTAACCTTGAGTACTTTTTATATGAGCGCATATGTGTACACTTCGTATCTTATTCATCATATGTCTGTCACTCATTTTTGTCTGCCTATAAATGTTAGTTAACGCTTGCTTAAAATGAGTTGGCTTCCCAGCCATCTCCAATACGCATCATCTTTGCTTCGCTTGCTTACAGTTGCTCATGTGCTTACAACTTTATGGTCTGCATCGATTATCAATAAAAATGTAGTTGCCGCTTCCCTTTGCCTTCTGATATTATACACCGTTAAGATTGGTATTAATAACGGTTATCGAAGCGAACTATGATCGAAGCACGGCACTACACTATCATTTCCGAACAGCTTACATTGATATTTTATTATACATATTATTGACCGGATCAGTTTGCTTTGCAAACGGAATCGCAACAGTTAATCAATACTGCAATCAATTTCCCAAAATTTAAAAGTCATAATCAAACCGAAAACACCGATATGTACTAGTAGTCTGAGGGAAGGTTGATGTATCAACACCAAGCGAATGATTCTACATAACAAACGGATTATCATAAGTATGATTCAGCTCTCTGATCTAGCACATTTTTCAGGAAAAATCATCAGATCAGGAATATGTACTTCTTTAATTGATGTTTCTGAAAAGGTTTAACTCAAGAATTTTATGTAGTTCGCGAACCAAGAACAAGTTATCAAACCTAACTTTGAGCCACATTTTATATATAATACTATTTAGGTATCAAAACCATAGTGGATAGAGTTTGGTTCAAAAGTTACTGTAGATTGTTAGAAATCAACTAAACATCCTTTAAAAATGTTCAAGGTTCAAGATTGAACCAAGTAAAAATTTATGTACCCAAAAACTGAATAAAATAAAAGCCTGAGAACATAACTCACAGTTAGAAGTGAAGACGTCTGAAAACGATCCCGGAAGGTTATTTGGCAGTATTGAGAGACAATCACAAATATAAAGTGCTAACTGTTTTCTCTGAACAGAAGAATGACTAGTTTCTATCGACCCATCCTTTTCCTTGTGCAAAAAAATACAACAATTATTTCAGTGTCTGTAAAAATATCTCTTTAGCCAGCCTACTTGTAAATGAGTAGAGGATACAATTATACACACAGGGCTTTAATACTCATGTTGCTGAACTTTATTGTCTAATAAAAAATTTAAAGGTTTGATTCAAGAGGAAGCACGATGTTTAAAATGCTACGTATAAAGATTTGTAAATCAACGTCCACTGCAGTAATATGGTATTTGATGAACGTGAATCATATTGGAATAGATTGTTCACATTTTCTTCAGTGATTATCAAAAGTAGTTCAAACATCAGTCGTCTAGAAGAAAATTTCGAACTTTGGTGCATCATTCAATTAAAATTTTCGACATTATCAAAACAAGAACAGTCATAAGATATAATCAACTGAATTTCTAAGTTTCTTCAAGCTTTGAGAATACGGAAGACAGTTTCCGGGTTTAATCAAAGATATCTACTTGAAGATAATTCGAGATAATACAAATTGATAGCGGTCATATTGTTGTGGTATGTAACAAACTGGTAAGTTTCATTAGGAGGAAACATGAACTTTGAACCAACTTAAGTGAATAGTAATTTTTATATTCACTGGAGAAGAGCTTATAGATAAAATTGGAAATGAAAGTTATAGTTACGACAGTTAGGCAAGGACTTCACATGAGATAACAAAATACTGTTCGTCGATCACTTTTTTCGAGGTCGTTTTAAAAACTAGACATGAAAAACTTATTATGAAATACATATAACTATTTAAGCTTCTCAGTCAGAAGGCGTCACAATAACGACATCCTTCAGTTACTTTTACATTAGTTTATAAACGATTTACAACATTCAATAAAAGATGGATATAAAATAATTTCAAATAAGTATTTTATTACTGACTATGAAAACTAACCTTTAAGCTGAGTGTTTGTATTTCGAAAGTTAGAACTAAACGCTGAAGGACATCCGCATTGTCAAACTTCATCAAACTGTTGTACCATACTGTCTATATGTAAAAATTAAATTGATTTAATTCAAAAGTCGAGTATCGAAACAACTGTACCCTGGTTTGTTGTTTACTGTCTGTAACTGATTAGCTACTTTCATCATATCAATAGGCTAAATTTAACTTTTAAGTAATTAAAATGTAAATCCCTAATTTTGGTTATAAATTAGTTCATGGACTGAAATCAGCTGGAGATTCATTATGAATCAAAGACCCAAATATTTCCCACTTATGTATTGGGGATTTACTACAGCGTGTGCTCACTTTCGCACCATGAATGGAAATTGGGACTTCAGGGTCTCTTGGAGAACATTAAAACCTTAAAATAACGAAGTTAAAATTTAATTTCGTTAAGGATACATAATTTAGCTGTTCATAGTATTTCATGGTTAAGATAATATAATGTATTGTTTACTGAATCACATGAATCTACATCAACTTATTATAGGCAAGTACAAATCTAATGCATATGGATGCAGTCGAAGAAAACAAAAAGCTCAACATTACAATATTGGGATATTAGAATATGGTTAAACAAACAAAACGAATATCCTAGGGATATCAGTGTATGACATGCTTGAAAAAGGGCATACATTCACTTTATATCCAAACAACTAAAACGTTATATAGAAATTTAAAATATCGTTCAGATTTTTCATGGGCCCAACTAATAGACTAGTTGAATCACCATTATTCTAAACGTAATTTTGAAAAATGTTTCAGATATTTCCTTTTGCAATTTTAAAGATATCAAGAAAGCCAGGAAACTGAAGTAAATGTTGTGAGGTAGAACATATTCAAATAAAAAAGTCATAAACTCACCCAAGTATTGGATAATAAAATGTAAGTTGTGGGAAGTAGTGAAAATACTTGTTCCTCAATCAACAGTTCATCACTGTGACACTGTAGTATCTACGCAGAAATGAAAACATTAATGTTTAGAAGTGTTACCTGTTATATATAACCGATCATCTTGTTTTTTGCGTAATTTTGTTTAGGTTGTTAATCCTATCATTATTATCAGAGACTGTCCTGTGTTTTTTAGGAATGATATTCTTTTTTTAGTCCATTACTTGAGAACCAAAATCAAGGAATTTTAGTGACAAAATGACACCTGGTCGTTCACATTTTGGTGCAATAACGACCACTAACAAGCAATATCAATGAAACAGTTTAGGTTCTATAATGTTCTCGATGTTTAATTTTAAACTTTTCTGGTTTTACCAAGTCTTTTTATGTGGTTTTACAAACCACTTCTAATAGTGCTCTTTTACTAACATAAAACAAAGAAGTCGACAAGAAGTTGACGTACATTCTGTTTTTCGCAATTTATTCTGGATCACTATGATTATTAACGTTTTTTACGAATATATAAATATGAAATAGATAAGTATTCTGATGAGAAAAAGTTTTTTGTAACTTAGTGCATATACTTAGTCCTTAAAATGTTGGTACTTTAAACAGAACGATAGGTCAGAAGGGGTTTTTGTGGATATTTCAGTATTTTCATAGTTGAAGTCACGAGTCAATTGAAGCTAGACCACCATGGAAAACCCGGAAGCACTGGACGGCCGTTTCGTCCTATTATGGGAACGATAGGTATTGATCACTAACAAAACACCTAAATTATTGCATTTCCTAGATCTAATATTTATGTTGGTATATTGGCGTATCACTAAATGAAGTTAGGAATCGAATTCACATTACCTTAAATAGATTCCGGCTTTTTGTAAAAAGACTGAGAATGGTATTGGCACGATAGAGATATATTTATATCTCGTCAGTAACAAAGTTCAGTGAACAAAGCAAACACAGAATATTATAATGGATATACTACACATGAATAAGTCTGGATGTGTGAGAAATTTTACTGCCTGAAGTACTCTTGTTTAAGAGTAATTAAAAACATTATTTAAGGTGCGGTTACGATTCGTAACTGATAGTATTGTTAAGTTTTATACAATCATAAGCAGTTTTAGACATACACTTCAGGTATTAATTCCTCTTTGGAAAGTTCCTTTACGGTCAAATGCAACTAAGATATCTAATCCTCCTAAAACATTTTGTGAAATACCATATGCATTGGTTATCAATCATTTAACTCTGTGTTTCTTAGGAAGACGTTATAAGGAGTAAAATAGCTTCATTGGTTCTTACCGAAAGAATCAAAAGACTTTTGTACTATAACCAAAAATGACTTTCAACCTACAATTTTTTGGGCCATTTTAATCCAGCAGGGACTGCAGTTTTCTAAGTAAGTAGAAAATCGTGGAGTGCGCAATAGAACCAGAGTATGTACGGGCTGTAAACGATCAAACAGTGCTAAAGATAAAATATCTAAACCTAAAAAATAAAAAACAGGGATTTCAACTTCATGAGTTTGTACGTTCCACATGTTCATGGTCAGTGGGTTTAAGGCGATGTAGATCAGCGTTTGGTAATTATAAAAAACCTGTGTTCTATACATGATAGTGGTTTCTGTAAAAATGAGTATATATCACACAGAAAAATACATTAAATTTATCATGAGGTAATGCTTCTTCATTACTATATGATCGTGAAAAATACTAAGTGATAGAAATCCGGATCGAACTAAGAATTGCAAAGTGTTCTGCTTGACAAATGTCGCAATTTCTATTATCAGTATAGTGTTTAATGATCTAAATAAAGAATTTATAATTTGTAAAGTACATATTTACTACCTTTGTTTTTGAATAACTAACCAGGTGATCATTTCATCTTATTTATCCAAGATGCATTCTGGAATTAAAATAACATCACTGAAATTCTCTGAATTCAATTAACTACGAAGCACTACTTGTACATAACGTACAGCATAATGTGACTTCTTTTACCCTCCACAGTTACAAACTTATTTATCAACAAATGATATTTACTAAAAACCGAATTCTTACTGAATGCTTTTCCCTTCTTGAATGACTTATTCTTAGAAGCCTTCTTATTTGTACAAAAATAGAGAGTTAATTTCAACTCGCATAGTCTTTGAGTAAATTTTAAATCCACTTAGTCAATAGCTAACATTTTCAGTAAATATAAAAACAATCTACACTTTCACTCCAACATACTTTTAATTAAGTTATGATACTTCAAATTAATTAATATATATTGTTAGCTTCATTTACGAAAACTTCATGAATTTGAATGTTCATCATATAAACGATTTGAGAGAATCGTTTCAATTCCCTACTCGATTGACACGAAAAATGTAAATCATCTCAGTCGTCTGTCTCACTAATCAGAAATTTTACAAGCTTAAGTAGCAATAGGATAAGTACATATTGATAACAGTATAGTCACAAAGCATTTTTGAAAGCTTAATGTCTTTATTTATTGTTTAGATGCCCAATATGCGAAGTGAAAGATAAAGTGACAGTTTTTTTTATCTGAATTTCAGATTCTTTTAAAAGGTTTTAGAATAGGACAATAAATACGATATAATCAAGCAAATAATTATGGTAGATTTTCGCGAGAACTGAAATAATTACCTTCTCAGTTGCTTATTTTTGTAACTCGAAAAATTACTGCTAATAGTAGTAATTCTACTGAGGTATTGAATTTAGCACAAAACTAGCAAACATATTAAATCAGTTATCCTCAAATATTTGACGACATCAATATTGAAGGCTTGATCTGTAAGTTTTACGTAAGATGTATCAAGTTTGAGCTCAGATGAATAAGATCTATTTATCCAAAGTTAAAACAACATACCTTTATTATACTCATCGATGATCGCAGAATTATCGAAAACATTCCGAAACTTCGGCAAACACTGGAAGAATCATAAGTTAAGAAACTAAAACATCGCCTTACCATATATGTGATGAGAAATTCTACGGTGATTAAAACCGAAACCAGAAGAAAGAAGTTGACTCCTGCCTTTGTCGGAAACTGAATTATTTGCTTTAAAGCTTTGCTTGGGAAAATAAAACAATGCCTAGTTTTAAAGATATCAGAAATAATGGTTATTCAATCATTGAATGAAATTCAAGAAGTAGACAATCAATACATACATCCCTTATTTTCTCTAATATATATATATATATATATATATATAGTTTCATTTATCTAAATAGATGAGTCTATCTCAGAAATCTTCGCACTGGTAAAAACTACAGATGATCTGAGGCGCGTTCACAGCCTAAACGACGTAAAGAGTTGTTTAAGATATTGAGACATAAATGGTCAATCGTCCAGTTTAGATGCTTCTTTAATTTTCTCAAACTTTATATATTAGCTGTAAAATTCACTGGTCAAATAAGTGCATTTCTTAGCTCACTTACGTCTAAGCTCATAATTTGATGTTACCCAGCAAAGTCGTCTGATTATTGGAGAAAATTGAGATGTGTGCTCGTCAGTATCGTAGGCAGACCACTGAATAAAGTTTGAATGATTACGACAGACAGATCATGTATCAACGATATCGTTCTGTAAAGGCAGTATTAATTAAAACTAATTATGAATAAATTAGGTTAATGATGTATATAGGAAGATGGGGTATTAGGCAGTGATATCCATCACCTTGGTCATGGGTAGTTCTATCGTTTGGTTGGAAATGGTAACAAATATGTCCACGGTTTATTTTCAGCATCAGATTTGCTTAGTTCTTCTCTTTTCACTCTATGTTTAGTCGTTTTTGTTAATCAGATAAATGGGTTTTTGTTGTTTTCCTTTTCACGCTATCCATAGTCAGTAAAATTGCGTTCTGCCATGATTAATCAGATTTACCGAAAAATATTTTTGAGCTAGTGCCTTTAAAACGTTTTCAGAGTTTTTTAATATACTTTTAAGTACTACTTATCCGATAAAAAGACCATATCTAATAATGTTGTTTAGATTTGCAATATGATTGAGTAAATAAGATTCTACTACAGTTTTTGAGATACCGCAAATCATAATTTGACTTAGAGAGGGATGTCAATCTATCAAAACACATGAAGTCAATGTAAGGTAAATCGCATTCAGTGTCCATTTGGAGACATGTTCTTGCAACACTAAATAGAAGCAAAACTTTTATTGTTTATATGATTGTTTTCCTCTTCTTTACTAGTAAACGGACTGTGGATATGAATATTTGACACATCTGACTCTTATGTTTGACGGTATAATTTTAATTTTATTATGAAGAATCTGGTAACAACGTATGGAGAATTATGACAAAAAACGTTGATAATTTTTTTCAAAACCATTTGTTGATTGATACCAAGTCGTTGTTTTTATTCTAATGAGCTGGTTACTATAGATAAAAGGTTTGGTAACTCAAAGCAAACAGTATGTGCACCGTTTTAAGTTTTGAAAAGGAAACATATTACATCTCTTCATCCAGTTCCTCAAAAATTGTTGAGACTAAAAATTGCTCTATGTTATATTATTATACTGAATAGTATTTGGTGGGTGAATAAATCTATCAATTAGTGTTGAAGGCTTTAAACAAGTGTGGAGTTATGCTACTCAAAAAGCAAGATAAGAATATTCAGTAAACTATAACAACAGTGCATACATAAGGTTAGTACATTCTGACAGAAAAATGATAAAATATAAAGCATCATGCTACCAAAACCCATAGTAAGACAGTCAACCATTTACTCTGTAACTGGAAAAAACTAATGACTGTACATAAAATCCCATGTTATCTAGACTACCAGCTATAACTTTTTGTGTATTAATGATATATCATACGTGGAACTTAATCATTGTGAATCCTCCTACCATTTTCTTTAGTCACATTTAATCTTAGATATTGAGAGAGACTGTGAATAAAAATGCACAACCTGCTGCGTGAAATATGTCTTATAATAGTAGCAAACGAGTTACTTTTTGTCCAGTACTTTATATTTGGGATCTCACTATATATTAATGGCTTCATACGTTTTATATATCGGTGCTAGGGTAAATATGTTTTGCACACAACAGTTTTTTTAATTATATAAGACTTGGAACGCTACGTACAGTAGATTTTAGTTAGTGATCAAACATGTGTCTCCACTGAGATCTTGTTGACAAGTAGATAATTTTCACATGATTCGACTTTTTAAAGCGCCCGCCAAATTCAGCACTTGGTTCAGAAGATTGGCAACTTTACTTTCCAATGACAGACAAAAAAGGAATACAAACCTACTCCTAGAAAACACCGAACATATCTAGGCATTTAAGCGCATGGTATGGATTCAGAGATTCTTATAAAGTGAATTCTAAACTTATTGTGTAACACATCTATTTTTACAGTTATACATAACCCAACCCTGAGAAATAGACAAGAAAAGCTTGATATTTATAATGAACACGTATATAAGTAGAAAATAAGAAGCTCAATTTCAGGAATATTGTTAAAAATTCATATTTATGATAAGAATCATTTGTCACTTAGTCAAAGTGGTTTGTAATAATGAATTGAAAGTCGGTTCGCAATTAAAAATATGCTAGTCCAATAAGTCAAATGCTCTCGGCAAGATCCTGGATGAGTATTACATGATTTTCCTTATAGCATTTGTCCCAAATTCAAATCGAAGACAAAATAGGGTGACAAAATGTTATGTCCGGCTTAAAATAGAACGATTCTATATAACTTAGTAAACCACCGTTTATTCTTTACTTGTTCGCAGATTTCCGTACTTCTGGAATTACGCAAAACTCGTAGACATTCCAAAATAGTATAGCAATGTCCCCAATAAGAGCTGAAAATTCCATAAACTGGGAACCACTTTAGTATTAGTGTCTTCTAAAACGACTGAGGATAATAATTTGCAACTATCAACCTCAACAAGCTTATGTTTCATGGCAAGTGTACGTTTTAGCCAGAGCCGGAAGTTTGGCTACCATAACTAGTATATTAAACTTTGGAAAATCAGATTATCATCATAGAAAACTTACTCCAAACAAAATTTCAGTGACCCGTTTTGTATGTAATTATTTAAAACAGAATTTCATTCTAAACAAAGATGTATGTTGGCCAGCAGTGGAGCCCAGAACGTCCGTTTCTATCTATTTGGGACTCGTCAGCTGAATGTTAATGCATCCTAGAGTTGATATTTACTCAGGGACTCCAACCCAGTACCGTTTGCTTCAAAAGTCATTGCCCTAACCACTTAGCTACTGAGTACTGATAGACACTTACTTGTGCAACGGGGTGAAGTTTGAATCCACTTGATACTATTTTACTTGAACCTTCCGATTACTGTTTATGACTACAATCGATCAGTTTCAACATCATTCTTCTAAATGTTCTGTCTTAATAATGATAGCTGTTGATTTTGGAGTTGTGGAGATTGTCGAGTTTTATCGAAATCACCGACCAATTTAAGTTGGGCAATCATTAAAATGATGGTTTTCATTAGTTTTGCATGTCTCTAACCGTTAGCTTTAATAGTTATTGCCATATAGCACCTAAATAACACAACTGACGTCTGTTCTGACTCAAAAACAGGATGCTTCAACTTTTTAGTCAATGGTAAGCCATTTGACTTACTACAAAATTAGTGCGCCTACATAGAAATGATGGGTTTAATAGTGGTTATATTTCGATAACATGCTATCATTGAAACGGTTTTAATTGCTCATAAACTTGATAGAATTAGTTTCTGTACAACAGCAAGGTAATATGGTGAGTTTCTTTCAGTCTTTTCATAGAAATCATGATGATAAGGGACGTTGATTACAATGTCAAAATAACAGTATACGCAAAAGAATAATTAAATATAGTTCACTTTGCTATAAAACTTATAAACCTTAGTGTGTCGACATAAAAAATATACTTTAAATAAACGTGTCTCGTTATCACTAGCTGTGATGTGCTAAGATTACAAGGTCTGGCTGATTCTAAAAGAAAAATCGTTTGATGCATTTAGAAAACTGTTAGCTTCTTTCCTTTATATTACTGTACTAAAGTGAAGCTATCACTAACCAGGGTTTCTGTTTAAACATTACTTACCCAAGTGAATTTGCCTCGTGATCTCCATCTTCAACCAAGGGGGATCTCTGCAGCTTTTTAATATGTTTGATATTACAATTGATAAGGACGCATACAACGGATATTGCTGAAGCAGAAATATCAATGAATTCTTGTCCTCGTATACTTAAGGCCATGTATTTTTCAAGGTACTCAAAATCCACACCTTGATAGGGAAAGACATCAAACATACAAAAGTAGTCGATCTGAACAGTGTGTTAGAGGCGCTTTCTAATTAAAAACACTGAGTCATACCCAAAAATTTTGGTACATTTAGTCACTAAATGTTTTCTTGAAATAACATGACCTATGTATTTCGTTACTTTTTACATACAGATATTTTTGGACACAACGTGAAGTTTTTATTGAAATACATTCAACTGAGAAGTAAAACAAATCATAATTACAAAAGCATCTTGATTTCAACTTATAACAATATTTGAAGGAGACTTTAAAGTTTATTTTGAAATTTCAAATATATATAGTCCTAGCTATATAAGCGAAGTCTATGACAGATGTCGTCTTATCAGCTCTATTCACTGCTAAACGTAAACTGATTAACAATTACCATTACCACAAAAGTTTTTTATGCTTTTCTTGACACCACCCTATATACAAAAAAGAACTTTTGTTTAATATTGACAAAGCTACATAAGCGGGATTTTCTCACAGAGCGAATTTTAACAAAACCATATTGTTTCGTTGCTATGTTGCAAACAATGTCTGTATGTAAAGATGTAAAATATCAACTATTCGAATAGTTAATTAATACATTGGCGGCCAAAATACTTTTTATCCTGTGGTTGTTGTTGTTGTTTGAAATAACTTTCTGAGTTTCCGATAATCTAGTTAAATAATAATGCCCTTTGAAGCAACGGCTCAAAGTTCCTTAAATAGAAGAATTTGTACTTTAAAGACTCAAACCGTTTTAGAAATTTCAGCACTGGTAAGATTCAGAAAAGTTTGAACTATTGTTTTAAATATTCGAAACATTATAGTTTATACCACTAAATATATTTTAAACTTACTCGTAAAATATTTGAATCCACGAACTAAAGTAGAAATCCAAATTTTAAACTCATCTCTCTTTAGGACGTCAGTTAAATGTCTACGCTTTGATAAATGCGAAATACTAAGATTGTTATATATACTGGAGTTGATTGTTATCACAGCTAGCAAAACTTCTTTCGGGAAAGACATGGAACAAAACGGGACGCTGAGCTCCCTAGAGCAAATTTTATTTAACCATGCAACAAAAAATGTATTTACTGCTTTTTATCGTTAAATGTATGGTAGCCAGGTGAAAATAAAGCCGGTTTAACGTTCTCAGTACCGACCAAAAAGCAAATCTTGTAAAACAGTGGAAGAAGCAAAGTGAAACTTTCGCAAATTTTGTCTTTGAGAGCGTTTGAAACACAGTTTTTAAAGGTCTGAAATTGATCAAAAATTCCTCCACAAATATTGGTAATCTCCTTAACTGAAATGTCTGAGCATATGCCATAAGCGTACATTGTCGTTATCCTTAGCACCGATAGCAAATCCTCCACAGTAACATTTTTATATATTAATTGCTTTAAAACCATAAGAATTTAATAGGATAAAACCTACAGAAACTAAATTCATCACTACAGAAAAAAATATATACGAGAGAGAGCATTCAATTTCCATAATTACTTCAGGTATTTTTATCGGGGTCTTTTTATTCGTATACAAGAAGCTAAACTTGCTGATGTCATTACTGTAAAACTTACGCGTGCACCTCCCTTAACAAACTCAGCAAAGTTGGTAATAAAATACACAAAGACTTTTCTTCTATTTTCATGTCTGACTTTGTGATCACACATTCTTTATTCGATTGTTTAAGGTGTCTAGAATTATAAATTTGTTTTCTTGCAAAACGTTCGACGAAATTTAGAAATTTGTTGAGTTCCTTAAGTGGCATACTTTCTGTCTCTCTTTCATATCTGCAAATAACTTTACATAAGCAGCTTACCTGAAGATATTAGCGACACAGGTTATTCCTAATATTCCCAATTGTGCTGTGCAATCTTCCATAATATCTGAAATAGCCTTCAGAAACTGTCCTAAAATTGACGGGCATATAAAAAGGTCCAATGGGCCATTATAACTTCAGAATGAAGGTTGGCAGTCTATCAACTTACTACATTATAAAACTATTTGTAATCTTCACAAGCACTGGCAAAAGTCCATTTTCGTAGTCATGGTTTGAATCAATGGCTTTTACAATTTGGCTAATTCCTAATAGGCAGTTACAGTGGCCAACTATCTCGAACAATTTTAGAATAACTCACCATGAGGCACAAAACTTGAAGACATCAGCTCTACTTCTGTGCCTATTCTTTGTAAGCATTTCAAAACATTTCTGAAGTTATATTAAGCAAAGCAAATTTAGTACCTGAAACAAGGGTTTTTAAAAGAAATATTGCCAAACAGGAGTTCTAAAATAATCCAAACTAACGTATACATACCAATAACACCAGATGTACAAATCAATTTAGTTGCATCACCATTAAACTTATCAACCAGGAGTTCAATGAATATAAATGTAATTTCTTTAATTTGATCATCATTAGAATTTAGAAGGGCACGTAAAACCACTGGAAGCTCTTTATATTTGCAAATTTCAACAAAGCTTTTATTGCAGAGGGACAATCTGAACAAACAATCTGTGCAGGGGTAAATATTAAACTAATCAGTTAAACCTAGTCCGATTTCCACAACGTCCCTGTTCTTGTTTCTCAGGATCAACTCCGCAACTTTCTGGAAACTGATCCTTACTGACTCAAAACACTTTCTTGGAAGGTGCTTAAGAAGACAATTCAAGTAGCAGATTGAAAATGATTCCAGATAAGAAGATATGGTATTAATTAATACGAAAATATAATTTGTTATTAGATCTAATGTAAGCGATAAATCCTGAAATACCTGGAAGCGCCGAATTTGCAGCTGCGATGTTGTCCAATAAACTGCAAAACAGCTTAAGGCTATAAATGTAATCCTGACTTTTGTCAATGGTTGCGATAACCTGTGAATAAATTGGTATATAACTGCCTACCTGATAGTATGTGTAACTCAGATACTTAAGCTTTAGTTTGGGACTAGATAGAAGAAACAAACATTGCAAAACTATATTGTAGTTGGCCGTTCAGTTTATTTATTAGTATTTACCTGTAAAAGTACATTGATCTTTCTCAAGAAGTTTTGTAGAATTCGTCCCTGAGTATAGAACTTTAGGATCGAATTAATTACTTAAAATAGCAGTTATAGACTTGTCGAGCAACTTTTCACTGCAGATTATAGTTTCACAGCGAAGATTGGAGACCTCAATAAAGTTCAAATACTTGTTTGCATATAGTTGACGGATATTATGCTCCAAGGATTGGTCGAAAATAACGGATGTCAAACAACAAATGCAGTTAAGATTTCGAAGTATATCAGGTTCATACTCTGAAGACGAAGATTTCTCAAATATGAGACTATCAACACCGTGACTACAAATCATTCACGACAACAGGTTAATGAGTTTGTTATGCTGCATCTTATTAAAGCTTTCAATGTTCATTGTCATCATGACAGACTAATGCAAACCAATTGCCTCTCACATTTGCTTCTAAATGTTAAAGTACACTTCGAAGATCTCGGAAACATACAATAAAGCTAGTCTAGCTACTCATCTTCACTAATCCTAAGGAATTTAACGGTTAATTAGAATTTGAAAAATCTTGGACCTAAGAGAATGATTTAGTCTCGGGAAGGTAGGGTTGTTGAAACCAGCAGCCGTCACATTACTGATTAGGTGACTGATAGCTTGCAGTATGTAAACTGTAAAAATAGGACTCAGGGGACCGGAGAATGGACAAAGTTATGAGGAGCAAACGAAAGGATTGAATTAATAGGCCTTGGGTGTGTACTAAGTTTTCAAGTTTCTGTTATAAGCTATCCTCTTAGATGTTTTTAATCGGTTAGATAAGAGAGGGTTCTAGATAAAGTCTACTTCTGAATAAAATGAGGACTTCGCTTGGATCGTTGCTCTTTTATGTGGTTGCCATAGAGCATTACGTCGTGGTATTCACCGCTCGACTTCAGTGATAAATTTTTGTATGAGAGTTATTGGGTATCTATTTTGTTATTCATTGATGTAAGGTTACCTCTAATACCCCTATAATCCAATGAAAACTTTCCAGGAGTGCCACCGTCATACCTTTCCGACACTTTCTGGCATCCATAGTTTCTGCTATCAAAGGGCCGAAATAGCACCCAAGTGAAGTACTGAAGTGGAGAGGACCTCAAACAAAGTCGTCAACGCTCATCCTCTTTGTGTTTTGAAATGGCAGCGTTTTGAGTTTTTGAAGTTCGAATGTTAGACCATGTTTGTATGATTGCTCTCTCGGTAGCACTGAATCTTTTGCGTCGCCTTAACATATTATAGTTCTAGTCAGTTTGATAACGTCCACAAAAATCCAGATCAGTGAAATAATTTTCCCCTTTTGATCGTTGATATGTATTACATAGGATGCTCAATACGGAACTTTGTGAAACATCAGTCATCGACTCTTTTCAGTCTAACTGTTGGTGCGGAATGTTCGACCCTGTAAATAGTTCCTTACTCAGGAGAAAGTAGTTCCATGAGACCCAATGTGCTATTTAAGAAGGAAAGATAGTGGACAGAAATTTGTCTAACTCTCTCGATTTTTTAAGATACAACGCATACATGGTGACTTTTTAATCCCATATTTTTGTCAAGCCCACATAAGATAATAAACCGTTTGTGACTGAACTGATGTTACAACTGTTTTTCAATTTTTATGCACGGATAAAGCGTCCTATATATACTCGTTGATTCAGTGGTTAAGTTAGAAGTTTCAACTAAAAATATTGACTGTTTTCAAACTTCATGACTAAGCGCATGATGTTCATGCTTTACCTATCATATATTAAGCTTTACGACTCAATATTTACCAATCTGGCTTGTGGACTAAAATGATGCAAAGGGTGGTTTGTACAGTCACAGTTCTGAAAAGTAGCGCTGGAAGCTTTAGAGCTATGCTGGTGAGACTATAATAAATGGGCGAACCAACCAGATATGAGGTACTGACCCTTAGCCTTTTACGTCAGATTCACTCATCTGTATGACTAACTAGCTAAGTAAGATGATTTTAATATGTCACCTGGGGCGAGTTCATAATGAAAACACTTATTTGTTATTCTTACTGCTAATCTCAACTCTTAATTAACTAACTTACAGTTCTATAGTGACCCTGGAAAGTGATTGAATTTCCTCAGGGGCTGTTTATTATCACTCAAAAGCCGTCCACGAATTATGGTCACACCACTGCTTTATATGTTATAAGTCCTATGCAACATTTGTGAGAAACAGAGTAAACTTGGTTTATCCATGGTTGGAAATGCTAAACAATAACGCGAGACACTTTGTAAACGCTCGAACATTTTCAAGATGACGACATGTACATCAACCAATTGTGTTACTTAGCTGAAAACAACGGGTTGAGTTTCACCGTTGATAGTAGTAAGACTAATCCGAGTGAGGAAAAACCTAATAGACTACTACCAAAAGTTGGAATGTCAAAGAAAAAATGTGACTAAAAGCGGAAGCGAAATTAAATTGGTAGATACATCGATACCTTGTTGTTAGTGTTACGATCTCAGAGACGGAATTTATAGCCAGCTTTCAACAACGCTTTATTCATGTAAAATCAATGTATCCCTTACGAATTTTTCCATTATCAGCTGGATCTAATTTGTATATTCACATACATCTCTTGATTGTTGAGAACGACCCACTACAAAAAATAGTTTGGCACATTTTTTCTCTCCCTTTGTTGCTCTCACATTCGGTTCTTCCTCGTTAAATTTCAAAAACTTTCGATGTAGTCCTAAGGAATACATTGTTATTAAACATTACTTTTTATTCTTGTCGACAGTTGAATACCATTATTAAAGCAATCTTTCCCTGAAGAACGTCACTTCTATATTACTGCACACAATATTTATTAACCTTTTCTCCACGCAGATTCGCGTACACTATCGATCATTGAAAATAACAGTCTAGATTGTTTCAACGTACAAAAATAAGACCACACAGACTGTCAGGTATTAAGGGGGCAGTAACGAATAACGGATCTGTTTGAAGAAGATTCACCAAGGCTACAGTGTATGTCGTGTACTGGGAGATAGCTACTGGACATTTCATAGTATATCGTAGGAATACATTTAGAAATCTGAGAGGGGAGACCCCTTTCCTGATAGTCAGTATGTGTTTAGTAATGACAAACTGTTATTCGTGCGATAGAATTATCTGAAAGCAATAAAAATAGAACAGTGCTTGTAAGGTGTGTCCCATGGTCCCGTATTAGGTTTATTTGAAGGGCATCAGACTTTATTCTCTAGTAGTCTCAGAAGGTAAATCCTTTCTAAAATACATGCGAATCTGGAGAACATTTTTGATCATCCGGGTACATCTAAATCTAACATCATAAAACACTGATATAACACATTGTCTGATATAAAGAAACATAGTGACTCATGCGTACTGGTTCATTTCGAGCAACTTTCACATACTATCGTTCCAAGTTGTGTCTGAGTGCCACGTCTCACATATTACCTCCACTCTATGTGAGTGCTATGGTTTTTAAGAAAACCCACTACACATTTTCTTTATTTATTTGAACACAAATATTGGTACAAAGGGGCACTGAATACATATGCACCACACGAGTCACTTGATTTGTTTGAGGGCTGTGATACTTCCCGGATGCCCAGACTGCAGCAAGTGCTTTTCTTAGGGGACCACACCCGGGGCCTTCGACCTAAAGGTTTGATTCACAAGGCAGTGGAGCATCATAAGGAGGTGCAGTCCAATGGTAGCCGGTGACCAACAATTGATTCATACGCCATTTGTTCCCTCAGGATACTGGAGCCCATGTGCACCATTGGTTTGGAATCAGGGTTTTCCAACGCCACTAGGTGAACTCTCCATATCCGCCAACCCGAGTGGAGTGCCGGACAGTCGCTTTCCGTCCTCTCAATTCTGTAAACAACGCCTCCGTCTCGAGAAGGTGGTGAGTAGGACATCCATATCAATGGCTAGTACACGCGTAGCCATATGAGAGCATTTTGAGAGGGAGAGCTGACTCTCCCCACCCTCGGCCGTACCAGGGCATTTGGGGAAATAAAGACCTCTTTGGTACTGATAACAACAATGTTGAGTACTGCAAAGATTTATAATCTAAAATTACTTGAGCTAGAATATCGTTCATTGCTTCACTGGAGGCTTTGTCACCATGACCTAGAACACGCATGAGCCTCAGTATTTTCACCTACAAAGGAAAAAGTAAATAGAGACATCACATAGTAATAAAAGATGATCAATCGCTCACCAGTATAGCAAAAAATAGATTATTACGATATAAAAGTTTTTAAAATAATGAGATTTTGTTTAAAACATTTCAGGATGTCAACCATTTTTCTTAAAAACCGCTTTCCGTCCTCTCAATTCTGTAAACAACGCCACCGTCTCGAGGTGGTGAGTAGGACTTCCATATCAATGGCTAGTACACACGTAGCCTTATGAGAGCATTTTTCGAGGGAGAGATGACTCTCCAATCCCCGGGTCCTACCAAGGCATTTTAATCATAGAGGTGGGATATATTCAGCAGAGGTATTTAGGACCGTATAACACCGTATTTTATGAACAGTTATTTTAGTCTAGACCCCAAGTAGCATTGATTCTCATATCAAATGTTTGTTGCTAATACTTTTATCTTTCAATGTATCAGCTTGTAGTCTGTGTATATGACACAAAATTTTAACTCAATTTGATTACCTCATTCTCAACAAAGACAGTTTTAAATAACCTTAAATGCAAGGGCTCACTTATTTCAAAAACTTGCGTTTGCGAAATATTTCCTCCTTACCCATTCTACGATTTTAGAAAGGTTACACTGATTCCCTATGATTTGATTTGAGTTTAGGATAACAATTCTACAGTTATCTGCATTCATCCTGCCATTGTCTCTTTAATTTTGACACTCCTCCTCGCGGTGTGTATAACAAGGCCAACTGTAATCCTACTCATTGAGTTTTGTGGTTTCTGAACTTTCATTCTCTTCCGTTTGTTTTTTTTGGCTCATTATTCTTCCTATACCTTCATGAATTTTACATCTTTTATTATACTTCTATTATACATCGTTTCATGTAGTTGTTTTTCATGAAGCCTTCATTTTGAGATTTCATTATATATATATATATATTTCGTTGTTTCATGTATGCAAACATATTCCCATGGTATATCACTATGACAATTTTTCGGCTGCTTCCCTTCCTTGTAATTATTTTTATCAAAATCATGAGGGTCATGTTTTATCTCGAAAGACTTATCATCTTCACAAATATATCATCATAAAGAAAATCATCTGAAATTACTGAGGTTCACAGTATTTCAGGGAATGATCCCAATAAAATGTTTTTTCACTTAAATTGTTGGTTTTGTATTTTCTGCCTTTGAAAAGTTACTCTGCCACCGACTCCG